AATTTTTGATTTATTGTAGAGACGAGGTCTCACCAAGTTGCCCAGGTAGGTCTCGAACCCGCGGGCTCAGGCAATCCACTCACCTCAGCCTCCCAAAGGGCTGGGATTCCAGGCTGAGCCACCGAACCCAGCCTCATGTTTTCAAATAAAGTTTAATGACACGAGGAAATATTCATAATATATGAAGGGTGCAAACAGGTAATATGCATAAGCTAAATAACTGTAGTATATATAATACTATCCCATTTTCTCATTGCACAGAATAAAAGAATGTAAGGAAGCCACCAACAATAATGATCTTGGAGTGGTATCATTGTGTAGGAACTTTTTCTTGTTCCTTTCTGTAGTTTCTGAATTCTTTACAATAATTATGCTATAAACCAGAAAAGCAACAAACGTTTTCAAAAGTCACAGCCATTCTTCTCCTCCCCTGAAAAGTATGGGCAGCCAGTTTCAGAGCTTTGAGGTTGAGCCAGGAGAGTTTGAGAGTTTGAGGTCAAGAGTCAAGCTGTCGGCATGGCCTTTTGGGAGAAGCTCCCACAACCATGTGGCCGTAAAGAGGGATGGCCAGTGGAAGAACAGGAAAAATCCAAATACTTCTAAGTCCTATAAGACATCCTCAGCATTGATAAATAGCTAAATGTAGCACTGCTGTTTTGTTTTTTGGATGATTTATTTCTCTAGGGCTGGGCGTGGTGACTCACACCTGTAATCTCAGCACTCTGGGAGGCCGAGGCAAGAGGATTGCTGAGGCCAAGAGTTCAAGACCAGCCTAAGCAATATAGCTATAAGAATACAAAACAACAACAACAAAATTAGAGGGTGTGGTGGCACGCCCTGTAGTCCCAGCTATTTAGGAGGCTAAGACAGAAGGATCGCCTGAGCCCAAGAGGTTGAGGCTACAGTGAGCCATGACGGTGCCCCTGTACCCCAGCCTGGATGACAGAGCGAGATACCGACTCAAGAAGTTATTTTAAAAAGTGTTACAAAAGTAGTACATCAGCTTGCCTGGACTTAGAATCTGTGATACTCAGGGCACTATCACAGAAACACAGAACTGAGTACCACATGTTCTCACTCCTCAGCTTGAACAGTTACCATAATACCATAAGAAAGCGATTGGCCATAGCGGGGAAACTGCCAGGGGAGGGAGGGGCACAGCTCATCAACAAATGTACCTGCATAATGATCATTTGTATACTGAACCCTGAATTGTACCCCACATCTTTAAAAAAAAAAAAAAGGTAATACATACCTGTTGTGTTTACTTGTTTTAAAAAATGTTAGTATCTAAACTCTGGGCCAGGCGCAGTGACTCAAGCCTGTAATCCCAGCACTTTGGGAGGCCGAGGAGAGTGTATTGCCTGAGCCTGCAGGTTCGAGTCCAGTCCAGGCTACTTGGCAAGACCTCATCTCTACAACAAATTAAAAAATTAGCCAGGCATGGTAGCACACACCTGTAGTTCTGGCTACTTGGAAAGCTCCTTGGAAGGATCGCCGGTGCCCAGCAGGTCGACACTGGGGTGGATGTGAGCGTGCCACTGCACTCCAGTCCGGGTGACAGAGTGAAACTTCGACTCAAAAAAAAAAAAATGTCAACTCTGGTTACGTAGTCCCCTGCGATCCCTCCGGTCATACTCACTAAAATACACCCTAGGCCTTATTAAACTTCTAGCTTCTTTATGTTTTGGGGTTTTTTTTTTTTGAGTTGGAGTCTCACTGTCGCCCAGACTGGAGTGCAGTGGCCGCTCCCAGCCACCGCAGCCTCGACCTGCTGAGCTCTGGCGCTTCTTCGGCCTCAGCCTTCCAAGTAGCTGGAACTACAGGGGCACACTACCAAGCCTGGCTAATTTTTTTTGATTTATTGTAGAGATGAGGTCTCGCCTGCCCAGGCAGGTCTTGGACCCGTGGGCTCAGGCAATCCACTCACCTCAGCCTCCCAAAGGCGCAGGATTATAGGCTGAGCCACCGAGCCCAGCTACTTCTAGCTTCTTTAAAAGCAGATCTTCTGGTTGGTATACCAGAAGCATTTTTAATATTGGAGAGCAGGGCTTTTTTTTTTATTTAAAGAAAGCTATATTCTGTGATAATGTGTATTGAATTTACTGAAACTCATCTGAGACATGCCAGAACCATCAAAAGGGGCACCAGTCCCTCCCTTTTTGCCCAGAGCCTGTCCCTGATAAAGGAAGTCTATAGTTCACATCCGGTGCAGTAGCCTTGGCTGTATGATTTTCTACAAAATAAATGTCAGGTTGTGCCCGCTGATATCGGTCAAATGTGCCTGTGTTTTACACGTGTGAAATTTCCTAGCTTTGCCCTCGGTTACCCATGTACCACCATTAGAGTAGTTTACCATGCTTGGGAGACTTATCTGGACAAATGCATCACTCACTGGTGGTTGGCAGAAAAAGCTCTGGAAGGGAAGATACTAAGGGTGTCATCTCTCCTACACTGTTGGCAGGAACTAGCCAGGCTTTCTAAAGTCTCTTGACCTCTCTGCTCAGACAGACCTGGGGGTTTGGGGGAATTATGGGAGAAGTTTTGAGGCTTTCCTTGTGAGGTTTTTACATATATTGATTTTGTTGTTGTTGTTGTTGTTTTGACATAGAGAACCTTGCACTTTTGATGAAAAAAATCTTTATAACATATATCCAACTTTTTCATCAACGAATGTTACAACTTCCAAGAGATCATGCTCTTAGGATAGCCATGCCCTGTAAGATGACTGTTGGTGTTGGGAGAGATATGATTTAATTAAGTTCTGGTACTTTTCCCATCTCTGCTATGGAGTGTAGGAAGGAATTCTTAAGTTTGCACTCAGAATTTCTAATTCTTGCAATTTCGCAGCCAAACGGACCCAGAAAAGTTTTCCTGCTTGGACAGTACAGAGACGTTTCTCAACCTCAGGTGTGGAGTTTGGAATCAGTAAAAAGATATTAATAGACCGAAGAGTGGGATGGGACTTGTAGCAATTAAAACACGTAATACAATCTATAATTTGAATATGCACAAAGCACTTCTTACCTTCTGTGTCAATTGACATCCGTGCTGTCTTTCGTCTCCCCGTGCACCATTATTTCATTTTCTGGACCTCCCTGGCGGCAAAGACTCATCCAGCACCCACCCTCATGCTATCACAACTCCCACCTTAGATACAGACTGTGAGGGTTAATTTAGGGGCCAATTTTGCAAGGCTGTGATGTGTTTCAGAGGGGATTAACATTAAATCAGTAGACTTTGAGTGACACATAATGTCCTTCGTAATGTAGGTAGGCTTCACCCAATCAACCAAAGGCCTTAAGAGAAAAGACTGATGTTCCCCAAAAGAGAGAAACTTTGCCTCTGGACTGTCTCTGGGTGCAAGACTGCAATATCAACTCCGGCTGAAATATGTAGCCTGCCAGCTTGCCCTGTATATTTTAGACATCTCAGACCCTACACTGCAAGAACCAATTCCTTAAAATAAGTCTCTCCATAGATAGACACATAAAGAAAGAGCAAGAGGAAAATATGACTGTTTTACTGGTCAGAAAGTATCCTGGCTGGGCGCAGTGGCTCACGCCTGTAATCCCAGCACTTTGGGAGACCAAGGCAGGAAGATTGCTTAAGCCCAGGAGTTCAAGACCAGCCTAGGCAATATAGAGAGATCTTGTCTCTACAAAAAAAAAAAAAAAAATTAGCTGGGTGTGATGGTAGTCCCAGTCACTTGGGAGGCTGAATAAACACAAGAGATTGAGGCTGTGGTGAGCTGTGATCATGCCACTGCATTCCAGCCTCGACTCCAAAAAAAAAAAAATGTGCTACATCTACCCAATGGAATGTTACACAGCCTTAAAGAAGGACAAAATTATGAACTTCCCAACAACTTGGATGGACTTAGAAGCCATAATCCTGAGGAATCGATCACAGAAACAAAGAACCAAGTATCACATGTTCTCACTCATAAGTGCACCTTGAACAATTACTGTAATACTATAAGAAAAGGATGGGTGGTAGCAGGAAACTGCCAGGGGTGGGGAAGAAGAGGGATTGACGGTAGTGGGAATCTGCCGGGAAAGCGGGGGAGCACACCTCATCCACAAGGGTCCCTGCATAATGAACATTTGTATACCTAACCCTGGATTGTACCCCACATCTTTAAAATACAAAAATTAAATTAAATTAAAAAACATGTCCTGAAATAGAAGACAAATTTACATCTATTTTGCTGTTGGTGGGAGAGAGTGGAACAGGGGTGAGCTGCTTCCAAAGAGAGCAAATTCGAAGGTTTGAGAGCCAGAATATCCTTGATGTGTTTTGACAGAAAAAAGAAAAACACATCATACCCTCCAAGAATCCTTGTAATAGTCAACAAACGTGTAGTGTAGTGCCACAGAAAAGACACAGAATTTGGGATCAGAAAGACTTGAGGTCTTTGTGTATGCTTGATTAAATTATTATTATTTTTTGAGTTGGAGTCTCACTCTGTCACCCAGACTGGAGTGCAGTGGCCGCTCCCTTGACCTGCTGCTGGGCTCCAGCGATCCTTCCGCCTCAGCCTTCCAAGTAGCCGGAATTACAGGCATGTGCTACCATGCCCAGTTGATTTTTTAAAATTTTATTTATTGTAGAGTTGAGGTCCCACCAAGTTGCCCAGGCGGGTCTCGAACCCTCGGGCTCAGGCCATCCACTCACCTCAGCCTCCCAAAGGGAGGGATTACAGTCTGAGACACAGAGCCTGGCTTGATTAAATTATTGAACTTCTTAAACTCAGTGCCCTCACCTAGAAATGTAGACAATAAAACTCACCTCATAGGGTTTTGATGAGAAATCTCTTTTGATGAGATTTATGTAAGGTGGGTCTGCCCTTCAGTTATAGCACTAAAGAAACTGTAGCCACTGCTGTTATCAGCGTCATCGTGATTGCATGCGTGGTACTGATGCTGCCTTGTAAGTTTTCAGATGTTTAGTTGAAAAAGACCATCGCAACGCCAAGCAGGCGTCACGGACCAAGGAGCGTCAATATCACAGTGAGTGTAATATGTGTTTTGGGAACCCTGCGACCGCCTTGGAGAGCTCATCTCCCTGAATTCTCACTGCCAGGCTGCAGGTATGTTTTTCAAGGAAGGAAAGGTGGATTCAGAAGAGTTAAAGAGATATTTGACGGCCACACAACGAATAAGTGGCAAAGCAGAAATTCAAACCTGGACCCCAAAACCCACGGTTCTGCACCTCTCTCTCTGTGCTACCACCAACTCTTAAGACCGGTCCTTCGCCCTCCTGGGAGAACGGCACCTGTTTCATTCATTCATGCGACCATGCTCGGCCTGCTGCAGACGCACAACCCATATCTGAACGAAAGAGGGAAAGCCATCATTTTCCCCAAGTTGCCTTCTTCCCATCTCTGGCTGCGACCTGTGTGCTTGTGATACTTGCCTGGATGGTGAAGACAACAGGCTCTTCCCACACGCTCCCATTCACAATGAAGCCTCGGTTTGTCCCGTCTGAGGCCACAAAAGTGAAGTGGTCGGTCTGGGAGTCCCCGCCCGCGTGCTGATAGGCCACGGTCCTGCTGTCCACCTCTTGCTGCGTGAAATGGTGCTGGAGCAGCACTGTTCCTCGCAAGTAGAGTTGGCCATGCTGGGGAGGCTGAACCAGGAGGAAGGTGAGGGTCTCGGCGGGCGTGTCAGGGTCGGTCAGCTGAAGGAGGTCAGGGGAGAGCAGACCCGTGGCCCCTTCAGCCAGTCTCAACCCCTTGTTCCTGGTCACCACGGGCAGGGCTCTGTCCACAGGCTCCAGGGTGATCTCAAACAGCCCATGCTTGGTCCGTAGGCCATTGCTGACAAGGAATCTGGCAAAGAGAGGCAAGGGAGCCTTCAGCATGGATTCTCTTGCCGCATCTACTGGAATAAAATGATAACAACACACGCCTTTACTAGAGGATATGCCGGGCTGGGACGCCAAGGGCAAATCAAGGGCAGATCTTTCAGAAGACCATCATCTTTCTGGCGTTCAACCAGTCCCTGGACTGACACACAACTTGACCACTCTGCCCCAAGTGGATTTTCTCAACCACATGGATGGTAGACCCATGTGATGGAAGAGGCAGATCCTGCCAATGATCATTCTGAGACTTGTCAGGGCTTAGGGTAGTGGCTCACCCTGAATAGGAGCTTCACATCCAGTTAGACCCATGACATGAGTTTAAAGAGTCGCATTCTTTTAGTTATCTATAGTTTTCGTGTTTTCTTCACGGGCAGGTAAAAAGCTAAACTTTTAAGACTGACCATTGGGAAGCCAGTACAAAAAAAAAAGTGCCAGAGAGAATGGATTTGGCTAATTCGCTCTATTTGTATGTTTCATGGTAAATTTCTTAAGGGCGGATCACATATATCAGCTATGGAGTCGCAATCTAACTCGTCTTCCCCTCCTGGGTCTCATTTTCACTCTTCTGTAAAATGAAGAGGATGGGCCAGATGACCATTAAGTACCATCCAAAAAAAAATTTTTTTTTTTTGAGTAGAAGTCTCACTCTATCGCCCAGGCTGGAGTGCAGTGGCACACTCACGGCCACCGCAGCCTCGACCTGCTGGGCTCCGGCGATCCTAACGCCTCAGCCTTCCAAGTCACTGGAACTACAGGCACATGTTACCACGTCTGGTTAATTGTTTGATTTATTGTAGAGACAAGATCTCGCCAAGTTGCCCAGGTTGGTCTTGAACCCCTGGACTCAGGCAATCCTCTCGCCTCGGCCTCCCAAAGTGCTGGGATTACAGGCTTGAGCCACCGCGCCTGGCCCCATCCAAAATATTATGTGAGGCTCTAATGTCTCACATTTTACACCTGATTCTACATTTGTTACTTATAAGACATGTGGGGCTTTTGCTAGACAAGGATTATTGTCCTGCTTAAAAGAAAGGTTCAGAAATGGTGGGGGGGGGTCATAGGCAGGTGGAGGATGAAGCTGGGACTAGAACCCAGGTCTTTTTTGACCTTTTACTCTCTGCTCTTGCCAAGTTTTTAAGAAATGTTGGTTTAGCAATCTACCACAAGAGTTGTGGCAATGAACACCATTGTAAACTGCAAAGAGAAAGCTGGAATGATACTCATTCAAAGACAACAAAATATTTCTACATGCATGTGCACCGCCTGAATCTAAAGTAAAAAAGGGGAAAAAATATTCTTACAATCTTGGGTCTGTGATACTACAATGTGCTTTTGATTATATTGATCACTAAATCATATTCTACACACTGCAGCTAATCTCACACTAATACTAACTTGAACGGTCTTTATAATATTTCAATATATAATTTTTAGCTTAAGGAGAATGAAGAGTCTCCAAAATTAGGCAAAGGAAATGCAATATTAAAACTCAGAAAGTTGGGAAATTACTACCATCAAATAGGACTGATAAATTTACCATACACCAAAGAAATGTACTTAGAAACAATCAAAGAATTGTGTCGTGGTTTTTCTCCCTGTACCATAGTTGCTAGAAATATTCATGGGAGATACTCTGTTCTATTCCACTGATATAATAATCTCTGAAAACATTGTTCTTGTAGAATATAACCTTAAATTATATAAAGATTTGGGGAAGTTCTTTCTTTTTCTTTTCTTCTTTCTTTCTTTTTTTTTTTTTAGCAGTCTCACTCTGTCACCTAGGCTGGAGTTCAGTGGCACGCTCACAGCCACCGCAGTCTTGACCTTCTGGGCTCAGGCGATCCTTCCACCTCAGCCTTCCAAGAAGCTGGAACTACAGACGCATGACACCATGCCCGGTTAATTTTTTTTTTTTTTTATTGTAGAGATGAGGTCTTGCTATCTTTTTTTTTTTTTTTATTGTAGAGACAAGGTCTCGCCAAGTTGCCCAGGCTGGTCTCGAACGCCTGAGCTCAGGCAATCCTCTTGCCTCTGCCTCCCAAAATGCTGGGATTACATGCATGGACTATCGTGTCAGGCATGGAGGGTTTTTTTTTGTTTTGGTTTTAGGTTTTTTGCTTTTGTTTTTTGACTAGAGAAGGTATAGAGCTTGTGTTTATTTTACTTATCTGGCAAATTTGACTAACAAGTTCTTTATTCTTTGCAAAATGCATCTTGTCCTCCAGGTTGAAACTTTACTTCTGTCCCTAAAAGAACCTGAAATCAGGTAGTGTGAGTGCTATGAGTCAACTAGCCTGCCTGAGGCAAAGGACTCAGGGAGGACAGTGGGACAAAAGGTATTAATAAAAGAAGATGAGTTTGGCTAAGTACAGATTTCACTTTGAAGGTTTCTAATTATCTTGTCAATAAGGCTGCCTACAAGGAAAATGTGATATGATGCAAAGAAAAAGAAATCTATATCCAAATTGCTAAGTGACATATATAACAAATACAGTACATTTGGACATTTCAAATGCATAGACTTGTAAAAAAATGGAACCTGCTTTTTTTTCCACAACATAATTTTTACAATTTGAATAACTTTTAGGATTGTAGATTGAGCAAAATCACACCGTTTCCTTTAAACCAGTTTTCCTTTTGTAAAACTAAAACTTTGATAATATATTATTCTTAGCAAATTGGCAATTTCATTGCTGGATCAAGAAGTATTTTAAAAATCTGTTATTTATAAGAAGAGAAAATATCCATGTGTTTTCCAAATTTTTTACTTGATGAAGTCACCTTGACAGTTTCAAAGGTCAGTTGATATACATTTTTAGATATAGGCAAAGACTTTCATGGAATTATAGTTTTTTGTTTCGTTTTGTTTTTGAGTCGGAGTCTCACTCTGTCACCCAGGATGGAGTACAGTGGCACACTTATGGCCACCCCAGCCTCGACCTGCTGGGCTCCAGCAATCCTTCTGCCTCAGCCTTCCAAGCAGCCTAAACTACAGGTGTGCGCTACCACACCCAGCTAATTTTTTAATTTATTGTAGAGATCAGGTCTTGCCACGTTGTCCAGGCTGTCCAGGCTATTCTCAAACCCTTGGGCTCAGGCAATACCCTCACCTTGGGGTGGGGTAGGGGGGTGGTAGGATTACCAGCATTTGTAATCCAAAATGCTGGGATTATAGGCTTGAGCCATCGTGCCTGGCTAAAATTATACTTTCATTCTATTATTTTCCTGTTAACGTTTTCATATTTACCCCTGGATCCTGTCATCTGACTCAAGGTTAAAGAAGAAGCCAGCTAGGTGTTCCCTTGGTGCCTCCAATTTCTCCTTTTTCCACTGTACCCCTCCAGAAACATGTTTCGAACCTCTCATTCTACCCTGTTTCACAAATAAAGTGGCTCCGAGATCCCTAATGATACATGGGCTGGTATGAAGAGTCATTGGTAGTTTAATACAAAGGTAAGCCAAAGCACATGCAATTTTTCTTTTTTTTTTTGAGTTGGAGTCTCACTCTGTCGCCCAGACCGGAGTGCAGTGGCTGCTCCCGGCCACCGCAGTCTCGACCTGCTGGGCTCCGGCGATCCTTCCGCCTCAGCCTTCCGAGTAGCTGGAACTACAGGCACGTGCTACCACGCCCTGCTAATTTTTGATTTATTGTAGAGATGAGGTCTCGCCAAGTTGCCCATGCAGGTCTTGAATCCGCAGGCTCAGGCAATCCACTCACCTCGGCCTCCCAAAGTGCTGGGATTACAGGCTGAGCCACCGAGCCCAGCCTAGCACATGCGATTTTTAACATCTGCAGTAATTGTGGCATTCAAGATTTTGTGCCCCACTAAAAGTCTGCCAAAGATCAGGGGAGAATGAGAAAAAGGAAAGAAGGGAGGAGACGGAATGGGAGCCACGAGGTTAAATATGAGTAGGTGAGAAGTCCAGGGGCTGGCAGAGGTGGCCATTTTGAATGCTTGATTCTGACTTTCCTCTCTGGAGGCTGAATGCCAAAAACGCCTATCAGGTGCCTCAAATCTCAGTCTCAGGAGGGCCCGCTACCTCTATGCGTGCATGACCTCTGCGAGGGCACCGAAGCTGTCTTATGATCCGGGCTGTCCATCTCAAGCTCTTCCCTGGCCTGACGATTGCAGAAATAGGCAGCCTGCCATCAGACAGATGGGAACAAGGGCGGGCAGGCCAGAGACCACAGAAGAGTCAGAAATATGCTTCCCGAGGCCACTGTTCCCAGCTGGGACACCGAGGCAGCTGTCTGCACTGACCTAAAGCTAATAAGCCAGGGGTGAAAAGGATGTAATTTCTAAACATGACTGGATCAAATACATCATTCTCCTTTCATGAGTCACAATGCAAACTACTCACAGGCAGACACATTATCAGAGAGAGAGAGAGAGAGAGAGACAGAGTGAACGGTTATGGTTGGGTTCCCAGTCAAAAGAAAGCTAGCAGGACAAGAGAAGCAAGTTCAGTGCTGTTCTTGTCTGCAAAAGTTGACCGACCAAATGCATCCTCTCCTCAAAAAAAAAAAAAAAATAGTGACAATAATAATAATAATAATAATCCTCCAAATATATTCTCAAGGTTTAAAACACTACTCGATTGCTATGTTGGTATCCATTCTGCGGTGAAAAAGCTGGTGGTGCCTCCATGGCTCCATTTCGTTTCTTTTCCCTTATTACACCCTCCCGAGAAGACAGGCAACCAAGATGACCACCAATCTCATGAAATTTGGGGAATGACTCTCAGATGCGTCTGGGTGCCTGCCTGGTCTGATTTCACCATTACCACGGTGCTTTCAAGCTTTCTGCATTGCCTGGCAATAGAGTTGGCTGAAGAATCTGCCATCTGTCATGGCATTTAAAAGATAAAAATGGAATCATAAATAGCGCCAGCTCCTCAGGAAAAAAAAAAAAAGTCCAGCCGGCATGTCAAAATGGAGGACATTAGCAAGTTCTTTTAGTCCCCGGCTACCAGCAGCTGAAGTCAGCTTGCTAATCACTCGGTGTCATCTGTCTTAGGACACGCTGCCAAATCTTTCTTCCAGGCCAGCAGCACCAAACAATACAGGAGAAATTTACGATTCACAAAATATTTTTGCAGAAGGTAAAAATCCGACGATTAGACTTCCCGGTTTAATTAATGATGCCATCTCTTCCATTAAAAAGGGAATGGGGGAGGAATCCTCTGCCACAGAATTTATCTCTTCTGCCCAGCCAAATTCCTTGCCAAATCTAACAGCAAGCAACATAAATTTAGGTGATTAGATTGGTTGCATATATTTAATTTTTAAAAAGCACCATGATCACACTTTCATTAAAGCAGGCTTTCTGCTTTGGTTTAGTGCCACTTAACAAACAACACAGCAGTCCATGATTGGGTGAGTGAAATGACAAGATTAAAATGCGAGTCTTGGGCAGATGCTAGGCTTTTCCGTTATCGATATGTAAAACTGCCGGCCAACTATCAGGATGACACATTGAGGGGGTCCCACTGCACAAATGCAGAGTCTCTCCACATTTCTGGTACAAGAAGGTATAGCGGTCAAACTCCCCACTGGAAAGGAGTTCTCAGCCCCCAACTCAGCTCGGTGATGTTGATTCGGGGACTTCTTTTGCCTCTGGAACCTTGGTTTTCTCGTGCATAAAATGGAAACAACTGCATGTCTCTCAAGGTGGTGGGATAAGGCTTAAGACAAAGAATGACAGAGGCTGGGGCACGCTTGATGGTTGCAGGTGTTCAAACAACACCAGCTTTTCTACATGCACATAAAGGGATTGGACCGAATCGATGCTTTTCAATCTGTGTCCTTTGTTTTCTCTCTACATCACTATTTCCTAATCTTGAGTCATTCAGATACCGCCATCTTTATGTTTGCCACATTGCCTGTACTACCTGTGCTCTTATTATTTTTTACTGTCTTACTTTATGTCAATTCACTATTTTGCTTAAATACATATACTTAAAAAGAAACCTTTTAACTACTAAAAACTGAAAGTTTTAAATACTAAAAGCCTAGTGGCTGTAACTCCTTCAAAAATAAATGTAAGATAGCTATGTTTTTCATGCTAGCTAGACACTGTTGCCCAATGGTTTGGAGCCTGGGGTCTACACTCTTTTTGTTAAAAAGGAAAAATAGAGCATATGAAAAGTTGTTAGCGACATATTAGCACCAACCTGCTAAGGTGTCACAGTCTTTTTGCTAAAAGAAACCTTTGCCTGGAAGCCCAGTGTGCAAAACAAACTAGAAAACTAAGTCTCAAAAAAACAAAGAAAGAACCATGGGCTGAGGGCTCCAGAGTCCTCCAATTCAGCTCTGCATCATCTGCTTCTCGGAGATCCTGAGAGGACCTTGTAAATTCTCAAGGGTCCTCAGAAAAATGGACGGGACCAGGTCTGCGATAGCTAGTCCTGACTGCATCAGAATTGCCAGGAGAGTTTTTAAAAATGCAGATTTCCGGGCCTGAGACTGGACTTCCCAAAGACACCCCTCTGGGCGAGGCCCCAAAATTCCAAGTAATTCTCTGAGGATCTAGAAATGTAAGAATGGGCCAGGCTCGGTGACTCAGTCTGTAATCCCAGCACTGTGGAAGGTCAAGGTAAGTGGATTGTCTGAGCCCGCGGGTTCCAGACCCACCCGGGCAACTTGGTGAGGCCTCCTCTCTACAATCAATCAAAAATTAGCTGGGCGTGGTAGCGTGCTCCTGTAGTTCTGACTACTTGGGAGGCTGAGGCAGAAGAATGACTGGCGCCCAGCAGCTCGACACTGGGGTGGCCATGAGCATGTGTGCCACTACACTCCGGCTTGGGTGAAGGAGAATCCAACTCAAAAAAAAAATGTAGAAATTCCTGAGATAAATGATTCCTAAAATGCCATCTAATATGACTTCCTCTGGATGCAAATTAGGAAATTTTTACAGTATCACCAATCCCTTCACATGGACAGCTGTTTTTTATTCTTGCCATCTAACGAAGAGCTAGCCTTCAAGTCTCAACATCTTTCTGCATTCGTTCCTTGGCTTCTCCAGTAAGGCTACTGGTTTCTTCAGTAGTCAGTAATGTCTTCAGCAGACTATCCTGTGGGCATTGACTGAGGGAAGCAGGAATGGAGGGATGCTAGACGTTCCAAAAATGAATGTAAAATTAAAAGCCCTGGCTCTGATATACATTTATGAAGCCAAGAAGCCTCCAGCCTCCACTAGCAAACAGGAAAAAAAAGAACAATCATTGCGCCTCTCTGGAACTTTCTTCCCTCCTTCAAGATCATGCTTGGTGTTGTAAAGATTGGAAGTTAGAAGGGGGCCAAAGAAAGATACAAGTCAGGATAACAACAACAGTAGTGATAACAACAGTCACGAATACTTATTTAGCTCTTTCCATGGGCAAGGCGTTGTTTCACGCGTTTTACATGCAGAAGTTCACTTAAACCTCCAACAATCCTGTGGGCCAGGTGCTGCGGGCACCAACCCATTTCACAGAAGAGAAAACATGAGCAGAAGGCCATGGGACTCGATCAACGCTAGAGTCATGAGTCACTGAGGCAGGGATTCCTAAAACGCCATCTAATATGACTTTCCCTGGATGCAAATTAGGAGATTTTTGCAGCAACACCCCAGTCCTTACATCTGGATCGGCCCCAGGTCTGTACCTTAACCAGCCATACACCCTCCTCAACAAAAGAGCCAGCTTGAAGAGAAGAACGCTTTCGTTAACGCCTGGCAACACTCAAAAACACTGAATTGGTTAAGATACCGATCGATGAAACGGTCACTTGTTTGTTAAGGAACATTTACCAAGTGGAAAAAGAACATATTGGTTCAAGCTTTCCTGGATGTTTTTATTTAACAGTTGGGCTATCTAAATCAGCTTTCAGCAATGATTTAATGCTTCAAAGGCAAGCACCCTCCCTTCCCCCACTGACATTTAAACAGTGTTTATCACAGCAGGTATATTGAATTAGATAGGTAAAATGTCAGACAGAGGAGAGTGGTATTTGAACACGGGTGTGTCGGTAATACTTGGTAGCTTATGGGAACCCATCGAATGGTAGAGGAGGATGCCCCACTTAATGTTATTTTTCAGCGCTCTTTAGAAAGTTGTATTGTGATGTGGTGAAAATTGTACCAGGGGCCAGAAGCCTGACTGCGCAGCAAACAAACCAATACTCTCAGGACCTCCTCAATTCATAAAACTCAAAATTGGATTATGTGCCATGGTTCTCCCCAAGGGTAGTCCTGAATTCCCTGGTCCTCATACCCAGCCTGGGGGGTCTGTATTTCTGTCAAGGACCTCAGGTCCGGCCAGCTTTGAAAACTCTAGAACCTAGATCTTCTAGATATGCGCTTGTTTTATGTAACTTGCAATACATTTCCATCTCCTACACAAATATAGACTTTCACTAATGTTGTATCTTTGCCTTTTCACCAGATTGTTATTCATTCCAATGATTTATTTGATACAGAATCCTTGAACAGGTGCACAACCCCCAATTGTAACATTGTTCTATGGGGACATACAGTCCACTTTATGACAACATGATTTATGATATAGTTACCAGAACACATTGTGTCAAGAGGCAGTGTCTGCTTATGCCAACTGTTTACTAATAAATGCCTTTTCCTCGGATAGAAACACACGCTCCAAAAAGAGGGAAATTACTATTCTGTGTCTAGCCTTAGGTGGGACCTTCAGCGCTTCACACTTCTCCTCATGCTTGGATCGGCTTAGGATGTTTATTTTTCAATGACAGGCCCTAATTTCTTGCTTCGCTGTTGTCATTTTCATTGTGCCTTCACGTACAGTGAGGCAGCTGAGGAAAAACACAGCTATACCAGAGCTGGAAAAGGACACTTTTTTTCTTTTTGAAAGAAATAGTATCGTGTCTATTTAAGGTCTACAACATGATGTCAAGAGATACATACGTATATTCTGTAACGTGGTTACTACAGGGAAACACATTTTCTTTTCTCTTTCTAAGCATTAACCCAAGGAAGGGGCTCAGGAAAGCTTCCAGGGGCTCACCTGAATGTGTCACTGGGGACAGCTGCCTTGCTCTTGTGCACGTAGCAGACCGTGTGCCCTGCGATGTCCATTTGGCTGAAGCTTGCAATGGGAACTCCAGGATAGCGGATGTACTCCACCTGGCCGTATCGCGGTGGGGAGATGATGACATAAAGCATCTCCTCGGGCTTGTCTGTTCCGTCCACAGCCAGGAGAGTGGTAGTCGTCAAGAAACCTCTGTCACCTTTTGACACCACGAGTGGTTTTGTAAGGATGACAATATCCCCTGCATGCAGGAAGAGGTTGAGGTCAAGGTGCATATTAGAAAATCGATATTATCCAAGGTCAAGGTAGAAGACAAAGGCCAAACTGTGCAGAAATCAAAACTCACATGACATAGAAAGGTTGAGATAAGTTTTATTTGTAAAATTAGGCCAAAGACATGAGCAGATATTTCACAGAAGAGGAAATACATGTGGCCAATAAAGATATCTTAAAAGCTCAGTCTTATTAATAATTGTGAAAATACAAATAAGATCTCCTTAAGTTGCCATCTCATAACGTCTTGATGAACAAGGATATAGCAATGGACTGTACCAAGTACTGAAGGGAATATAGATCAAAGGAATCTTGCATACAATCATGGAGGGAATGTAAACTGGTACACAGCTTGGTCTTATTTTGCAAACAGTTGGGCCGGGCACAGTGGCTCATGCCTATAATCCCAGCACTTTGGGAGGCTGAGGTGGGAGAATTGCCGGAGCCCATGGGTTCGAGACCAGCCGGTGCAACTTGGTGAGACCTCATCTCTACAATAAATCAAAAAATTAGCCAGGCGTGGTGGCGCATGCCTGTAGTTCCAGCTACTTGGAAGGCTGAGGCAGAAGGATCACCTGAGCCCAGCAGGTCAAGGCTGTGGTGGGCGTGAGCATGCCACTACACTCCAGCCTAAGCAACAGAATGAGACTCCTACTCAAAAAAAAAAAGAGTTGAATGTTTTCACATATACACTTTGACCCAGCAATCTCACCCCAGCTGTCTGCTTGAAAGAGATGCACTTGTACCCTAGGAGACCTGCACCAAAGTGGCCATTGCAGCACTGTTTGGAATTGAAAACATCGGAGACAACCCAAAGGCCTTTCCCATAAGTGAATGCAGAAAACGATGGTGGTCTATTCACACAGCTGAATTTCATCCAGCAGCGAGATGAATGAACTACAGCTACATGCAAGAATAAAGATGTACTTTATTAACATCTGCCAGTTATGTGACCAAGTTGAGAAAACGATACGCAAAAGTAAGAAAAGAATACAAAATTTTAGATAGTGGCTTTCTCTGGAGGATGGGAAGAGACTGTAGGAAGATGTCTGCTATTGTTAATATTCCAGTCCCTGAATCATGTGGTGGTTGCACAGATGCTCATTGCATATATAAAAAGTAATACATGTGTATACCATGTTCTCCCTCATAAGCAGACCCTGAATATTTACCATAATACAATAAGAAAGGGATTGGCAGTTACAGGGCACCGCCCAGGATTGGGGGGACACATAACATCCACAAGGGTACCTGCTCTCAAACCAGGCAAAGCGGGGACCAAAGGGAGGCCCAAACTTTGCCTGCACGGTGATCACTTGCATACCTAAACCTGAATTGTACCCCACGTCTTTTAGATAAAAAAAATTAAAAGTAAAATAATACCTGTGTATACACCCATGTCCATAGTAGGATTATTGACAAGAGCCAAAGGTAAATGCAGCCAAGCGCCCCTCCACAGAAGGAACAAACAAACAAAAGGTGGGGTCTCTACAGCGATGAGATCCTCTTCAGTCTTCAAAAGGAAGGGAATTCTGGCACATGGTACAACACGGGTGAACCCTGAGGGCATCACGCTGAGCGAAATAAGGCGGTCAGCAAAAGGTAGATCCAGTATTTTTCCACTTATATGAGGTACCCAGATTAGTCGAACTGATAGAAAGAGAACATGGAATGGTGGCTGCCAGGGGCTGGGTGGCCATGATTGGGTGAGTGAAATGACAAGATTAAAATACGAGTCTTGGGCAGAGGCTAGGCTTTTCCGTTATCGATATGTAAAACTGCCGGCCAACTATCAGGATGACACATTGAGGGGGTCCCACTGCACAAATGCAGAGTCTCTCCACATTTCTGGTACAAGAAGGTATAGTGGTCAAACTCCCCACTGGAAAGGAGCTCTCAGCCCCCAACTCAGCAGGAACCCTCGGTGATGTTGATTCGGGGGACTTCTTTGCCTCTCAAACCTTGGTTTTCTCGTGCATAAAATGGAAACAACTGCATGTCTCTCAAGGTGGTGGGATAAGGCTTAAGACAAAGAACGGCAGAGGCTGGGACACGCTTGATGGTTGCAGGTGCTCAAACAACACCAGCTTTTCTACATGCACATAAAGGGATTGGACCGAATCGATGCTTTTCAATCTGTGTCCTTTGTTTTCTCTCTACATCACTATTTCCTAATCTTGAGTCATTCGGATACTGCCATCATTATTTTTGCCACATTGCCTGTACTACCTGCGCTCTTATTGTTTTTTACTGTCTTTATATCAATTCACTATTTGGGAATAAGTTTAAGACAAAGAACGGAAGGGTCTGGGACCCGCTTGATGCATTGCAGGTGTTCAGGCAACATTAGCTTTCCTACATGCACGTATGGAGGACTGTGAAGGGGGAGCAAAGACATGGAGAATTGTTATTTAATGGATGTAGAGTCTTAGTTCTGCAAGATGCAAATGCTCTTGAGATTGGATGTACACCATCTAAATATACTTAACACTACTGAACTGTGCACTTAAAGATAGCTAAGATGGTGCATTTTATGTTATCATATTTTACCATAGTTTTTAATGTGTGTTTGTTTTGTTATTACTGGTGTATGTCACCATGACAGGCTAATTTTTTGATATTTTGTAGAGATGAGGTCTGTTGTGTTGCCAAGGCTGGTCTCAAATTCCTGGCCTCAAGCGATCCTCCTGCCCTGGTCACCTAAAGTGCTGGGATTAAAGGCATGAGCCACCATACCCCAGTCCACAGTTTTTAAAAGATGCATGAATGAGTACAGGAATGAGCAAGGAAGAAATGGGCCACGCGTGGAGGCTATAATTCAATTTCACAAACTGGAGGCTATAATTCACAAACTGGAGGCTATAATTCAATTTCATTTTCCTGAGGTCCATTAAACGTGATACTATCCAAAACAGAGCTTCTATTCTGTGTCAGGCACAGGACTAAGGATTTTTACATCTCCACGCCAATCCTGTGAGGTGTGGTCTTATCTCATTCCTCCAATTAAAGGATCTGAAAGAGGCACTGAAGAGGGCTCTTCAGAGATCTGCCTGGAAGCCCAAGCAGGGGTTCATCGGATGGACACGTGGGACCACAGAGAAACGGTTAGATCCAAGCCCCAACCAGTTCCTATATCGACCCCGGCATGAGACCAGGAGAGCACCTTTGGCAAAGGTAGTGGTGAGTGAACGGGAGAGATCTTACACACCTCTCAAGAAATCCTTCAGTCCTGGCTAGTGGAGAGACGACCCAGGCCCTCCCCCTGCACCCAGATTATAAATGAGGAAGCCGAGGTGTAGAAATGATAACTAACCTGCTAACGGTCACACAATTAATAAAAGACGGAGTGAGAACTCGAGCACTCACTCCTGAGCACTGTCTTATTTTGCTTCCTTTCTTAAATACATAGGGAGTGCTTATGAATAATTATTAAAAGGGTGGCTATCCAAAAAGGAAAGATACGGTCAACCATATTCATTTAATTTCTGAATTCAAAAATACAAACGACCGATACAATTTCGAAAAGATATTCAGTCTCAAGACTACACAAGAAATAAAAAGAAAACATCAAGGGAGCAGAGATTTAACCAGTGGTTCTCAGCGAGAGGCAACTGTGCCCCCCAGTGGACATTTGACAACGTCTGGAGACAATTTTGCCTGTCATAACTGGAAGGTTGCCCCTGGCTTTTAGTGGGGAAAGGCCTAAGATGCTGCTAAACTTCCTACAACGTAAGAAGTTCCCTACAACAGAGAATCCCCCGTCTCAACTTGCCAGTGGGACCACAATTGGGAAGTGCTCTTTTCGATGACTGAATTGTTCTTTTGGGTATGCTGTGCTTTTCTCTCAAATTGCTGTGCACGTGACTTCAGTCCCAACATAGGATCAAAGCCCACCCTAAATGTACACGAAAGCCTGAGCCACAGATGCCACAGAGGGAAGCAACATGAATACATCAAAGAAGGAAGACTGGACAAGGCTGGGGAATCAGAAAAGCACCCGTGAGCGGTCCCACCACGAGCAGAAAATGGAGCTGAGAGGCTGGAGAGCAACGGATTCCTGCCCCGATACCATTTCTCAGCATGGTGAGGGTGGTGTCGGGGTCAAGGTCTTTCTCTGAAAGATCTCCACATCATTTTTGCCACTGTGCAAATCAGAAGAGGCAGCCCAATGGAAAGGCTCAGTGATATCTCTAACAGCTCCCAAATGAAACAACCCAAACGACCCATGAGAAGGTTATGATTACACCGAACTATTCGGTATAGTTTGATTTAGAGGCGAACAATGTTGGTGATAAAGTGATGCATCAGCCTGAGGAAACTCATGCTAAGTAAGAAAAAAACAAAAACAAACCCCAAACCAGGACACAACATGATACAATGACAAAGAAAAAAAAAAGTGGAAGAAAAGGATTGGTAGTAGCGGGAAACTGCCAGGAGGGGGGCAGAGAAGTGGAATTGGCAATAATGGGAGTCTGCCTGGGGAAGGAGGGGCATACCTCATCCACAAGGGTACCTGCATAATGATCATTTGTAAACCTAACCCGGAATTGTAACCTACATCTTGAAAATAAAAGATGTAAAAGTTTTTTTTAAAAAAAGCGGAAAAATTCTGAACTTCTGAAAATGTTCATAGTTTGACGTGCCTACTTGGTATGGGTTTTCATAAATCATTTCAGAACATCATGTCATGTCAATCATGACAGTGTCAGGCCAGGTACTCGCCAGCCGTATTTCCTTTCTTCCCAGGCGCTCAGTTCAAGTTTGTATCGTCCAGACTTCCTTAATGTAGCATGTAACTGTGATTCAGCCAGAGAGGGGCACCACCCTCAAGCCTCATCCACAAACTTCTCGTTTTCCTGCACATCTCGCTTCTTGAGGCCTTCAGAGATGAGGAAATGTCCCCAGAAAACTGTGTGGAACAGGGCTCTCCTCCATTGCTACGAAACTGTGTTGTGTGGAAACCACTAAGAAGATAGCCTTCCCTAATACATGAGTTGCCTGCCCTAAAAGGTTCCTTGTATGACATTTTGCCTGGACATATACATTTGATGATCACAGTTACTTGCAGAGAGAGATACGCGCAAATGTGTGCAGTAACATTTAGCTTACCTGAAAGTCACTTATTAGGCATCTTCCAGGGACACATTTATAACCAGGAAATAAGCAATTAAAATGTATTATTATACTACCCAAAATAAAGATCTCAAAATCAATCATGCCGACTTAAACTGAAAAAAAAAAAATTGGTAGTTCCGGCTATTTGTAAGGCTGAGGCAGAAGGATCGCCGGAGCCCGGCAGGTCGATGCCAGGGTGACCATGAGTATGCCATTGCCCTCCAACCTGGGTGACAGAGTGAGACTCCAACTCAAAAAAAAAAAAAAAATTGGGGGGACAATGGCAACTCTACCACACACGAAGTAAGATTTATTTTACTGCACTTAAGTCATTTAACTCTGAGCTTCCTGGCAGCCAAGGCAGAAAAAGGAGACATATTCAGTCAACCACGCATGCGCCAAAGATCTAAGACTCTGCATAGTCCTGAGAATATACAGACATAAATAAGATATGATCTTTACCCTCCTCACAAAAGCTGTGAGCAAAATAATGGGGTAGTGATCATTGGATATCAAAGGATCATACTTTCCCTTGCTGAGTTTTGTTTTGTTTTTAAATCTCTTCTGCCTACTGTTAATCTCTTCCACCTACCAAAGAACTGAGTATCACATGTTCTCACTCATAAGCGGACCTTGAACAATTATCATAATACTATAAGAAAAGGACTGGCAGTGTGGGAAACTGCCAGGGGTGGGGGGAAGGCGGGGAAGGGAGGCGGGATTGGCAGTAGTGGGAATCTGTCAGGGGAAGGGAGGGCACACCTCATCCACAAGGGAACCTGTATAATGAACATTTGTATCCCTATCCCTGATGTGCACCCCACATCTTTTTTTTTTTTTTTGACGGTTAAAGCAAAGAGTAGTTTATTTAGCAAAAGAACAGAAGCAGTATACTCCAAAGAAAAGAGAGAATGCAGTGGGCCCAAGCTGGAGAAACTCAACAGTCAAGCCTACATCTTTAAAATAAAAAATTTTTAGAAGTAAATAAATATCTTCCACCTACCATTTATAAGCACTGAATTGTATTGTGTAAATGCGTCTGCTCAATTGATTCAAGGGAAGCTTAATATCTTAGCATGTCTTCCCTTGTCCCTAAAGAGTATAACTTAGCACTTTCAAAGTGACAAGAGCAACGACTTCCAGCCTTGTCAATGACAGTTTCTTTATTTTTATTTTTATTTATTTATTTTTTTGAGTCAGGGTCTCACTACACATAACCCGGGCTGGAGTGCAGTGGCATAATCATGGCTCACCGCAGTCTCGAACTCCTGGGTTCAGGCGATCCTTCTGCCTCAGCCTCCTGAGCAGTTGGGACTACAGGCATTTGTCACCACACCGGGCTAATGTTTTGATTTTCTTTGTAGAGATGAGGTCTTGCAACATTGCCTAGACTGGTGTTGAACTCCTGGGGTCAAGCAATCCTTCTGCCTCAGTCTCCAAAAGTGCTGTGATTACAGGCATGAGTGCCCAGCCCTATTATTGGAAAACAAATTTTGGGGAACCCCTTCGGTTCCCCTCTCACTGTGGGAGATTTTCTGTCCTCGGCAGGAGGGAGAAAGAAACAAGCAATGAGCATTTATACCCTCTCACTTCCTGCTGTAACTGTTGATCCCAACCAACCCTGATACATACACTCTTACCTTTTCCCATGTCCTTGATGGTGATGTGACAGTCAAAAGCAGGTGACCTGTTGTCGCCGTCCCAAAGGTAGAAAGTGAAGCTATCTTGATTCTGGGAATCCATGGCCCCGGTGTGTGTGTATCTCAGCAAGTTCTGATCCACGTCCTCCTGAGTACATTTCATGCCAAGGTCCAGAGGCACCCAGTCCCTCCCTGTCTGGAAGGTGCCAGAATGATCAGCTGCCCATGGCTTTTCCCCCCAAGCTGTGTTAGTGGACATTTTTCTTATCCCCTGAAAACCTCCAACAGGCATGCTATTTCAGAGCAATTCCAGGCCACTTTCTGCCATTTTATCTTTCTTCTTTCTTTTGAAAGAAATACATTAAAGTAATAAGACCTAGGGGGAAAAAACTAGCTTCAACCAAAGGGTTTTTGACAAAGTCATGTGGCAATATAACACTGCTACTTCCAAGGTATTTATCATAAGCAATCATAGCTGATTAAATATTCCAATTAATGAGAGCAGGTGGGCAATCAAGTGGCTAAATGGGTATTTTAGAAATTAAATGTGTTTCTTTTAGAGTTTCCTTTTTTTTAGTACAACTAATCAAATCTATTTTCTACGAAGTGGTTCATTACCGGGCTTATCTGAAGTTGGTAAAATAAAAATAGAATGGATGCATTTACCCCCCAGTACATTTTCCAGCCTTACTAAAGTCCAAAGAAAATGATCGGGATCATTATCACTCTCTATATTTATATCCTCAGTCAGCAAAAAGTAAGCTGAAAATAATTGTCTAAACGTAAGCCAACATTAATTAAGCATATATTCTGTACAACGCTTGTTGCAGAAATTGTGGCATTTTCAATTTTAAAAGGCTTAGATGCCGAGTAGTTGGCGAACAACTGACAGTATTAGAAAATGTAATCATAAATCTGTATTTTATGAATAATCCTATTATTGTTCTTTGTAGGTTCCTAGCTTTCCTTAGGAATAGCTCATAAAAATCATTTGACATCATTTTTTAAACGCCATCTTAAAATTTACTCTATGTTATTATCCTGTGCTTTTCCTGTCTGGTTTAAGAGGCTAAAACAGAAATTTAAAGCATTTCCTTTTTCTTTCTCTCGGTACATTATTCCACCAACTCCCAGTGCCTAGAAAAAAGAACTTTGTCTCACTCCCCATTATGTTCCTGCTTCCCTTTATATCAACCTACTTGATAAAGTTTCTTTCTCTTTAATATTTTGCCCATCTGATGTTCGCAGACTTATGTTCTGCCGAGTTATTCACTAGATGCAAATTAATTATATCGTAATAAGTAAGCTCAGTGTTTGCTTCCCTCATGAGACCTATTTGCAAATATGATTTTTAAAACAGAATCTCTTTCAAGTTTTAAACTAGACAGCCTGCCATTTTATTTAACTTGTTCTCTTCATAATCTCATCGAAGAAAGCAAACACAGAAGAAAATATCTTGGGCTTTCTCCCGTTTCCATCTATTCCCTCACTTGCTCCCCCACATGTGAGTCTGACTTGAGAGAACCACTTGAAGACGCAGAAAGAGGAAGGGAATCAGAGTCAGATTCAAGGTGGGGAAAAGGTAAGAAAAGCCAGCAAGAAATCAAGGAGCCTTGAGAGCGGCCAGGAGGCCTGGAGCCCTGGTCCCTGGTCTTGGAAAGACTCGGGGCCCCTGCCAGGGTTCTGGGAGGGAACTGTCGAGAGCCACTCTGGGACCTTGGACCCATCTGGATTTTCACATATCCAAAACAGTTCCGTTCCCAAGCCTCCCAAATGTGTGAGCTTTCGCTGCATTTCTGCTTCATTACTCGTTGAAATGAAATAAGGACACAGCTGCACCTCAATTTAAATCAGCGGCCGCTCTTCACTTGGATTCTCTATGGTGCCTACAATCTATGACCATCAAGCTGTTCCACGCGGAATGGATCCTAACTGCTTTTCTAGAGCTGAGCCTGCATCCGATTAAAAGTGAAGCATTCTGTTGACTAATCACATCAGGCATGGTTGGTGGCTGTGGTAGCTCGTCTTAATCCACCATTCAAACACACATTTTGAATGACTGCTCAACTGACATTATCAGGTAATGGATCTATAATTCACGTCGCGCTGATCCTTGGTGGAATCAGACCAACATGTTGCTATTCCAGGACTAAAGTGAAATAAGGAGGTATTATCGGACCACAAACCGAGCGACTGAAAGAGTTAGCAGTAGAACCCGGGTGGCCTTACCCCCTAGCATCCTTTCATTTTTCCATGCTTATTTGCTTTCAATTAAAGCAAGTAATTTCTAGAACACACACAAATCCAGGAATGTGGATTGAGTGTGTCATGCAGCTCGCTGGATTCAAATACGGCGGTTGTTAAAATCTGGCAGATGTTAGTAGGGTAAGATGACCCCCGCATGAAGTTCCCCCATACACATATACTTCCTTTTTGGTTCAAGACTTTGCCCATCCTAACCTAAACGTGAGGGGAGGTGGGACAGCAGAATGAAGGCACAAACCTTTCAGCTTTTAGGTTTATCTCGGACAGAATACAGAACAATCGGTTCGTTATTTGCTGAGTAAGCAGTCTCCCTGAAGAAGAGGTAAATTGTCCCTGCCCAAGGAGGAAGATGGGAATTAAGAGGCGAACAAGAAGCCTGCTCCCTGTGGTGACTCATCGAGAAAGCAGAAGGTGGAATACTCAGATCGTGTTTTAACAGAAACCATGAGCGGGGCAGGAGGTGCTGGAGGCAGCCCCTCCAAATCTCAGATGTTTCGCATTCATGATAAGGGTTTAGAACTTAACTGAGAGAGACAAAGACAGATGGAGAGAGAGAACTGAAGTGGTTTTAGGGCAGATGATGGCTGTGAAAAAGGAAAGCTATGGGACCACAAGTCAAAAATCTAGCAGGAATGAAGATCTCGCAAAAGATTCTGGATTCTCCTCAGAAACCAGACAATTTGCTTTATCCAGGTAACTCCCTCCCTCAGAATTTAGGGACAATTCCACGGGGAAAGCAGCAATGAAGCACCTTAAAACTGGTTGAATTTACCTCGAGCTGACTAAAAAAATTTAGAACAGTGTGAATTCACCCTAGAATAGGGAAAAATAAATTTTCTACATCTGGGCAAAAAATATGGCTGTTAGCAAATAAATTCAATGATAGAAACGCTTGTATTGAGAAAATGTATACCTGCTACATTCATTTGGAAAAATAAAAGTATTAAGGTCACTAACCTTAAGCTGAAGTTGCCCGTTTTGGGGAAGCCTTTCAAATAAATAGTAAATCTTCTCCCTTGGTGAGTCTTTATCACTGGCTGAAAGAACAGCACTAGAAAGAATACGCGTCTCACCCATACTCACTTTCATTTCAGCCTTCCTGTAAAAAGGAAAATGCCTGGGTTGATACAAAAATAGAAGGTATTCCTTGAGCAGGGGACACTGATGTTGACAATTAATTATACTTCCCACCCTTCAACAATTAAGGAGGCGTGTTCAGTATCCAAAGTCCTGAAGGTGATTGGTCAGACCTGTGCGGTTGGCTGTCTTTTAATTTAACAGTGACAGTCTGGATCGGCGACAGTGAGAGTGGTATGAAGTCATCGGATACTTCTAATGGCTCACAATGCACAGAACTTTATACTATAAGTTATTGTTTATTGTATAAAATGATTTTGTTTCCAATATCTCATTTGACACTCAAAGCAACAACGCCAGGAAGTGGGCCAGGTATGGCCCTTCCAGTGTCACCGACAGAAGCTTCCTGGAGCGTTTCAGCGCCGTTATCTGCAGATGTTCCCACATGTTTCGTTATAGGCCATTCTGAGTTTGGTGAAATGTGGGTAATCTGCGGCCCTGTAAGTTACGTTTCCTCTCTCAGGTAATGAATGGTCTGGGTTGAACGTTCTGGGTGAGGAATGTTCATTGTGGCCACTTTAGGCCTCTTTTCCTAGTGCCACAGTTGCCAGGTGAGCTCCTGGTATCCTGAACAATGGGCTGAGCACAGAGCAGCTGCCACTTCACCCACAGCCACCTCTGCTGTGGTTTTTGTAGGTCCTCTGCAGTGCTGTGCTCTCACAGTCAATGTGGCCATTTTCCCTACGCTCACCAAAGTGGGAAGGGTCTCTTCCCCCCGTGTTTCCAGCTAGTCATTGCACATGGCCTAACTTTGTCCAGCTTGACAGCTTTGTTTCTGAGAAAGATTAGGATACTCGAATTCCTTGGGATCCAGGTAGAGGACATTTGAGTACCAGCAATTGACATCGAAGGTCTTCCTTCCGCTCCTCTGCTGAGAAGTCAAGGCCCAAACACCTCAGTTCTGGCCACTTTTACTCAGAGGGAGTTTCCTGATATCCAGAACCGACAGCTACCTGGAAGTGGGAGGTAACTTTTGTCCACCTCTTTGCTGGAGAATATGAATCCCACTTTTCTAGAAGGCTAGCGAATCAGTTGGTTGGGCGCCATTGATAGAAATGGATTGGTTACAACAGGAAGCCAAAAGAACAAAATCATGAACTTTGAAGCAAATTGGATCCATCAAGCTTAGTGATCTATCACAGAAACAAAGAACTGAATACCACATGTTCTCACTCATAGTGGTACCCCAACATTAATCACCATAGCACAAGGGAGGGATAGGCAGTTTCTGGACACTGTCAAGGGAGGGAGGAAGGGATGCCTGTAACAACACAAAGGGTACCTGGTTTGAAACCAGGGCAAGTGAGGACCAGGTGAAGGCCCAAACTTCACCTGCATGCAGCCTACTTGTGTACTAATCCTGACTTGTACCCAATCTCTATTATAGAATAAAATAAATAAAATAAAAAACAGGAAGCCAATATGATCAAGAAGATAGAGTTTGGTAGGAAGAAAGGGTTGGGATTGTATGTCAGAAAAGTCAATAGAGTTCGTCATAATCAGAATTACCCTAAAAGGGACCTAGGATAAGCCCTGTCATGTAGGTAATTCATTTGGGAAGTGATTTCTGGAAGCAGAAGGGAGGGAGGAGGTGAAGAGGGGGAGGAGAAAAAAGGCCACAAAGGATGTTCTTTTTCTTTTTTCTTTTCTTTTTTGTAGAGACAGGGGCTTGCTATGTTGTCCAGGCTGGTCTTGAACTCCTGGCCTCAAGCAATCCTCCCACTTTGGCTTCCCAAAGCACTGGGATTACTGCTATGGGCAACTGGGGCTCAGAGTAGCTGGGGATCTTTTGAGGAACTGTGTAGAATGTGACTCCAACTGTGCTTCTGACAGACAGGAAGCTGGGGCATTCATCTTACTCATTCGCTCCCAAGGTTAAGTGCTGTCCCAAGAGTGCTCTTCACATGCCTGGACATGGGTTGAATGAAGGTCCTGAGGCCAAAAAAGGGAGCAATGCACAGTGGACCCCTGAGATGGGACACTGACAGTGTTCACAGACATCACTAGAATCGGAGATGGGCAGAGGGGCTGTGGCCCGCAGAACCAAAAGCATCTATCTACCACAGCATCTAAAAGAATAGCCAAGAAATGGTAGCAAGTGCTCTAATAACATCCAGAAGGATGAGAAGGTCCATTAATTTGGTGGGACAGCCAAAGGTGACTTTTAAAGGAGCATCTTAGGCAACCCCTTCAGGTCCCCTCCCACTGTGAGAGCTTTTTGGTCCTCTCAATAAATCCTGCTTTCAAAAAATAGATAGATAGATAGATAGATAGATAGTAGATAGATAGATAGATAGATAGATAGATAGATAGATAGATAGATAGATAGATAAAGGGAGCATCTTTTATAAAGTCAAGATTGCAGAAAGTGGGTAGAAATGGAGGATAAAAGTACAAGCTATTCCTCCAAAAAGTTGACAGTAAAATGAATGAGGGACTGGTTCGTCTTCATATTTTTAGAGTAAGGATACTCACTTGCAGTAAGGACAATAGCTGACACTTAGGAGCACATACGAAATAGTAGCCAGTCTTTCAAGTCCATGTACATATTTTAATTCATTTAATCCTTGCAGATTGTGAAGAGGATACTAGTAGTATCCCCATTTACGGAGCGATTAACAGAGAAATAGAGAGAGGTTAAGTGACAGTCCAAAGTCACACCACTGGCAAGACAATCTGACTCTTAACCACGAATTATATCCCTATGTCCTATTAGTGCATGAACTGAGAAGGGAGCAAGTGAAGGCGCCGGAGGGGGAAAAAGCAATGAGCAGTTTCTGGGACGAGGCAAGAGGTGATATGTCTAAGGACACATGGAAGAGAAAGGGGGTCCATTACTTCCTTCCTCAGTGGAGAAGGAAAGAGGAAGGGAAAGAAGGAGAGATTTCCAAGCGAAGCTGAAGGAGACATGGGAATTCTGTAGTGCAGCTATTTCAGCAAGTCTAGTAACAAGAATGTGGCCTCTGGACTTGACCAAGTGCCTAGGTGAGCTATTTTACTTCTCTGGTCTCAGTTTTTCTCAGTGAGGATAATAACTACTTCCCATAATTTTGGTGAGAATATAATGAAATAATATGTGTGGAAAAAAAACTAATATAGTGTCTGTCACATAGTAAGCACTTGAGAAATGCCAGCTTTCACCCCTCCCCTTCCCTCAAAGTGAGATCGCCAGAAAGGATGTATCGTAATACTGCAATATCCTTCATATTTATAAATCAAGGTCATATCAGTCCCACATCCCACTAGAAAATAAAGAGATAGAAATTTCTGGCGAATACTTTTAGTCAAACTGATGTCTGAGATGCAACCCTCCAAAAACCTATCATCAATATTTCCCATCAATGCTTTTTAAGGACCTTACCAGTGGCTCCTAGGGGAACAGTAAGGAAGGGAATTGTCTGAGACCCACTTTTCGGCAGAGTGAAGGAGGCTTTGGGGATTTACATGCTTTCGAGAAGTCGTTTGCTCCCTGATAATACCTTGGACTTTCTACAAGATGCCTCTTACTGCTGCACCAGTAAGTAAAGAGGTGAAGTCATCAAGGTGGTTCCAAGAACCAGATGTCTTTCTAATCCTAGCCCTAGAGAAGGGTTGGCTCCCTAAAGCTCTGTAAAGGTCTGTGGATTGTGTACAGTTCTGCACAGCTGCCAATTACAAAAGAAAGGGATGGAACAATAGAATTGTAATTGATCAAGACTCTGTACTCTATGATCAAGCACTGAGCGACTACAGAGGAAGAACCCGAGAAAGTGTGCAATTAACAATACCAGCTCAGAATTTTAGAGAGTGATCATTTTGACAGGAGGTGGCAGGGAGTGTTGACCCATAGGGAATATAGTAGATGACTGGTGGACAAAGGAGGACCTAGGTGATAAAAGAAATGTGTTGGCCGGGTACGGTGACTCAAGCCTGTCATCCCAGCATTTTGGGAGGCCGAGGCAAGAGGATTGCTTGAGCCTGTAGGTTCGAGGCCACCTTGGGCCACTTGGTGAGACCTCGTCTCTACAATAAATCAAAAATTAGCTGGGCGTGGTGGCACGTGCCTGTGGTCCCAGCTACTTGGAAGGATGAGGTGGAAGGATTGCTGGAGCCCAGCAGGTCGACGCTGGGGTGGCCGTGAGCGTGCCACTGTGCTCCAGCCTGGGCAACGGAGTGAGATTCCGACTCAAAAACAAAAACAAAAGAAAACAACAACAACAAAACCCAAGCATTTAGTACTGCTTCTGTCCTACAACAGATGCCCAGTAGGGTGCTATATCTGTTTAGTTGTCTTCCATAGCTTCCCTTGTTCTGTCCACAATTTTAGGATTGTGACTGGAGAATCCCTGCCTTTGACCTTGAAGCTGCAGTTGAACACCCACCCTCCTGTTCAAACTAAGACCACCACAATCAGCTTCATGTGGCAACTCATTAGAATTGCACACTCTCAGCTGGGTGCGGTGGCTCAAGCCTGTAATCCCAGCACTTTGGGAGGCTGAGATGAGGGGATTGCCTGAGCCCTTGGGTTCGAGAGCAACTTGGCGAGACCTCATCTCTACAATAAATCAAAAAAATGAGCCGGGCGTGGTCATTCCACCTACTTGGAAGGCTGAGGCAGAAGGCTCGCTGTAGCCCAGCAGGTCGATGCAGGGGTGGCGGTGAGCGTGCCACTGCACTCCAGCCTGGGCGACAGAGTGAGACTTGATTTATTTCCCTCAGTCACCCTTACTTAAAAGATTGACCAAGTGCATTGTGAGAACTGTCTGCAGTTGAATCTATATATTAATTGCACTTTGGAATGTGTGTCCATTGTGTTTAAATACTTAATAGACTCTTCATTCCATACTGTATATTAACTAATTAGAACTTTTAGAGAAAAACCGAGTAATTAAAAGACCAGTTGTTAAGGAGAGTTTGCATTAACATTTGCACTAAATCTCTAGGTGCCCGGGTAGAAGGACAAGCGTTCATGAATCGTGCAGTAGGACTTGCTTCTCTGGGGGACACATACGACACTTGTACCTAGTATTCCAGACTTCATGGAATTTTATAGAAATCTAAAAGGGACTCATTTCCAGTAACTTACTTGGTCAGCACTGGTTTCTCATCATTCACTGGGGTGACCTCTACTGAAATGGTTTTAAGTATCTTATGTTTCCCATCCGACAACTGGATTGTAAAGTCGTCAGCAAGACTCTCTGAGTCGTCATGCACATATGTCAGCTTCATTCCTAGAAGGAGAAAAGAGAAAGTAAGTGTTCCTTATGATTAATCCTTCCAATGTGTGTCACAGGTAATCTGTCTTAATTTTCAAGGCATTGTTATTAACAGGAGTTCATGAATCAGAGCAGTAGGGTGAAATTGAAATTTGTTTTATGAAGTAAGAGAATCGACTTAGCCTATTAAAGATTCTTTATTTAAACAATTTAGTATTTGATAAGGTTCTTACGTAAAATCAGCAAAGAATGGATAATAAACTATATAAGAACAAGTGTGTCAGAGGGTTTAAGTGAAACTGAGAAAATTAATTACTTGCAGAAAATAGTTAGTTGCTATCTGGAGCCAATCACCAAAATAGATTCTAAATAGTTCAAAACTTAAATATAAGAATGTAACTACTGGTTTTTTGTTGTTGTTGTTGTTGTTTGTTTGTTTGTTTGTTTTGAGTCAGGGTCTCACTCTGCAGCCCAGGCTGGAGTGCAGTGGCATGATCACAGCTCACCACAGACTTGACCTCCTGGGCTCAGGTGATCCTTCCACCTCAGCCTCCTGAATAGATGGAACTACAGGTGCTTGGCTAATTTTTTTATTTTTTGTAGAGACGGCGTCTTGCTATATTGTCCAGGCTCTTAACTACTTTTGAAAACACATTTATATGAAAATGCAAGAGACCCAGAATAGCTAAAACAGTCTTGAAAAAGAATAAAGTCGGAGGTCTTACCTTTCCCATTTTCAAAACTTACTACGAAGCTACAGAAATACTAAGAGATATGCATCAAGATTTACATAACATATGTTTCTTGACATTTAACTTTTAATACCAAGAAATGAAAAACTATCTAGATTTTTTTAATGGGAGATTTTGCTGTCTAAAATTACAGCAAAGGTGCTGGGGCAGTGACTTGCACTTGTAGTCCTAGCAGATTGGGAGGCCAAGGTGGGAGAATTGCTTGAGGCTAGGAGTTCGGGACCAGCCTGGGCAACATAGCGAGATGCTATCTTTACAAAAAAAATTAAAAAGTTAGCCAGGCATTACGGCGCATGCCTGTAATCCCAGCTAACCTGGAGGCTGATACAGGAGGATCCCTTGAGTCTAGGTGTTCAACGTTGAGTGAGCTGTGATTTCACCATTACACTCCAGCTTGGGAAACAGAGAAAGACCTCATCTTTTAAAAAAAAAAAAAAAATACAGCGCAATAAGTCTATATGATTAAATAAGGTAGTTATCAAAAACTAAGTTTTCCATGAATATTTTAAAAGTTAGAAGAAAAATACAGGTTACATAATATGATAGCAGCTTTATAAATTCTGTATGGTTGTGTGGGAGGATGTTTATGAAAATGCACCAAAGTTTTTTTAAAATGTAGCCATAGGAAACCAAAAATAAAATAGAGGTGAAAATCTAATCTCTGAGACTATCACCAAAACAGTAACCAAAAATTAATTTATGTGAGCAATTTTTATTTTTTCCTTAAAAAGGACTGTGTCCAAACCTTACACAAAAGCATATAATACTTATTTAACCTGATAATATCCAATAAATGTTAAAAGCATATAATACTTATTTAACCTGATAATACCCAATAAATGTTATTTTTTGAATTGACCTTCCTGAGAGTAAAACTTGAATTCTCCTTTTTTCCATGGTCTTAAGCTTGGACAAAAATTTATTGTTAACAGTACGTTTTACTCACAGCACATGGTTATTGATGTGATAATTTCACCATTTACGCTGTAGAATTTATTGCTTTGCAACTGATAAAAACTGAGAAACATATGAATTAGTTTTTCAAATTTAAACACGAGATGATATTGTGCAACTATTACAAAAGAAACTTTGGGGCAGAGAGTTTGCCCTCTGGTTGGGGAAACAACTAGAAGACAGTTGCAAAAGTATTGAACAAGTGCTAAAACAAAGCAAGCATGAGGAAGAAGTCGTTTGGAGCTTGGGTGGGCTTCAAGGGGGAGATTAACAGAGAGCTGTGTTCTGAAGGCAGTCTTGGCTAGCCTGGGTACGGAGGGGAAGGACCTTCCAGGCTGGGAGAACGTGAAGAAGGAAAGAGAATACAGTAGGTGGTAATTCCAGAACTGTGATTCCTCCAGTTTTTAAAAGCATTTTTTATATGTGAAAATGGGATAAGACTGATTTTTTAAAAGAGTAATTAAAAAATAATTCAGGCTGCTGTTCCAGTGTGCTATTTCTCTAAAGAGCAAATTATCTCCTCGGAGAATAATGAGTCGTTATTATATGTGGTTCTATATTTGTTTCAACCGTGGAAATTTTGGCAGACAGAACTCTTAAAATTTAGTTTCGTTATCTCAATAGTTTTGAAAAGGAATTTTTCATTACGACGTTAAAAGCTTGAGCAAAAATACCCCCAAGTCACAAATATCATTTTTAATGGTGTTCTAAAAGTATAAGAAAACATGTTATTGCCTTTTCTTTTTTGGAATGATTCTATTTTCTTTTAATTATTTAAAAATTTACCTTTACATATTTAGAGGGTGCGAGTGCAGATTTCTTACAAGCATATGTTGTGTAGTGGGAAAGTCTGGACTTCCAGTGTACCCATTGCCTGCAGAGTGAACACTGTACCCAATAGGAAATTTTCAATCCTCACCTCCACCCGTTCTTCCACGTTCTGTAGCCTCCAATGTCAATCATTCCACTCTGTATGTCTGCAAAAACCCATTGTTTGGCTCCCACGTGTACATGAGAACATGGGCGTTTGGCTTTGTGATTCTGAGTTACTTCACTTAGGAGAGACGTTCCTGCCTTTTCAGTGGCCTCCTACGACTAGCTGGCATTTCATGTCCTACTTTAATCCAGGCCCAGAGGTAATCTTTGAGGATTAAATGAATAAAGTAGGTGAATGTTATTTCTTCACCCCCTATTTTCTGGGATTTGTTACTACCTTTTCTAGGCCAAATTATTTTTTAACTGACAAATAAAAATTGTACATATCTCGGGTAAAACAACATTGTGGAATGGTTAAATCAAGCTAATTAATTTTCACGTGCATTATTTCACGTATTCTTTTCATATAGTGAGAACGCTTAATATCTACTCCTGTAAGAATTTTTTTTGAGTCGGAGTCTCCCTCTGTCGCCCAGACTGGAGTGCAGTGGCCGCTCCCGGCCACCGCAGCCTCGAACCGCTGGGCTCCAGCGATCCTTCCGCCTCAGCCTTCCGAGGAGCCGGAATTACAGGCATGCGCCACCACGCCCGGCTGACTTTTTTAATTTTTTTATTGTTGCTAACTATAGTCAACATAGGTACAATAGCTCTCCTGAACCGACTCCTCCTATCTAACTGAAATTTTGCATCACTTGACCAAAGTCTCCCCAATGCTCTCACCCCTCTGCCTCTGGGAACCACCATTCCACCTTCTGCTTATATGAGTTTGACCTTTCTAGATTCCACACATGTAAGTGGAATGTAAATCAAGAACAGCACATGAACAGAAGTGGAGCATGATATACCAGTTTGGAGAAGTTCCATGGAAAAGTTGTGAACAAGTTCGTGCTTCTGGTGGGCGCCGGCTGGCTGCTTATTCTGAGGAAAGTCTTTGCCAAACATTCTGTTGATGAGGAGGCCATGGCGAGGTTTATGAGTGATGCTGAACAGTAAGGAGTCCTTAGGAATATCCAGGTCAGCAGCACTGATGATGGACGAATCCAGCTCTTTCATCTGACCCTCACACACCTGAACAAGAACAAGTCAGAAAAGTCGGCCTGAGAGAGAACTCGTCTTTCTTTTGGCAAAGGGCTCAGAGCCAGTCATTTGGAGTTATCCTAGTTCTCGTTTTCCATGAGATTTGTAGAGTCTAAGTCTTACAAAACAAACTGCCAGTTTAATAGGAACCCAAAAAAAAGAATCCATGGATATCTCTTACATTTCTTTTCCTGAACATTTCAAACTTTATTTATCTCCATGAAGAGCCAAGGATATATGATTTTTTTTCCCTCCCCCACACTCCATGATTTTTTAAAATATGTATTTTCTCATAATTCAAGGGTCTGAGAGAACAAGCAGACAAAAGAATGCTTGCCTTCAGGAAGTCGCAGAAAATTTCAGTTGTAAAACTGAGTCTGGAACCTTCACTTTCATATACCAACCTTCCTGGATTTCCTTGCTTCTATAATCCTTCTGTTTCTAAATGCTTTAAAAATGGCACAACGACTGCTCCACACACTAGGCATACATGGTGTTTTTGTTGTTGTTGTTGTTGTAATTGCAGTACAGACTTCCATAGTTCCACTGCAATCAACAATTTTAAAAGGTGCTCCTGGATGCATAACGAGGTATATTTTCATTCTGGGCCCCTCATTTTTCTCCAATCCTCACAATTCCAATCTTCCTAAACTCCCCTTCTCACTCCCTCTCACACCCCACTTCAGGTTTCCTGGTTCTTTAAGCAATAAAGAAAGCTGGATATTTATCATTTCATGTAGGATCTCATCATTTAGAACTTGACGATGGTACTTTGCTGTCTTTATCTTTGTTTTTCTCAGAATGAAGATAGAACAAATAGATACTTATATTTCCTATTTTGAAATATAGCAAGATCTAAATAGTAAGAATGCACCGATTTTACATACACTTATTGGGAATCTGCAATGTTATTGTACTACACATTGTGAGGAATAGAAATATTTTCAAGAACGGAATCAGGTGAAGCTGTGAAGGCCTATCTATCAGTAACTATAATCCAAGAAAGAAATGTCTAGGTCTGCTAGCTATCTAAGAAATAAAAAGGTAGAAGAGACCAGCATGTCTTCATGGTAGAGGGGGAAGAAAGCCTTGATGGATACATACAGTTTAGATTTGTGAAAACACCCTTTCTTTTCAGTCTCTCTTATAGGCTTTGAAGGGAGCCCTCCTGCAACCCACTTTTTACTGAAATTGCATGAAGATGCATCGCTTGCCAAATGTTACAAGTGAGGGATGACCCCGCCCCAAAAGGAATTACCTTTTGTAGTACAGGCTTCCCCCGCTAGGTAAGTGTTCTAGGAACTCATCAGCATCAGTGTACCAGCTAGCGATGTTGTGAGAGGCTGAGTTCAACTTCAGTGATTTTTTTTTGCGGCAAAGAGGTGGCCGGTTCTTCCACTGTGACAGCGTACTTACCCATGCCATGCTGGACGTTCAATAGTTTTGGACCAAAAACCTCATGACCCCGATGTCCCTCACTTCCTATTTATCCGCCAACCTTGCCCCAAGTGATTTTGTTTTGTTTTGTTTCCCTGATGAAAAAAGTCCTCAAAGACAAACGTTTCGCCCATGTGGAAGAGGTGAAACAAAAAATCAAAGAAGCACTAAAAGGCATCAGAATGGATGAGTTGAAAAACTGTTCTGAGCAGTGGAAAAAGCATCTAGATAGGTGTATTGCATCAAACTGAGAGTAGGTTGAAAGTAACTGAAATTTAAACATGTAAGAATAAATACACAATTGTTTATAAATAAATTTCCTTTTTGGGGGCGGTCCCCCCTCCTACTTGGGCTAAAAAATAATCATGCGAAGCTTAAAGTCGGCTCACCCATAACACATGGGGCTTCATGTCTGTCCTAAACAGATTCTCTAAGGAATGCACAGGTAGAAAGCATGATCACTTCCTGAGAAGAGCAAAGGACAACTTTCCAGTGGCCTGGTTATTTCAGAAGCATCAACGCTCGACAGTTACAAGCCAATGAAGGCAGGTATAGAAGGCGTCATTTGCAGATTTTTTTTCTTTCTCGTAATTAGTGAAGGGCTCTCTGGAGAAACCCATGTGCCAACAGGAGAGGAAAAGCAGGGACTGGCTCTTAAATTCTGTGCTGAGCTGACTCTCATGTACCATTAAGATTCAGTAGAAAATTAAAATTGGATAAAGACTTTCACATTTAGAATCTGATTATTTTTAGTGAAAAATAAAACCCCCAAAATGGTTTTTTAAAAATAGCTAATATCGGCTTTGGTCACTGCCAGTCAAAAGATGACAAATATAATAACATTAATAATACTAATGGCACCTATTTATTAGGCATCTGCTCTGTCCCGAACTACCTTGATCATGACTACCTCTTAAAGGTGATTGTATATATATTTTTTTGAGTTGGAGTCTCACTCTGTCACCCAGACTGGAGGACAGTGGCACGCTCCCGGCCAACGCAGCCTCGACCTGCTGGGCTCTGGCGATCCTTCTGCCTCAGCCTTCCAAGGAGCTGGAACTATAGGCGCGCGCTACCACGCCCAGCTAATTTTTTGATTTATTGTAGAGACGACGTCTCGCCAAGTTGCCTGGGCTGGTCTGGATACACATTTTACAGATGCAAAACGAAGAGAAAGAATGTGCCCCAAACCCACAACTAATAAAAAGTAGCACCAAGTTCCTCTGATTCCAAAGCCTGTGCACATCCCATTTAATAAGGATTTGTCATACATATATCTAGGTTAAATAATCATATATTAAAAATAAAATTGGCTTGAAAGAATTACATGTTGATCTAAAAGGCACATAATTAAGTTTTATTAAAAATACATAATTAAGTTTTTAAAAGTAAACTACAAAGTAGTAGGTATAATGTAAGCCCTTAATTGTAAGTAAAATTATACAGGAAAATCATATACACATACGCATCACTGGCATGTGCACACATTATTAAAGTCCTGAAAACTCTATCATTCAGGAGTGACTTGTGGTAAAGGCCGTCAGAGAGGGAAGATTTCATATTTCACTTTGTATGTTTCTCAACATTTGAATTTATTCAGCCACATACAGTTTTTATTATTATTTAAAAGTCAACAGATGTTATCTAAGGAGTAATTTTTATGAGCCATTTCAACTGTATGTCTGAATGTTATTAAACCAACAAATGTTATGATATAAAGTCATTTTCAAGTCTGTGTGAATTGAATGGCCAAAATTGTATTTTTTTCCATCTCATACATATATATATTTTTAATTTGTCTATTTATTTTTATTTATTCACTTATTTTGAGTTGGAGTCTCACTCTGTTGCTGAGGCTGGAATGCAGTGGCACAATCAAGGCTCACCACAGCCTTAAGCTCCTGGACTCAGGTGAATCTTCTGCCTCAGCATCCTGAGTAGCTGGGACTACAGGCACATGCCACTATGCCCAGCTTATTTTTAAAAATTTTTTAATAGAGATAGAGGTCTTACTATGTTGCCTAGGCTGGTCTCAAACTCTTGGGCTCAAGCAATTCTCCTGTCTTGGCTTCCCAAAGTGCTGGGATTACAGGCATGAGTCAAAGTGCCCAGCCTCATTTCATATCTCTTCACAAATAGATATATTTTAAAAGATGCCTGTAATTTGTGCATGAAGAGTCCTTGCCATTAGAGCATTGATTGCCACTTACTTCCAAGCCCTGTAATCTTGGGCTACTTGGTTTACCTCCTTTTATTCATTTCTACAGTTATGAAATGGCAATAATAATACCATCACCCTAAAAAGCTGTTGTGAGAATTTAAAATGAATACGTCTTACTAACCTACAACTTAGTAAGAAATTTAGTCTGTGTGTGTGTGTGTGTGTGTGTGTGTGTGTGTGCATGTGTGTGTGTGTATGTGCATATCTCCTAGTAACTGTAAGTATATATATATATACAACCTAGTAATTGCACTCATGCAATTGCTACAAATTAGTGATTATGATTATCATTACCATCATCATCATTAGATTAATAGCTTTCTTTTTTTAATTACTTTATTTTAGAGTAATTTCTTTATTTACAGAGTAGTTGCAATGATGGCCGGGCACAGTAGTTCAAGCTTGTAATCCCAGCACTTTGGGAGGCTGAGGCGGGTGGATTGCCTGAGCCCATGGGTTAGAGACCAACCCGGGCAACTTGGCGAGACCTCATCTCTATAATAAATCAAAAATTAGTCGGGTATGGTAGAACGTGCCTGTAGTCCAGCTACTTGGAAGGCTGAGATGGAAGGCTCACCGGAGCCCAGCAGGTCGACGCTGGGTTGGTCTTGAGCATTCCACTGTACCCTAGTCTGGGCGATGGAGTGAGACTCTGACTCAAACAAAACAAGATGCTGCAATGACTATGCAGGGATTTCCCATGTAGCTCCAAACTAGTTTCCTCTCTTAGATTAATAGCTTTCAAATGATTGCATTACATGGCATAGTCTTCTCTACTCCTCACACATTTAATGTTAAGTGCACATAGACCAATGTAAATGGGCGGTGAAAATAAAATTCAAAAATGATAAGAGAGAAATTGAACATTTGGATGTTTCTTACAGTAATATTCTGCAGGACAAGGTCAGGAATTTCATCATTTGTAGGGTTAATTATAATGTAAAATGGTATCTCCAAGGAGCGTTGCTTCCCATCTGTGACGTAGACCATGAACTGATCCGCAGTAGGTTCTATCCTCAGATGCCTGGACTGCACGTAGTTAATGCGCAAAGCCTTCATGTCTTTCCACTGAAATGAAGCTAGAATAGCAAGATGGAACAAGCCAATAGGAAATACATTTTTCTCCAAGTTATTGGTCCTCAATCCTTTAACCCAAAAAATAGCCTGTTTCTCAACAAAGCAAATATGAGATCATAGCAGTGGATCTGTGTATCCAAGATCAAGGGCTGCTACAACAATGGTCAATGATCGACATAAAAGCAAATATCTACAGGTCATAAGAAAGGATAAAATTTGCATGGAGAACAGGAGACTGATAACTGCTAGCCAGTATGCATATAACTTAAGACCACTTCAAAAACTTGGACTAAATGTCAGAGTGACCTTCCCTTGATGAAATCACTGCTTCTGTATGCAAAGTTCTTGTCATGCTTGGATAAAATAGATATCTCTTTCACATAAAGGCAAAACAAGAGTCAATCATTTGTCTACTTGAAGACATATATATCAAGCAATTGGTTGGATTCCGTGGAATCAGCCACCCTGCTGTTTTGATATTTTGACATGGCTTTAAATCAAAAGAGAAAAATGCTCTAAGCTGTGAATTAAGTCACAAGAGAAACTGGGTGACCTTAAATACAATTAACCTTAAATCTAGTCTCTCTCATATTTGAAATGGATAGATCTCAAAAGGGACTCGGAGAATCATTTGCTCTAAAGTGTTGTCTTTGGAAAATTTTGTTTTCTGTTTTTGTTTCGGTTGTTTTGTTTTTGCCTAAAATACAAGAGCTATTTAAGTATCAGAGACATATTTTGGTTTCAAAATTAATGCCATCTGCTTCAATATTTCAAGTTTTCTCTTTCTGTTATACCCTTAGTATAATTTCCTAATCTTTCCCACCAATGTCTACTAAACACGCCAAAGGGTTGTGAGAATGAGTCCATGTGAGATCACACTAGATTCATTCTATCACACTACTCTGTGTTGCTGTGAGGGCCTTTTAACCCATTATTCCTTCAGTGTTTACCCCTGCATCTTTCATAAGTGAAATTTCCATTTATTTTGAAGTAAACTCACATGTGTGGGAAAAAGTGAGACTAAAATGTGAAATGAAAAACATAATAAGATTCGAAAGTATCAGCTATAATAATAATTCCTTGAATGTATATGGTGCTTGGAACATTTTGACAGTCCCTACCCAGTTATTAAAAATGATCTGGTCCATCACATTCATAACATAGGGAGTCACTGCTGGTCACGAAGCTATGACTTACCTATACTTATGCCCACATTGCTTTTTTCAAAACCTACGGAAGGGAGTGTATTTTCAAGGTAGCCAAACTGGGGAGGAGAAACCAAAACAAATTCCAGGTCATCTTCTGCAGTATCAGGGTCAGTGGCAGACAAATGGTTAATGGTAAGGGCTGTTGAGAAACCTTCATCTACAAGGAACATGGTACCTGCATACAAATAACAACACAATTATGAAATCCTTAGCATGAAAACCTCTAATCAGAATTAGTGCGAAAAAACTGAAACTCCAGTTCAGAGAAGCCTGCCATATGCAAAAACATTTCCCAGGAGATGTTCATTTTCTTTGGCATAATTCTCTTTAAAGTGAAAATATTCAGGGGTAATGGTTGAATTTAATTTGACTTATAAAATTATCGTTTTTTTCTTGCATAAGTAAGCCAGACAATAATGGGAAAACAGCAGAAATACAAACTGCTCCAGCATAGCCCTTCAGTCATTCTCAAGGAACTCTGATTTCCCTTGTGTCTCTATAGATGTGACAAAGGAAAATAAGAATTGCCAAACTGTTTTAATGAGAAGCCACTAAATGTAGTTTATGTACTCTTCAAGATCAGTTGTCACCTCTGTTTGTCAGAGCGTTAATTGCCTGAGAGCTATTATGAATTGCTCACAACGAACATTTTTTTCACGCCTTGGTGCTTAATTATTCTGCTGGGATAATGCTTTCTTTCCAGAACATTGCTTGTAAGATAGTTTGCAAATGACAATAACATTCATACATACACTTGTATTTTTTTTTCTGAGAGACAGAACATATACATAATGCCTATGAGGAGATGACTTTCTAAAAAGCAAATAAGGTTAAATGTATATAAATGGTCTCTCTGGTATACTCATTCTATTTTAATAGAATTATTACAGATAAAATAAGTTACTCTTTCTTTAGCAGGCAAATGATATTTTCCTATGTGAAATAAAATCAGAATAGTTGAGGAGTCCAATGTTGTCCTTGTCCCAAGACACACACACACACACACACACACACACACATACACACACACACACACACACATATTCTCTCTCCATACAGAAATATTTAAACCTCTAAAGAAGTAAATTCTTTGTCCTGTAATCTTTTACAGAGTTGGGATTTTCCACAAATTTGTTCTGAGGCAATTATTGAAAGGCAATTCTGTAGGATGGTTTTCGATTTTGACTAAAAGTAAAGTGTATTATTGCACTGAACCACAGGTATGACACTAGGTAAGTTAACAGCACTTTAACATAAAAACACATCGTCACCTATTGCTATGGAAGGTGGCTGGTTGTCTACTGGATGTACTGTGATGTTGAGATCATACACTGGAAAGGACTCATGAAGAGGAACAGCTGGATTTGGTCCGTTGTAGCAACAGCCATTCACAAAAGGGCCAGCTTCTCCATCCGAAACCACCAACGTGATGGTGTCAAAACAAGGCGCCAGGCCAATCTCACCACCTGGAAGACACAACTATGGATGAAACCTGACTTTTTAAAGTATAGAATACCAAGGTGAAGTCTACTCACACCTAGTCTACAAGCATTGACTGGCAAGGTAAAGCAGATATGCAGATAAAATGTAAAACCCGATTGTATCCCTATGAAATCAAATACAGTCATGAAAATAATGCAAATTCTTGCCCATCTGTTGCCTCTGGTGAGATCTGCCAGTTATCTGTCACCATATGGAAGGGCTAAACAGGGCTAACAAGGGTCTGCCAGTCCACAAATGAACAAGAGAGCGGCACAAAGATTGACTAGTGATGGTTTCATTCTCCCCTCATAATCACTTAGTATTACGACCTGCCTTGAAAAAGGCATTCTTGTCCCTTTGGTAATTGTCTTTCCATTTGTATTTACCACCTTAAATGAACAATCGTCAACCACACAGCAGTTATGAGAAACAGAGGACACCGGCTAGGTGAAAAACAAAGGCAGTCCATATTCTTGTCATTTCTTTCCATATTTTCCCTATTATATATTAGTTGAGATGTTTTTAAAAATAGCAATAGTGCCTGGAAAAGAAATGGCATTTATTTTCATTTCTTCTTTTGACCCTTTAGGTCTTACCTCTATGGGGTTCGAAATGTCCCCAGCTTAGGCAGTGAAAGAAAGAAAGAAGAAAATGTCAAGGTTAGTTTACCAGCGCACAAGACAATCTGCTCTTGGGTTACTAACTAACAGCATGGAATAGGAGTGTTGGTCATCCAGGACACAGAAAACTTCTGCACGTGTCCTCTTGGGAAATCTCATGTGTCACCTTGAAAATGCCAAGAGGGAGGCTGTCAATGCTTGGTGATGATAACTAGGGCACAAAAGGTCAGGGACATCCTCCCTTTTCACCAGACACTCTGGTCAAATCTGCAGAACACCATGCTTGGCATTATTTTCCCATTAAAAAAGAATGACAAGGAAAACCTAGAGATGATATTATTGAGCAACCAAATGATTAAAGGACGAAAATCATTTAAGGAAAAACGGAGTTAAAGTGGACAGCATTAGAAAAAATCCAATCAGCCTTCAACTTTAGGAAGAATCAAAAATAACAAACTGGCTTAAAACATTTATTCATTAGTCATTCACTTGGTAAGCCTTTATTTACTGCCTACTGTGTGGTAGCTAATACTCTGGGTATACCAGCAGAGAAAAAGGCAGACATTTTGAAACTGTCAAAAGACATTTCAAGAGAATGTCAAATATCAAAAGGCCCCATGTGTCAGGTGCTGACATAGTCTAAGCGCAGAGAAGGAAATGCAGTGTGGTCAGACTAGCACAGATGTATGTATGTATTAGGTAGAACCCTATGAAATTGCTATTATTAGGCCACTCTTTTACCCATGAAGTAGCAATTTGACATATTTCTGCCTGCTCTTGTGCAAGGTGCTGAGGGGCTCATGAGGGAAGATGAGAGTTAGCTGACAACGATGCTAGGGGCAGGACACAATGCCAGAGAAAGTCAGAAAAGTCTTCCCAGGTGGCTTCGCTGGCTTGTGCTGAGCATCAAAGGATAAGCAAGAGTTCACCAAGCCGAAAAGCCAGAAAACTGAGAGGTGGGAGAAAGGACCTGTAGAGAGAGGCAGTCAGGGAGAAAAATAGAAAAGTCATTCCAGGAGGAGACGACGGCTTAAAAAAAAAAAGCAATCATAGCACATTCAGTTCATGCAATGGAAGCATGGGATATATTTCCAGAAATAACTGGCAAAGTAGGCTGAGCATTAAGCCATTGAAAAGGCTTCAACATAGGTAGAAAAATTCTGTATCTTAAAATGGAATATAGTCTAGGGACACAATTTATACTTACAAAAGTTAATCATAGCGTCGCTTCAAAGAAACATCTTAAGTGATTTCATGTTTAATGCTTGGAAGAATAGCAAACTATTAACGTACTTTTATATTGTAAAATATGAACCCATTACTAAAGCAACTTTATCATCATCTCATAACTTTTAGGTATCTTAATAATAAACATTTTTGGTGATAATCTAAATGATACAGGTAGCCTACAAAACTACACATACAACATAATTGAAATTATGTCAAAAATTATGATTAGAATAAAGAAAATAAAATACTATAAAGTAACAGTGATTATCTTTGAGAGATGTAATGAGGCAATTTTTAAAAATTTCACTGTACTTTTCCATTCTTTCCAAGCATTGGGCAATGAGCATGTATTATCATTATAATTATGGAAAGCAAATACAAATAATGCTGATAAATGTATTCACAGCTAGTTTTTATACTCAACACGTAGAAGGAAGAGCAGGGCCAAATATTAATAACTCAATGATCCAGTTCCTGCAATACTATAGTTCTTTATACTGATCCCAGCACAGTGCTGAATACCTACCAATTGAGTAACTGAGTGAACACAAGAAAACATAACATTTAAACACGAGCCATCCCTTGCGTACAGTATTTCTTCTAACCTAGCAACATAACCAAAACGCTCCATTTGAAATAATTTGCCCCTGGGTCCGAGTAGGTCTTAGGAAAAGGAAAAGTTAGCTAACAGTCCCTCACATGGCCACCACACTAGAAGAGATTGAGAATTGTGTACAGCTGTTGTTTAGCACTTGGAACAAAACACTGGAAAAGAAGACAGAGTCCTCTCACCCTTAATTTACCTGCATGAGTCTGCCAAAGACTTTAAAATGATGTGGTAAACAAGAATCACTGGTCTCTGGACCCCTGCCCTCCTAGTTTATTTCAGATCTACTGGGGAAACCAACAAGAAGTACCTAGTTGTGAACTTCTGAGAGACATTGGGAAACATCGAACACATGGACTCTCCTCCGCAGGACGAGGAAATAACCAATGACACCTTTCCTAAGACTAAACAAAGATGAAAGGCTAGAGAGACACTGTTTAAGGAAAAAAAGATGTCTAGTGAAGTTATTACAATGTCCCTTATTAGCTAATTGGCCACAAGACAACTGGTATCCTAAGAAATCATTGTTTTCCAAAATACATATGAAAAATATTATTTCCAAATGTTTTCTCCCATTTCCAAATTAATCCTTAGCTATTTCCATCACTTGTCCTTGAGTTCTTGCCCCACTTCACTGCTTGAATTCTCTGTGTCTCTTCAAATAAGAAAATGAATTGAGTTCTGATAGCTCGTATTCCCTTACACTCACCTGGTCCTACTTACTCCATCACCATTCCTGCATGCGATTTGCCATTTAAAAAGACTGATAGGTGAGTAGATAAGAAATTGTACTAGAGCACAGTAAAAGTCCACAGGAGGAAATACATGGTACTGTTACCAAGACAAGGAGGTGTCCCCAACCCAGACCTCAGAAGATGTCCAAGGGGAGAGGGAAAGGTGATGTGAAGTGTCACACTGTCATCTTTGCATATGAATGAGTTTTATCTGCCCATTTAAGTTGCAAGTCCTTCATAGCAGGGTCTGGATTATACTCCTTTGTAGCTCAGTATCTAGTGCTATGTCTTGCAGAGATCAGATGCTAAATTAATAGATTTTGGCTGGGCTCAGTGGCTCAGCCTGTAATCCCAGCGCTTTGGGAAGCCGAAACAAGAGGATTGCCTGAACCTGTGGGTTCAAGACCCGCTCCAGTAATTTGGCGAGACCTCATCTCTACAATAAATAAAAAATTAGCCAGGCGTGTTCATGCACACCTGTAGCTCTGGCTACTTGGAAGGCTGAGGCGGAAGGATCGTTGGAGCCCAGCAGGTCGGGGCTGCGGTGGCCAGGAGCATGCCACTACTCTCCAGTCTGGGCGACAGAGGGAGACTCCGACTCAAAAAAAAAAAAAAATTAATAGATTTTTAGTGTAACGCTTTATGTGGGGGAACAAATGCCACCTGGGTGACATCATAATTCAATGCCGGAAACGTAACACAGTGCTAGTCAACAAGCATTTTCTTTACATCTAATCTGTATGCCCACATCATGTGCTGTGGTCATACAAAAGGTAAGACATCACCTTTCCTCTTCAGGAACTCAAAAAACAAACTTCTTAGGAGCTGGTTGGGGATCTGCAAACTGTCAAAATTCACAATTTAGTGACCTTAGGGAACTTACCTCAGGCTTTTCTATTATAATTTACGGATTCATAAACTATGATGGTCAAATAAGTCATCTATAAGTTAACCCAAAAAGGAGACGAAGAGATTCACAGGATGGATAGAAGGCCCGTGTGGTGGTGTCGGTCACAGAGTAGCAAGGGACACCAACCCTTTCTCTATTCTTGGATAGTCAGTACACTAAGGGCATCCGAAATACTTCTATACGTGGTGATCACTCTTGGCAATATGGGATATAGAATGTGGCTGCTTCCTTTTTTTAATGGACGGCAGCATCAAGACTGACTATAGGAGCCACCAGTAAGGAGCGCAGTTAAGGCTCCCATGTAGCTAGCATTCCCTTCCTGGTCACCATGCTGTGACTTACCTGTGTGCTTGTATGCCACGGCCCCTGAGATGACATCTCCCTGAGAGAACTGATCCACTGTGACCCCAGTTCTCCTCACCACTCCATGCTGAGGTTCTCGAGCAATCATGAACATCAGTTTCAAGTCATCACTGTCCACATCAGTGGCAAAGATATACTCGGAGGTGATGACCACCTCTCCACCCTCTGAGCAATGCACTGTGGGCACGAGGTCAGCCTTTAGGACTGGTGGCTCGTCATTTACAGGGAATACCTAGGCAGGGGGAAAAAAAATGCAGGTTTTCAAGAAAAAGAAAGAAATGACAAATTGCCCAACTGGTAACTCGTTGCTCAGTCAGAATGGCAGGTATTCTCGATCTTCCTGACACTTGAAACAATAGCCATGGAATTTGGCCAAGAAGTCTGTGTCTTTTAACTTTTCCCATATAAACCATCTTGCAAGGAATGCCCCACGCGAGAGATATTTTAGCTAGAAATGGGGACTATTGTTACAGTTTGGGACTCAGAACTCTCATGTGTTCCTAGACAGACAAAACATAAATGTAATAGAAAGCATTCTTCATCAAAGCCCCCATTCTCCTTCGTTAAATTCGCACATATTCCCGAAGAAATCTGGTCCTTGTGGTCTGATACATTTACATTTACTGCATCAAAGTTATTTTTATTTCAAATTACTTGTGATTACAAAGCTTTCCTCCACCCTCAACTTCCTGCCACCCAGGAAGTTTCTCTGGACTTATAATAAGCAGCAGCTGCATTTCAAACAGTTTGAGTTAAATATGAAATGCCGTTAACTATTCAATCAATGCCAGGTTTCAACTTGACAAAATGTTTGGTGTTTTTTTTGATTCTCTCCCTCTCTCATGAAAATAAAGCTCCAAGTGAAAAGGAAAGAAAAGCAACATGGCATCACACTGGCTCTCAGAATTTAAAAAGATTGTGTAGAAATTTGGAAAAGCACATCTTCTGAACAGGAGGGAAGGACAATCCTCGCAGTTCACAGCCACAACTCAGTGTGTGCTGTAAGTCTGCCTTTCAGTCCTGCAGTTCTTCCTCAATGCTCAGGCAAGGTGATTTTTTTAGGATGTGGATTTTTAAGTCACTGCCCTGTAGGACACCTCAGCGGCTTCCCATTGTTTTTCCTAGGATTTCTCTGGCCTCGTCCCCTGCCATGGGCTGCCTTTTTCACCCCACCCCATTTTCACCCCAACATCTATTCCTCATCATCACAAGGTCTTGGAACCATCTTTCTTGCCCCTACCCGGTAGGCTCTGTCCCCAACTCTTTGCTGGGTGCGCTCCCCTGCAGGTTATCATGTGGATTCCTCAGGAACGCCTTCCTTGACCACTCAGCGAATTCAGGGGCTGCTATTATTCACTCTCTTTCAGTATCCCATTTTATTTGCAGAATCCATCTGCATTTTAATCGATTAATTGTCTTGGTGATAATCTGTTTCATGCCTGTCTTCATCCCTGGCCTGTAACTCTGAGAAGAACAGGAACCTTGTTTATCTTGTTTATCATAGTCCAAGCATCTAGTCCAAGACTTGGCATATAGAAGGCACTTATTAAATACATGTTGAATAAATGAATCAGTGAATGTAACTAAGTATGTATGTCCTGGTTACCCTGCTATTTATTTATTTATTTTTGTAAGTTGGAGTCTCATTCCATCGCCCAGGCTGGAATGCAGTGGCTCGCTTACAACCACCCCAGCGTCAACCTGCTGGCTCCTGACATCCTTCCGCCTCAGCCTTCGAACTAGCTGGAACTACAGGCACCGCTACCATGCCCGGCTAATTTTTTACTTATTGTTGAGATGAGGTCTTGCCAAGTTGCCCAAGCTGGTCTCGAACCCGTGGGCTTAGGCAATTCACTCGCCTCGGCCTCCCAAAGTGCTGGAATTACAGGCTGAGCCACCAAGCCCAGCCTACCCTGCTATTTGAACAGGCTAACAACTCTACAATAAAAAAACTTGAAATTATGTTGACACAACCTTTAGTGGCTAGAAGAAGGGGCGATGAAAGCCCAAGGCTTAGTTAATTAATCAAAGCTTTTTTAAAAAGCATATACTATCCTCTATTTTTCTATTGGCTTATTAAGAAAAAGTATCTTTGTTCAAATCCTCTGAGTGAATTCATAAACGGTCTTCTCTAGTACTGTTTTGACTCTGAGGAGTATCATCAATAAATCCAATGATGACCATCTTGCTGTAGTTTGCAAAAGAGCTTCAGCTTTCAAATGAGTAATGAAGTCCAAAGGTAATAAAATTAAGAACATTCTTAGTGGGTAAAAAAAAAAAAAATACAAAACAGTTGTCCAAAAATCGTCGGTGCCTCTATATAACTTTTTAAAACTATTCTCATTTGTTTAAAAATTCACAATAAACAGTCCGGGCATGTTGGCTCATGCCTGTAATCCCAGCACGTTGGGAGGCCAAGATGGGAGGACTGCTTGAGCCCAGGAGTTTGAGACCAGCCTGGGCAACATAGTGAGAACTCGACTTGACCAAGAAAATAAAAAAATTAACTGGTGTAGTAGCACGCCTGTAGTCCCAGTTACTTGGGAGGCTGAGGTGGAAGGATCACCTGAGCCCTGGTGGTGGAGGCTATGTGAGCCATGATGTGGTGAGCCACTGCACTTCAGCCTGGGTGACAGAGTGAGACTCCTACTCAAAAAAAAAAAAAGTAATAAACAGATTGTTTCCCCAAAATGTACAGCTTATTGTCAGTAAGAAGAAGATAATCGTGGATGGAAGATAGAATTGGGTGGTTTTTTTGCCCTGATTTTTTTTTTTTTTCTGGAAACAAAGTAACTCAGAAAAGCTCTCTCTCTCTCTATGTGAAGGTCTGCCAAGAAAGAAAATTGTCCTTTCTGAAACTGAAATACCATACTGCTCTTCATTCAGACTTCAAAGACCATTATGAGGACTCAGTGGGAAAATGGAAGGAAGGAAGGACTTCTACAGCGTGCCTGGCACAGAGAGGCACGCGGGAACTGCTGGCAAGTGTGAATGTTATAATCACCTGTTTGGTAGAAGCGTGGCAGTGGCACGTAGAAAGAACACTGGCCTAGGTAACAAGGAACAAAGGGGCCAGCCCAGGTCTACACTGTCTTGTTAATGACTTTGTGCAAGTTGTCGAAACTTCTTGGTTGGATGTATCTGTAGTTATTAAATGGGGATAACTCCTTCCCTGCTTCTTGAGGGAATAGATGTATGTGGACATTCTTTAGTAGTTACTATAAAATAGATTCATAAGCGGACCTTGAACAACTCTCATAAGACTGTAAGAAAGAGAGTGGCAGTGGTGGAAAACTGCCAGAGGAGTGAGGGGCACACCTCATCCACAAGGGTCCCTGCATAATGAATATTTGTATACCTAACCCTGAATTGTACCCCACATATTTTAAATTTTAAAAAATTTTTAAATAGATTACAAACACTAATAATATCACAAAGGTCTCACAAAATTCAAACAGAAAGAGAAATAATTTAGTTCAGTGAGAATAACTAGCGGCTCTTCGCGGAACATAATAAATTTTTCTGCAGGCTTTCTGGAGGCTTTATAGTTAGTTACTAACTATAAATACCTACAAACTCTGTGAATTATGCTCACGGATTTGGGTGGCCACTCAACAGAGAAACCCAAGGGCTCCCGTAAGTCCTTTGGGCATATACTCAACCTTTACGTGCAGATTTTTCTTTATTTGTCAAAAGGGGAAAATATGATCTCAGACACCTCATGCCAGGACTATATGGTACGGGACTTCCCAAAAAGACATTATACACAGGCATGCATAGCTGTTTTCATAAACAGGGAAATCCCCAGTGATGCTAGTCCAACTTGTCCAACCACTAAATAAATATTTCTGAGTGTTACAGTTCAAAAATATTAGAAATAACTTATACATGGAATCAATTATTTGTAAATTACATAGGATCAAATAGGATTAAATAGGAGCGATCCTATCTCTAAATGGATTGGAGAGAGAGAACAGTGTGGTCCTTTCCCCAGCATACCTTTGAACTCTATTGCCTGGCCTGAGACATACAAGGATGTAAACAGGTATCCCCTCACTTTGGGGTCCGTGTGTTTCAAGTTGTATCAGGACCCTGAAAGGTTTCCAATAAGATGCTTTATTTCTATATGACCTTTATGGTTTGAATGTGTCCCCAAAAAGTATGCACTGGAAATTTAATCCCCAATGTATCTGTGTTGAGAGGTAGACCCTGATGGGAGGTTTTTAGGTCATGAAGGTTCCATTCTCATGAATGGATTCATGCCAATTATAAAAGGGCTTGAGCCTGTGAGTTTGATCTGCTCTTTCTTGCTCTTTTGCACCTCTGTCATCGGGTGACACATTAAGAAGGCCTTTACCAGACACAGCTGCTTGATCTTAGACTTCCCATCTCCAGAACCATGAGCCAATTACATTTTTGTTCATTACTGAAGTACCCAATCTTGGTACTGTGCTGTAGCAGCACAAAACAGATCAAGACAATGATCCAGGGAGGAAACATTCTACTCACTTCAACATGCAGGACAAATTCTGCCGAATTCGTGCCATCTGTAACCTCCAAGCCTATGACATCCTGAAGAATCTCAGAACCATCATGTTGATACCTGCGGGGATAATAGTTGTTCACTAATCTTTCAAGAACATTGTGAGAGTAAACTGAGATGCATGACACGAGTGCATCCAAGGCTTTGACCATGTGCTCACTCAATAAATAAATAACAATAACAAAACCAGCATGATTGTGAAGTCACATATTTAGCTACTCGTTGCATTCTTGAATGTAAAATTGCTCCACCCTGAAAAAAATGTGTTATATGCCTTATAATTTGTCCTTACATCAAAAACCAATCCTTCAGTTGCCACTGTGATAGTGGGAACTATTAATATTTTATGTAAGTCTGCTTGCTTGTAGAATACATGGGCTGTGGCACAATCAAAGCTCACTGCAGCCTTGAGGGGCTTAAGCAATCTCCTTATCTCAGCCTCCTATTAAACTATAGGATTAAACCAGTTGTCTTTTGTACAAATCTTAGTTCCCAGTCAACTTTCTAGTCAAGTGTGGAACTAAGCATTTGATGCCTAATACTTCCTACCACTTTTTATCAAAAGAGCCAAAATTCCCATTTATAACTAGACTTCAATATTTCTGTCTACTTGACCGATGCTTTTGAATAGCTTGCATCATTTTCCAGATAAGTTGTTTTACTATAATTTGTAGAAAAGTTTCCTACAGAACTGTATTAGTTAGAGGGAACAAAAGACCTTAAGGTGAGGGGAACTACTGTAGGACCATGAGGCCAGAGATCGCTCTATCTCTGACCATTAGAATCCCAAGTACTACTCCATGCCCTACTTACTCAGCTTGCCCTACTTGTTTGCCTATAAATCCTTGCTGCAGTAGAATGAAATAAGAGGTAACCCTAAGGAAACTGATCAACAGAGTTCTATCATCTAGAGTTCCTAGGTTATGAAATTGGCTCTTCTTAGAGCCAAGTTCAATTATGTAGATTAGCCTCATAGATTATTTCACTCTCCATTTATCTACTTTGACTGTAACCATTTGTGATATGTGCCGTTGCAGCAAGTTTAATATTCATGGCAATTAATTTTTGCTGTTCAAATTCCATAAAGTCATCCCCACTGGTACAGCAAGCCAGAGGGAAAAAGAATGTCCAGAGGGAAATGAAAAAAACCTATCATTTCTAATTTTCAGCTGACTCTTGAAAGTATTCAGTGGCATGCTGGTATTCCTGAAGGAATAGAACAAACTTCTTTCTCTTACTCATAAGAGATCCAGATAAGCAACGAAATCATGAGAGAGCAAAGCTACAAAAAGTTCTAACCTAACTTTTAGGGTACAAAGGTCTACCCAAGAAAATGTGGCCCCCGTGCTTAAAGGAACTCCATTCAGCTCCACCCTTCCATGCAGAGGCAGTTCCCTTAGGAAAAAGTAAAGAGTGTCCAGCTTGGTATCCCCATCAGAAGCCAGAATGTGCTCTGTGCTGATGATGCGTTGACCTCCCTCGACCACTTTCAGAGGGCTGGTGGATACCTAGAAAGAAGGAAGGAAGGGAAGAAACATTCAAAGCTGTGATCTGGGAGGCACCCCTGAAGACAGAGTTCATTAAATCACTGTAACAAACCATTGCTTTGTTAAGCTTTGGTGTGTCCATGTGGCTTTGTGAGCTATGGCCGCCATGTTTTTCTTAGATTTGGCCCCTTCTCCTACCTTGGGGAGGTGAATCTTTCCTCTTCTCTCTCTCTCTCTCTCTCTCTCTCTCTCTCTCTCTCTCTCACTTCCTAAATAAACTTTGCTTGAAAACTTTTTTAAAAAATTCACTGTAACATTTCCAGTACCATCTTCACATGTCAATGACTTTTCAAGAATGTGGTAAGAGGATAAGTTCACAGCTAGACATTTTGGCTGGAAAAAAATTTTTTTTTTTACCAGATATTTCCAATTCTAAGCATTGATGTATATAAAGAAGCAAGGCAGATCTATACACCTGAAAGAATCTACATTTTATTTATCTCAGAGCCTGTGTAGTAGAATCAGCAAACTGGTTACTTTCTATGGTGCTAAATTGAGGAAATAATAACTTACATTCTCATGCCCTTTGCCCACCACTGTTTTTGTTACACATACACCTTAGTCTACAAAATAAACAAAACCTATGTCAAATTCCCCCGAAGGAAAGGGTTCATCTCTTTTTCACCCTAAAATTTCTTAAAGACTTGAGAAGTGGATTGATGCTTTTAAGCTTCAGCCACAGTGAGTATTTTGGAGATGAAAGTAGAGAGAGCAGGAAAATGAAAGATTCTAGAAGCGACAGATTTATTCAAACTTTAGACCTAAATGTTAAAGATAATTTTCTATAATAGAAAAACGCGCGGCTCAACTAACAACTTACTTGTAAGTAAAAAGCAAATTAGAATGGCTTAGGATATTTTTTTTCCTTTTTTTTTTTTTGAGTTGGAGTCTCACACTGTCGCCCAGGCTGGAGTGCATGACATGCTTGCAGCCACCCCATTGTCGACCTGCTGGGCTCGGACGATCCTGCCACCTCAGCCTTCCAAGTAGCCTAAACTACAGGCTTGTGCTACCACGCCCAGCTAATTTTTTCTTTATTGTAGAGATGAGGGCTCACCAAGTTGCCTGGGCTGGTCTCGAACACGCAGGCTCAGGCAATCCTCTCACCTCAGCCTCCCAAAGTGCTGGGATGACAGGCTTGAGCCACCGTGCCTGATCGGCTTGGGATATGTTATTACCACCTTGAGAACGGGCAAGAAGTGTTCTATGGTCACATAAGTCTAGGAAACAGTTATGGATGATATTCTCGCCCTGGAGATTTATAAGGTACAGCTGATGATATTGAAGGTGCTGAGATCCCGAAAGAGGAAAACGTGCTGCCTTTGTTTAACCTATCATCTCCCCACATTTGCATTACTACACAGAGGTGAAAGCAGCCAGGTACAGTGAGGTCCCCAATCAGGGGTTCCCGGGGCTCCTCCAGGGTGGTCTGGGGTGAGTGCCCAGCCCATGGGAGGACAGTGTTCTCCCAAACAGCAACTTCTCTCAGCAGCTACTGCTCCTAGAAAGGCACCTGCTCCCTGAGAAAAGAGTTCAGGGAGAGGGGGGGAAGGAGGGAATGACAGCCCATGGGCAAAGGAAAGGGAAGTGAGGGCTGAGTCTGCAGCTTCCACTCAAGAGCCGGCTCTGTCTCCAGCCCGCCAGGGACAGGGCAAGCCACAACTCCAGGCCACAGCTGCCCAGGGCATTTGGGCTCACCAAGGGCAGCCCCCTGGATCAAGGGAATTAGGAGGCCTACAACTCTGAGACTAGCTGCCCTCGACTCTTTGATCAACTTCCACCTGCAAAGGAAAATATAGAAACAACAGACTTCTCTCCCTACAATCACTCTGGACTCAGTGGTTCCCAAGGTCTCACTCCCACTTTACCAAACCCACATTGTCACTATTTGTAGCAGAAAAAAGGAATTGGGGAAAGAGGGAGGGGGGAGGAAAGGGGGGAGGGAGGGAAGGGGGGAAGGGAGGGAGCTCTTATTTAGAGAGGAGTATTATCTTTGAACCAAGGTCCATGTTTGCCAGCCTCATTTTTCTGAGTTGGATCAAATTAGTATCCCAATATGGAATCTTCAGTTTCCAGTATTTCAAGGAATATATTTTTGCTACATTAAATAATTTTTAAAATATATGTTTTAGTTCAACTTTCAAAAAATAAAAGCGTAAAGCTAATTTTCTCCCACTCGTGAATTGTTCACCTTTTCGTTCTTGCCCAGACCCAATGCGTAGGTTCGTGGGACTTAGGTTAGCATGGTGTCAACATCCTCTAATGGTTATCACTCAACCAGCTGTCTGTGGGAATTTCAGGGAACCGTGCCTGTGATTAATTTCACTGAGGCTGCTCATTTAATTTTATTTCTAATATTCTCATTTTTTAAAGATACTTTTTAATTTGCTCCATCTATTGTTTAAAAAAAAAAAAAGGTTAGGGGAGTCACTCTGTCACTTTAGCTCCAATCCACATAACTATTCAATCCACCTTCAAACGAAGGTAACTTTTCCCTTGATCCTTTTTAGTTTTCTTCTCAAATCATTCATCAAGAGGCACACAAGAGTATTTCTCCACGATTGTCCTGGAAAAAGCTTTGGCTTCTTTAGGTACCAGGATATTTCAGGGACTATAGCTCATACACAGAAAAGAATGGTGTGAATAAAACCAAATCAGGTTAACTCTATAGGTATTCTAAACTATTTTCACCACAGGAAATATGATCTGGTCCTTAATAGAGGAGGTATCAAAGAATGGAGCTAGTTTAAACTCCTCTGTGTGAGCTCTTTGGCATGTCTTCTACCAAAGATTGCAAATTCACAGAAGTGGAAGGTCAGCCAGTGATATATAAATGAGTGTGGTGAGCTGGGTAGGGATTTTTCAGGGCTGAATATCACACCCTGTCCAACAGCTGCTGTAGAGTATCTGGGCTCAGTATCGCTAGAGTTTACAAGTTTTCAAGAGGAGCCAGGAAACTGCCTTGACAGGAAATTTCCTGATCTTTAAACATTGACAATTTGAAAGGACACAGCGTGGATTTAATATACTCAATGAGCAGCCATTTTAACATTGCCTAAATCTCATGCTTTTTCTAACAGTTCACTTAACTTACCCTCTAATCACTAATCAAGGATAGAACCTCGGTGGCTCAGCCTGTAATTCCAGCACTTTGGGAGGCTGAGGTGAGTGGATTGCCTGAGCCCGAGGGTTCGAGACCTGCCTGGGCAACTTGGTGAGACTTCATCTCCACAATAAATAAAAAATAAGCCGGGCGTGGTAGTGTGCACCTGTAGTTCCAGCTACTTGGAAGGCAGAGGCGGAAAGATCACCGGAGCCCAGAAGGTCGAGGCTGCAGTGGCCGGGAGCGGCCACTGCACTCCAGTCTGGGTGACAGAGTGAGACTCCAACTCAAAAAAAAAAAAGAAAAAAAAAGGATAGAACCGGTTTCTCAGAGGTAGCTATTGATGTTTTGCAACCCTCCTCCCCAGTTTGTTTGTACTAATTAGCTTTTCTATTTTCTATTTCTTCTTATGCCTCTACCCATAAGACCCAAGTTAACCTAATCAGCCCTGCGTGAATTTCATGACACTGACAGACCCCATCACCATGGCAGCAATCATGTGACTAACTCACTCATCTGTCCGCGAACCATCACCTGACCTCAGAACCTGCGCTTACCTGCCCCTTCGTGATGATGTGGAGGAGACCACCACCCAATCACCTTAATGACCTTCCCCCAACAAAGGGAAGGATTACAAGGACTCAACCAGGAGCAACCAGCCGCCATTGCCTTGCTGTGCTTTTTGAGCTATGGCCAGGCCATGTTTTCTTAAGCTTTGGCCCCCTCCCCTATCTTGGGGAGGTGAATCTCCTCTCTTCTCTCATTCTCATTCTCTCTCTCTTTCATTTAGTTTTTAAATAAGCTATATTTTCTCATCCAATTTCTGTGCAATTCTCTGCATCTTTCTCGTAGCATCAGATCGCACACCAGACACCCACACCCCCGGTGGGTCTGACCTAACCCAATTCATCATTTGAAAATACTACTTAGACTCATCAGACCACTCCCATGGGTTGGGTAAGCCTTTTGGGCCCTCGAGGTAAGACCTCTGTCCCATAACCTTGGGCAAGTATAGAGACGGTGAGGAGTGACCAGGAAATAGAACACTGGTGCCGGCTATATCCAGGCAAGTACCTAGGGAGGTGACCTCTTTCCTCAGGAATGAGGCAGGTATAGTCGCTGGCCCCGCCTGACCCATAATGAATGGCTTATGTTATTTTGTGTTTCTACTTTTAAAGTAAAAAGAGAGAGAGAGAGAGAGAGAAAGACCCTATAATACTGAGTGATCTATCACAGAAACAAAGAACTGAGTATCACATGTTCTCACTCATAAACGGACCTCGATCAATTATTGCAAAACTATAAGAAAAGGTTTGGCTAGGAGCGGTGGCTTAGCCTGGGAGCTTAAAAGGGAGGTCGAGGCAAGAGGATTGCCTGAGCCCAGGGGTTGGAAACCGGCCTGGGCAACTTGGTGACACCTTGTTTCTACAATAAATCAAAAAACAAGCCAGGTATGGTAACACACGCCTGTAGTTCCAGCTACTTGGAAGGCTGAAGTGGAAGGATTGCTTAAACCCAGCAGGTCGAGGCTGCAGTGGCCAAGATCATGCCACTGCACTCCAGCCTGGATGACACAGTGAGACTCCAACTCAAAAAAAAAAAAAAAAAAAAGGTTTGACAGTAGTGGGAACCTGCTGGGTAAGGGGAGTTACACCTCATCAACAAGGGTGCCTGCATAATGCACATTTGTATACCCAGCCCTGAATTGTACCCCACATCTTTAAAATTAAAAATTAAAAAAAGGAGACCAATAATAGTCACACCAATTAAGTCTAGCATTCTGAGCAGAGTAGGGGGACAGCATATAAATGGAACAAAGTCTCAATGTGAATCCCAGCCTCACAGACAGGGTACTTATAGTAGCACCGCCTTTGTAGGTCAGTTTTAATGAAAGACCCAAGTCCTTTAAGGCTTACATGAAAATTAAGCAGTGAGACACAGTGGGATAGAAGAGTCCATCTTAATTCATTTTGGAAAATTAAAGAGCTTCTTTAGATTACAGAGCAGCATAGCTGGGCTGTGGTGAGAGCAAATAAGTCCTTCTGGTTGCTAAGAGACCCATAATTTAATCCCCATCCCCTGATGAACACATGAAACTCAGCCACAAGAAAAGGAAGTAAAAGATTTTGATAATGCTTTGAAAACAAGGCCAAATTTAGCGACTGGAAAAACCTCACCTTTTATGCAGAAAATCCCATGGGAAGTACAGAACCTCTTTCCCCTGCTCCACTCTGAAGTTGGAAAATTCTGTTTTACATTAAAAAAAAAATAGCCTAAAGAAAAGTTACCATTTCTAGTAAGTCTTCAAGTCTTTCCTTTCTTTTGCTCTTTTTCATCCTCCATATCAAATGTGTACATACCTTGGGAACTTGATTGTCTACTGGGAGAATCGTAATGTTAAAGCAGAGCCCATGCAAAGTGCCGCCATGTTGGTTACTAACAGAAAATATGAACTGCACGTGTTGAAGATGAGGGCCGATATCTTGCGTGGGTGGCATGTAGGCTACTTTCATGTGGTTGACAGCGTGCTAGAACGCAAATTGAGATGGACATGTGGGTACTGATTTGCAAGGATCAGAAACGTTCAGAGATCAAGATACAACAGAACCATCATGTTAATTGATATTGAACATTGTGAACGCCACCATCGTCAATATGAAGAGTCCCAAAAGCTCTTCTTCTTTCTACATATCAAGAAGGAAAAGGTCAAAAGAGTTCAGTTAATATGCCAAGAGCTTGAGACCAGTCAACTCTGTGAAAGACAGAAGACTTGTATTTCAACCCAGCTCCACCCTAGGGGAGATGGAGGGTATTGGTCACGCTGCTTTCACTTGCTAGGCCTCTGTTTCCTTAGCTGTGAAATGGATAAAATAATAGCACTTATCACACGGAGTTGACATATTCATTCACAACTACAGTGAAATTAGGCATGACTAGCCCCGAATCACAGAGTTATATGCTACCACCATTACTGTGGCTCCAATGAGATCTTCAGAGAAGAGTCTTCGGAGTAGGGAAAAGGTTGGTAAGGGATACTGAAAGGCAGGAAGTGTTGTGGGTTGAATTGTGTCCGCGCAAAAAAGATATGCTGAAGTTCTAACCCTGAGTACCTCAGAATGCGATCTTTTTGGAAATATTGAAGATGCAATTAGTCAAAATGATGTCATACTGGAAGAGGGTGGACCCTTAATCCATCATCAGTGGTGTCATTATAATAGGAGAAGACAGACACACGGGGAAGAGATGGCCATATGATGACAGAGGTAGAAATTGGCGTGATGCATCTACAAGTCAAGGCATGCCAAGAATGGCAGGTAAATCGCCAGAAGTTAGAAAGAAGGATTTCCCTTCAGAGTTTCAGAAGGAGCATAACCCTACCAACACCTTAATTGCAGACTTCTAGGTTCCAGAACGATGAGACCATAAGTCCCTGTGATCTTAAGCCACCCAATTCATGGTACATTGTTATGATAGTCCTAGGAAATTCATATAATAGGATATTAAATGAACTGAACTTGGTGGCATAAAAACATATACACCAGGTCTCCAAATCAGAATCCTCCTGGTGGCAGAAAGATACAAAAGGCTATGTGGAATGACACAAAGATTGTGAAATCAACTCCAACTTGAGAAACTACTTTCAAAGAAATGCCACACGCTTAATGGAAATGCGCAAGCAGAAAGTATAACGACGTCAAGCATTAGTGGCAGACGTCAAAGGCCAACATTTTCAGATGCAGCACTGGGCATGCCATATCTTTTCAGAGCTCACTTGCATCACATCTGTCAATATTTTAGAATATCATCATACCTGAGTGAATGACCTCAGCCCCAGGGCTGTAGGATTTTTGGTTAGCTTTGGTATGCTATCCACCATAAATAATTTCCCAGCATCCAAGTGTCTAAAAAGAAATACAGGAGGATACATCAGCTAATTTTCCAGGTTTAAAAAAAAAAAAAAAAAAAAAAATATATATATATATATATATATATATATATAAAATAGCTCACAACCAGATTTTCAAAACCTAAAAGATCTCATTATAGGAAGAAGTCAGATGGTCCATCATTATATTTTCTCTTTATGTTGGAAGTATCTAGCTTAAGCCTGATATCATCAACACCATCCTCATCATGACTGCAAAAGGTATGTACAGAATTTCTTACTTTGACAGGATAAAAGAGAACAGTTATACTCATCCTAAAAAAATAAAAAAAGTCCTTGCTGTCAGGTACATGACATTAGCCTAAGGTATATTCATGCTACTTTTCTGGATTGAGATAATAGAAGATAACCATTTCACGGCAGTAATGTCCAAAAATAATGCTATGAAGATCTCAATAAATTTTACTCAAAATAAAAATATGCATTGTCTTCAAGAAAAAAAGTGATTAAAGCCTGTTTTAAGCCAACCTATGCTGAAGATACTATAAGCTACAGGTCACTCAGCAATTAACATAACTTGGAAGAGAGATATGAAATACATTTGAAATCAAATTAAATACCGGACTGAGAATAATTTCACGTCTAACCAATGGAGTGATTTGACCACTGCATTAGCTATTGTCATTTTCAACTACCCAATACTAGAACTGATAGCCCAATGCTGACTCTTCAGATACCTGTAGCTAAAGGAGAAAAATGGAGGAGTTGTTATTGTGTAGACAAACTCCCTGTCGTATGATTCCGTATCTACGAAATGTAGATGTTTCTTAGTTATGTAGGCCACCTCTGTTTCCTTGACAACCAAATGTCGAGAAACTCCAAATGCCTCTTGTGGAAGTTGGTCATTCACTGGAGTGATATAGATTGTTACCACCTGAAATAAAAATACTGTACTATTAATATGAAATGACATGAAAACTTCAAAGAGAACATCCCACAATTGCCTCGTCACAGTTAAGATCATTTTCAAAAACTGCCATGTGTAATATACTTCTGCCAAAATAATTCAGGAGCTATTGAGTGTGAGCCAAAAAATGGAATATTCTTTACTCACTCAATATTATCTTTTAAGGAAATAATTATCATGATTATAGTTAATCCATTCACGAGTGCTGTGGAATGGACACATAAGACACAAAATATGTTCTTGATTTTATTTATACTTCTTGCTTCTACCAACAACTTGTGCTTTCTTTATCAGTTTTAGAAACCTTGACATAACTTTTGGTTCCTCCTTCTTCACCCACATATAACACATCACCAATTCTCGAGTTTCTACTTATGACATTTTGCATACAGTGACCACACTCTATACCCATCCACAAGCATTCTACTGCTACTGGCCTAGCTCTCATAATTTCTTTCTTAATATTATTGCAACAGCTTTCTGTCAGCCCTCACTACGATATCTAATCTAGACTTTTCATACCTCTAGTGTTATCTTAAAAATAAATTACAAGTCAAATCAGTTAATTCGCCTCCTCAAAAATCTTAAAGAACTGCTCAGGAAGGATAGCATTTTTCAAATGCTTTCACATGACATCCAAAACCCTCCACAGTCTATTTTTAATCTTTATCTTTCACACCTTTAAATATTCATTCAGTGCTCTAGTTACATATAACAGACCAGTCCTAGTCCTCCACCCGACTTCTATGCTTTGGGTCACGTTGTTTCTTCTATCTAGAAAGCTTTTCTGCTGTTTCCCCCAGCAACCTGAGTCTGTTTCACCCTTAAAGCCTCTTGAAATTTTCCCCAATTTTTAGCTGGAATTCATTGTTCCTGAATTTAATTTAGCCCTTGCTATAGTCTGAATGTCAGAGGACCTTTAAAATTCATATTGAAGCTTAATCCCCAATGCAAGAGTATTAAGAGGTGAAGTCTTTAAGAAGTGATTAGATCATTCTCATGAATGAATCAATGTCCTATAAAAGGGCTTGAGGCCATAAGTTCAACCTTCCATTCATTTTGTTGTGTGAGGACACGCCTTTTGCTCCCTTCAGAGAATGCAGCAACAAGGCACCACCTTGGAAGCAAAGAGCAGCCCTCACCAGACATTGAACCTGCTGGCACCTTGGTCTTGAACCTCTCAGACTCCAAACTGTGAGAAATAAGTTTCTACTATTTCTATGTCACCCAGTCTCAGGTATTTTGTGTCACAGCAGCCACAAATAGACCATGACAGAAATCAGTACTGAGAGTAGGGTGCTGCTATAATAAGCACTTGAAAATGTGGACGTAGCTTTACTGGAAAGCAACAGAACTGGGAAAGGGTAGAGACTAGAACTTGGAGAAACAGGTTTGAAAAAGCCTAGATTGCCATGAAGAAATTGTGAAGGGCAATTCTGATGAGGGCTCAGAAGAGGAGCACTGTAGGCAGCCTCCATCTTCTTAGGGACTACTTAAGAGGCTGTGATCAGAATATTGGTAGAAATATAGACAATAATAAAGGCCATTTTGATGAAGAATGACCAGTGTCTTATTGGAAACTGGAGGAAAAGCCATCTTTGTTATAAATTAGCAAGAAACTTGGCTGAATTATGTCTGTATTCTTGTCCTTCGAGGAGGGCAGAATTTAAGGGTGATGAACTAGGATGTCTGGTAAAAGAAATATCTAAAGAAAGCACTGAGGGGGCTGCATGGCCTTTCTTGACTTCTTACAGTAAGATGTGAATAAAGATAAATGAATTAAAGGGGAGGTAGAATTTAAAGATTTGGAAAGCTCTCAGCCTGGCCATATAAAGAAGAAAAATACAAGTCCAGGAAACACTACCAAGGGTGTGGCCAAGTACCCATTTGATAAGGAGATTCACATGAACAGAAGGAATCCGGTAGCTATTTATCAATACAATAGAAGAAGGATCCCGAAGGCATTCTGGAGCTCTTCCAGGCTGCCATTCTCATCCAAGGCCCTGAATGCCAAAGTCTTGAGGGGAGAATGTCTTCAGAGGAGGGACCCAGGGCCCCCAAAACACCTCAAGCTTCCGCTCCTTGCATCCTGGTGCAACACTCCTTGACCATTTGAGATATGGCTCAAGTGGGCCCAGGAGCAGCTCAGACCACTGTTCTGGAAGGCACAAGCCATAAGCCTTGATGTCACCTGTACAGTGCCAATGCTACAGGCACACTGAGTGTTAGAGCTGGAGGTGTGGCTATCTCCACCTAGATTTTGAAGGATGCCTATGAGAACCTTGAGACACAGACTGAGAAATGCTACAGGGATGGGGCTGCCACAGAAAGTCCCCACTAGGGCAGTGCCCAACAGTCATGAAGTTGACGCTGTCCCAGACGTCTGTAGAGTCACCAATGTGCAGCTCCAGCCTGGGAGAGCTGCAGGCATACAACTCCAACCTCTGACAGCTCCTACGTGGGCTGTGCCCAGCAAAGCCAAAAAGGTGGGACTGCCTGGGCCTTGGGGGTTCAATGCTTACCCCACTATCCACTGTCCACTAAATGAACTAAGGCATTCCTCAACCAACATATTTATTATTCAACCAACATACTTACTCCATTGTTTTGTATTATTAATTAGTTTATATGTCAGTCATAGAGTCAAAGAGAATTAGTCTCAAGCCTCATGACTTAATGGGGTTTAGTTACTGGGATTAGTTAACCCTCTCTTCTTTCCTTTTTCCCTCCTTGGGATTGGGAATGTCTATTCTATAATTGTTCTATCATTGTATTTTGGAGGCATATAACTTGTGTGATTTTAGGCTAATAACTAGAGCAGAAGTTTGTCTTGGGGTGAACTGTATCTTGAGTTTCACTCATCTGATTTTAAATATATTTATTTTCATTTTTAATAGATATTTTTTATTTTAGAGATGAGGTCTCACTATATTGCCCTGACTGGTCTCGGACTTTCAGGCTCAAGCAATCAGCCTGCCTCAGCCGCCTCAAGTGTTGGAATTACAGCCATGATCCCAGCCTTAAAATGATATTTAGATGAGACTTCAGTTTTTTGAGTTGATGCTGGCATGAGTTAAAACTTTGGTGGCTGTTGGGATGGAATGAATGCATTATGTATGTGAGAAAAGCAATCATTTTAAAGGGACAGGTAGCTTATTTACAGAAAAAATTTTCTATTATTTATAAATTACACCCAGTCTCAGATATTTTGTTATGGGAGCATGAATGAACTAAGGCATTCCTCAACCAACATACTCCATTATTTTGTATTAATTAGTTTACATGTCAGTCTCTTTCCCAGATTGAAAGATGTATAATTGTAGCATCATGATATAGTGCAAATCACAAGGAATTTGACAGTAAACAGATAACTAAAGTCTAAGGATACCACTTCCTAGCAACTATTTAATTTTAAACAACTTACTTCACTTCTTAGCATCAATTTTTTTATTTGTAAGTTAGGCATAATACAACCAACTACACAGAGTTGTTATAAGAATCAAATACCACTATGCAGCTAAAATATCTGGCACATAGTAGGTGCTCATAAATATTTCATTCACCTTTTAATCTCCACAACATCTAGCACTTGCTTTTATAGATAGGAGGTATTTTTTAACATTTGTTAACTGAATACATCAACATACCCTGTTTGTAATTTCAAGACTTGAAAGAACACTTACGGGTTTCTGTCATGGTAGAAGGTAGGCAGGATTTGCCAAACAGCTTTTATCATCACATTTTTCTTGTGTTCTTTCTTTTTTTTTTTTTACAATAATTCATGCTTGGTTCAAGAAAGCTATTACTTATTCTGTCTAGAGAAGGTACTCTGCTTGGCATCATGGGTCTTTGCCCAAACACCCTCATGAGCACTTTCTATCTTGGTTGCCATGGCTGTTGTCAAATAAAGCCTCTGATATGAATTGAATACGTCCTCCCAAACTTAATCCCCAATGCAACAGGGTTGAGAGGTGGAGCCTAATGGGAGGTGTTTAGGTTATAAGGGCTCCATCTTCATGAATGGATTAATGCTCATCATAAAAGGGCTTGAGACTGCAAGTTTGATCTCTTGCTCTCTCTCTGGTCCGAGTGATACCTTCTGTCATCTTATGATGCAGCAATAAAGCCTGCACCAGATGTAGCCCCTCAGTCTTAAACTTGAACTTCCCGGTCTCGAAGAACCATGAGCCAAATAAACATCTACTGTTTATAAACAACAGAATATCCAGTCTGTGGTATTCTGTTGTAGCAGCACAAAACAAAGACAGCTTTGTTCACTCAATTTGGTTTTGAAAAATATTTTCTTCTTTCACCTAATTGATCAGGGGCTTTATAGAGCTTAAGCTTTAAGAGATCTTAAGCAAGGAGAAAGTGACATTAGAAGAAAAATGGAGAGTGAAAAATAAGGACAGAAGAAAAATGCAGAAAGAGGACTAGGAAATGGAGAAAGAAAGGAAGCAAATGCCACAAAAGCCTGTGGGGCAAAGTGGAAGGGAGGAAGGAATTAAACATGGCCAGATAAATGAGCAGGCACCTATGGGACGCACATATCACAAGTCAGAGCAGAAAGCCAGTAGGCAAAGGCAACATCAGAAGTAGTTCCTGGGGGTGAGAAATAGCAGGAATCAAATCTCAGGGCAGAGAAAGGATTAAGAACCCACGCCTACAACACAGTCAGCTGCCAGCTAGTGGAGGATCATACTGTGAACCTGAATCTGAAGGTCAAGGTCGGGCTCTATCATTTTGTATACTGATTTGTCACTTAATATTCTGATTCCTTACAAGTCTGTGGCCATAAGTAACCTGGAGGGACATGGGAGAAACCAGTGAACAAGAGCCCAGCAGTTGGTCCGAGCACTAGTTTTCCACTGTTTGCCTGGGATTGGGTGTTTCATAATGTCTTTGGTACAACCAAATTTCAATGCGTTGAGAATGTTTTATTTCTCTACGGAGTTTGTTAAAATGGGATTTTTCTCGCACACAGACACACACACAATAATTGATTGAACAACTTAGGCAATCATAAAGCATGTTGAAAAATGTGCCCACCAAGAATTACTATAGCGGTACAAAAAAGCATGCTTGTACATTCTTTTTATACAAAGAACACACTGGAGAATAAATTAGCATGGAAAATGGTCTCTTTGAAGGCACAATAACTATTGTTTCCTTATTAAATCCAGTTTTTCAATTAAGTGGAGCCTCACTGATCCACACTATGGCTGGGAGGTCCCATAGAGAATTTCTGAACTTTGTAGATTAGCAAAACACTATAATTGGGGGGAAAAAAAAATCATGACACAGCCGGGCTCGGTGGCTCAGCCTGTAATCCCGCGCCTTTGGGAGGCTGAGGTGAGTGGATTGCCTGAGCCCGCGGGTTCGAGACCCGCCTGGGCAGCGAGACCTCATCTCCATAATAAATCAAAAAATCAGCTGGGCGTGGTCACGCATGCCTGTAATTCCAGCTACCTGGAAGGCTGAGGCGGAAGGATCGCCGGAGCCCAGCAGGTCGAGGCTGCGGTGGCCGGGAGCGGCCACTGCACTCCAGTCTGGGCGACAGAGTGAGACTCCAACTCAAAAAAAAACAAAAAAAAAAAAAAACAAAAAAAAAAAAAAAAATCATGACACAGACTCCAGGAGAGTAGAGAAATGACTGTCATTGTGTTTCTTTATTTTGATGACTGGATTTAATTTTTAAACACTGAAATGCTTCATTATGAATAGTAAACATGTTGTAAACTTTTGTAAAAATAATGAAAAAAATACAGAGAATTCATTGATTAAGCACCTGCTAAGTATTGAGTACTCACAGTGCTACTCACTATCCTACATGATCCTGACAATATTTCACTCTAATGACCATGATTATTATTCCAAATGTATAGAGGGAAAAAACAGCCTCCGAGGGGTTAAATGATTAGCCCCATGGAGCACAACTTGCAGGTGGCCTGGGTGATGTTCGTCTTGTTTCATATCGTAGAAAAAGCTTAACCATGTTTTAGTTTTGCTTTGTATGACCACTTACAAAGGAATTCTCTTCATTTTCAAGTTGGGTATTGTGAATACTATTGTTGGCACTGCTGATCTGTGCTTAGGTGACAACATCAAGATAAATCAAACCCATGAAAATTTTTAATCACAGAGCTACCCTAAAGTAACCTTCTTATCTGGACTTTGAGGTGAACAGTTGAAAGTTACAGATTTTGTTGAATACTTTAAATATATTTTATTTGTAGGAAATGACTAGATACTTGCCCAAACTGAGGATGCAAACATCAGATAGACTAGACGATCATTTAAATTCCTTAAAAAATTGAGTTTAATGATAATAGCAGAGTATTACAATATAGACATGCTCACTGACACACACAAAATACTTACTTCATTGATAAGTACACACTGATTCTTAAGAACTCTGCAGAACTCTGCTTTACACCTATTACCACTCCATCTCACTCCCTCCGTAGTCCCTACCAAATATCTGGGTCTCCTTATTTCCTCCTAGTTTCAAGAAAAACTGAAAGAACCAGAATTCTTTAGGGACCAACAAATAGTTCCTGAGGTTCTACACTGAATCAGGTGCCAAGATCTGAAAATAGGAGATGAATAATTCAGTGTTCCTGCCATCAGTGAGCTCAGAGCTGACCCAATAAAACAAATAGCAGCCTCCCTTTATAGGAAGTTCAGCAACAAAGAAATGTGTAAAAAGATACCTGAGCCTATAAAAGAACAAGCTGAGCTAGCCTGGGGGTTTGTGAAATGGGGTCATCAGAGGACTCAGAGCAGGTGGTATTATAGCTGAGAGCAAGTCCACAGACTGGAGAGGAACTAAGCTAGATCTACCACCAATCGTAAGAGGGAGAACGGGGAAAAAACAGATGTTGGATGAATTCTACTAAGCACACTGCTAGTGTATTCATGGTTTGTTTTTTGTTTGTTTTTTGGGGTTTTGGTTGGGTTTTTTTTGTTGTTTTTTTGTTTGTTTGTTTGTTTGTTTGTTTTTTGAGATGGAGTCTCACTTCATCGTCCAGGCTAGAGTTCAGTAGCATGCTCACGGCCACCCCAGCGTCAACCTCCTGGGCTCCAGCAATCCTTCGGCCTCAGCCTTCCGAGTAGCCAGAACTGCAGGTGCACACCACCACACTCAGCTAATTTTTGATTCATTGTAGAGACAAGGTCTCACCAAGTTGCTCGGGCTGGTCTCAAACCCGCAGGCTCAGGCAATCCTCTCATCTCAGTATCCATGAGTTTTAATGGTTCTCAGCTGTAAGGATGTGGTTAATCACTTCTATTTTTAAAAGGCCAGGTGAGAGATTCTGAGAATAACCTAGTCCAGAAAAGATGAAGGTTGGAACTAAAGCAACAGCAGTGAAGTAGGGGAGGTAGAGACAAGTGGACGAGAGAAACCCATAGAGTAAACCGAATAAGACTTGCCGACTGATCATGCAGAGAGAAAACAGAGAAAAAAAGTCAGGGATGACGTCAGAGATTCCAGCTACAATGGTTTTGTGCACATTTTAGGGACACATACTAAATGTATTTTGGTCATGATGGGTTTAAATTTCTGGCATGATATAATGTTAAGATGTCAGGTATAGAGGTAAGCACACAAGTCTGAGTTGTAGAAATATTTAGGGGCGAAAACATACACAGTAATGAAGATCCAGCAAATTTGCAGATCTCTTTCTCTCTCTCTCTCTTTCTGTCTGTCTCTCTCTCTCTCTCTTTCTCTCTCTCTCTCTCTTTCTTTCGGCATAAATCAAAATTAAAGCAGACAAAAATGTGACCAACTTCCTTAGCAACCCATCCTTCATAAGGAATAAATGTATAACTGGATTCTATAGAGTTTAATCTGTAGATAATTATTCTGTTTTAATAATTTTTTTCATTATAGAGAGGCCTGACATCTATATGTGTGTGTACAAAAAACATGATTTATAAAATACCTAACAACAAAAGAGGAAAAAAGAAGTGCTGAAATTTCCACTTTTAAAAAGGTAAATAGTTGGCTAAAAGTGAAATGTATTCTAGTCATAAACATCACTCACTTTGAATACGTAGATACACAGTAGATTTAGAAATAAACCCTATTAATAGTTACTAGTTTGAGTTATCAAAGCAACTAAGGTCTCGAGCAAAAATTTAATGCAAAAATGACATATAATATATTGATGAAAAGAGGGGGGCAGTTATTTGAAAAAGAGTTGAGCTGTGAGTGAAAAAAAAACCCAAATGAATTGAGTTTTCTCATTCATTCTCTGTTTCCTCTTAACAAGGATCACCTGCTTCCTTCCGTTTCTGCACTCTCTGACATCATTTTTCCTGATCATCCCTTTCAGTTATATTTCTCTTAGCAAACAGATGAAGAGCTCAATCATCTATGCATTGACTAATGTAAGTGACTGCAACACGATGAGAAAACATATAACAAATAGGACACGTGCCTTAAGAAGTCATTCTAGAACAGGTTCGAGATTTGTTTGGATTCATATATATGCCATCTTAAGACAATAGGTTAAAATTCCTAGCCAAAAGTACAGCACATGGTAGGGCATTGGTTAATTTTGGCTGTCCTTTGTTTTCACTTCTCCCACCAACCACTCTATCCTTTCAAGGAATCTACCCGATTGCAGTTGTCCAGACACTACACTGACTCCACTTTCTATAATTTCTATACAGCAGTATTGGCTCAAACCTATCTCTGCATCCTAAACTTTTAAAAGATATCCTCTAGCAGTAGTAAAATCCTTAGATTTTCAAAGATAACAATAAATAATAGCTAATTTATTTATTGAGTGTTTACCGTGTACCAAAAAGTTCTCAGTACTTTATATGTACAGCCTCACAGTATCTCTGAAGTAAGGCTCTATTATTACCTGTTTTTCAGGTAAGAAAACTAAAACACAGATTGACTAGTTAGTCAACATCAAGACCAAGAGGGAAATTCAGGCAGTCTAACTCTAGAGTTCATAATTTAAGCATTATATAAAATAAGTTTTTCCTGGAGTGTCAGGAGATAAGCAAATTTTGTGAGGTTTTCTATAAAAAAAAAAAAAAAAAAGATCCCACAAGTTAAGTGACGCTGAAGCAGTGAATAAATAGAAATTTACAAAACTCTTTAGAAAAGCTAATATCAGCCAGGCTCGGTGGCTCAGTCTGTAATCCCGGCGCTTTGGGAGGCTGAGGTGAGTGGATTGCCTGAACCCACGGGTTTGAGACCCGCCTGGGCAACTTGGTGAACTCTCATCTCTACAATAAATCAAAAATTAGCCGGATGTGGTAGCGCACGCCTGTAGTTCCAGCTACTTGGAAGGCTGAGGCGGAAGGATCTCCGGAGCCCAGCAAGTCAAGGCTGTGCTGGGAGTCTGGGTGACAGAGTGAGACTCCAACTCAAAAAAAACAAAAAGAAAAACTAATGTCGGTAACAAAGAAATCTGTGTAATTTTGCTTAATCCATTGTTTCTCAAACTCTGAACCTTGAAACCTGTTTTCACATAGTTTCTAACCACATATCCCAGAATTGATATCTATGCACAAGACTTCAAGAAAGTGTTCAGAAATGGTCTCTTACCTGTGGCACTGAGAGATTTGGAGGTTCATGGCTGTCCCCCAGGACAAATTCAAAAGAATCTTCAAAGATTTCTCCACCAAAGTGTCGATAGTAAATGATCCCATTAAACAGATCTCTTTGAAGGAAGCCAGGGACAGGATAGCCTATTGGGTCCAAAATACACCACATAGTTTTGCAGAGTCTACCAGGTGTTGGGGTATAAAATATTGAACTTATCTCCAAAAGTCTTCTCTGCCTAATATGCTGCATACACCCAAGGAAAATGCATTAAATGTTTTTTATCAAAGATTATAAATAATAAAGCAGAAAACTAAAGTTGTTTTAATATGTAGAAAAATTAGCTTTAAAAAATATTTTCAAGAAATTTAGTCTTATTTCAAATATACAAAGTAACACTAACTACTCACCTTGATGACCATTTTGTCAAACTCCTGGTCTACTTACTTTAAGAAGTAGTAGTGAAATGATTCTACCAAAATGCACAAGCACGCTATTCATGGAATAACTTTATCAAAAATCTAAAATAGATCAAATATCTCTCTTCAGACTTGTTTGTTCTATCACCTTGCTTGGCAGATTTAATTTTTCATAGTATAATAGTTACCTTGAGGGTCAGCCCTGGAATTTTCTAGAAGAATAACCTTGGATAGATCAACTTAACTTCCTTAAGTCTCAGGTTTCCTGTCTATAAAATGGGAATAATAATAGCATCTTACTTCACAGACTTGATGTCCACCTTAGCACAAATTCTGACACAATTTCAGCAAATTCAAAAGGTACAGTGCACAGAACGTTCCCTGGGGAAGAATGAATTCCATTCAGACGATCTTAACTGCTCAGAACTCACCTATCAGTCCTGGCCCTGGCTTCTTCATGATCTCTCCGGCCTGTGGGGGTTTTGTGATATTGAAGAAGATGTAGTCATCGCTGGAGTCCATGTCCGAAGCTCTCAGCACAGAACCCTGGATCAGGATGGTCTGCCCCTCTTCCAGTTCAATGGCAACGTTGGTTATGAGGAACGGGGGACTGTCATCTTTGGGCAAGATGTTGATGGGAAACTTGTGACGGATGCTGTGATGGCCATCGAATATCCTGAAGACCACGAAGTCTTTGGTAGAGTCACTGTCATCATGGTGATAGCGGACAACTCCAGCTTGGAGATCAGCCACGGTGAAGAGAAATCCTTTCCCCCCTGATGGGAGAGCAGAGATAGAGCAGGTTGAACAAGAGCACACAGAGGCAGCAGCTGTAGGGAAAGCATCACTACAGGAGAGGGTGCAGCCCGGACTTTCCTCGCCTGGAAAGACAACAGGTTGTTTAGTGGTTCTGGGATACCACCAATCTGGTTTTGAATACTGGCTCTAACACCTAATAGCTGTGCAGACTTGGACAAGATATTTGATTTATAAGACTTGTCGATAAAACAGGGATAATAACACCGCGGTGATTACATGTATCTGCCAGTTTGGGCTAAGGAATGCCCAGATAACTAGTAACACATTTCTGGGTGATTCTCTGAGGAGGGTATTTCTGGAAGAGATTAGTGTTCGAATCAGTAAATGGAGTCAAGACCGCCCTCACTAACATGTGGGTATCATCCAATCCACTGAGTCCTTGACGAGATCAAAAAGGCAGAGGAAAGGCAAATTCTCTCTTTCTGGAACTGGGACTTCCATCTTCTGCCCTCCGATACCAGAGTGCCCGGCTCTAGGGTCTTCAGACTCTGAGACTTAAACCAGCCACCCACATCCTGCCCTCTGTCTGCCACTCTCCCGCCTCCTCTCCTCCAGCCATCTCTCAAGCCTTTAGCCTTTGACTGGGAGTCACCCCACCATTCCTCTGGTTCTCAGACCTTTGGACTAGGCCTGGTTACTCCCAAGTCTTCACTGGTTCTCCAGCAGCATATCATGGACCTTCTTGGCTTCCATAACTACATTAGTCAATTCCCATAATAGTTCTCCTCTTGCATCTTTCCGTGTGCATTGTATTGGACTTGTTTCTTGGGAAAACTCTAACTCATACAAATACCTACAGCATATTCCACAGCAACAATGACATCTCTTAAACAATAGTAAGCCTCCAGTCAATGTCAGTTATTCTTCAACTCTTTGTTATCCTCTACATGCAGTTCTATGAGCAGCAGTTTTTTTGTTTTGTTTTGGTTTGCTTTTTTGAGTCGGAGTCTCACTCTGTCACCCAGGCTGGGGTGCAGAGGCATGCTCATGGCCACCGAGGCCTCTGCCTGCTGGGCTCAGGCGATCCTTCCGCTTCAGCCTTCCAAGTAGCTGGAACTACAGGTGCATGCTATCACACCCGGCTAAATTTTTGATTTATTGTAGAGATGAGGTCTCGCCAAGTTGCCCAGGCCGGTCTCAAACTTGTGGGCTCAGGCAATCTTCTCGCCTCAGCCCCCCAAAGTGTTAGGATTACAGGTTGAACCACTGCGCCTGGCACTTTATTTTATTTTATTTTTGGAGTCAGAGTCTCACTCTGTTGTCCAGGCTAAAGTGCAGTGGCACGCTCACGGCCACCGCAGCCTCGACCTGCTGAGCTCAGGCAATCCTTCCGTCTCAGCCTTCCAAGTAGCTGGAACTATAGGCACGCGCCACCATGCCCAGCTAAATTTTTGATTTATTGTAGAGACGAGGTCTCACCATGTTGATCAGGCTGGTCTCAAACCCTTGGACTCAGGGAATCCTCTCGCCTCGGCCTCCCAAAGTGCTGGGATTACAGGCTTGAGCCACCGCGCCTGTCCGGGGCAGTAGTTCTCAGAGGAGTGGTCTCAGACCAGCAGCATCAGTATCATCTGGAAAGTTGTTAGAAGTGCAAGTTCTCAGGCCCCACCCTGGACCTGCTGCATTGGCTATTCTGGAGATAGGACCAAACAATGGGCTTTATTCAGCCCTCCAGGAGTGTTTATTACATGCTAAAGTTTGGCAAGTACTATCTTAAAGATCAAGAGCCGGGCAATCCCTTTGGGTCTCCTCCTGCTGTGGGAGCTTTTCTGTCCTCTCAATAAATCCTGCTTTCTAAAAAAGCAGAAAAAGAAAAAAAAAAAAGACCAAGAGCTAGAGCTCTAATATCAAACTGGCCGGATCCAAATCCCAGTTCTGACACTTTCTAGGTATATAACCTCAGACAAGTCAATTTCTCTAAATCTCAGATTACCCATTTGCAAAATGGAAATAATAATAGTCTCTAATTTTATAAAGTTGACGTGAGATAAAGTATGTAAAAGGCTGTGTACAGTATCTGGTACAAAGTAAATGCTTAATAAGTGTTAGTACTACATTCTACCCCCCTCTGAGTCCAGAACACCATTGCATTACGGTTGTCCACTTCCCATTTCACTTCTATAGTCTTAGCAAACATTGCCTCATTTTCGGCATAGACTGTTACAATTTTTGGTGGCAGGTGCACCCCATTCCTCTCCTCACACCATAGGGCTGTGTTAAAGACCTTCAGAGAATAAGTGATTAAACACTTACCTGCCCAAGAGTCACTTCATGCTTCTTCCTCACTACCAGAATCTTAATTATTTTGGGCATAGCAATATGACCACTTACAAACACTCAGGTTCCCAGACTCCACTGCACCAAGGAGACGTATGGAACAGTTTGGTTAGGAGATATGAGTAGACATTGTTGTATTGGGCTCCTGGGAAAACTTGTTAAACAGAGCAGACTTGGAGAGTATGACTTCTTTCATAGTTCCTTCCATCTCTTCCAGACTCAGCGACATGAAAAAAATAACTCTGATTTTTAAGCCTTTGTACTTGGGTTTCTCTTACCTGCAACTGATCACCCACACTAACTAACAAACCCAGGTTTAAACTGGTCTCTCACTATCCTGGGAAAAGGCAGGAAAATGTATCAAGAATTTATAATTATATCTTTGATTTCAGAATTCTCCAATCACAAATAATGATGAGAGTTCTCTTTCTGCTTTGCAGCTAGACAAACAAAAAAAGATAACAATTAAATCCTCTGAGCTCATTATTAAGAAATGGATTATTTTATCATAAAGTATAAATATTATTATTATTAGGATGATTACCTTGTTAACAATCATTCTTTATAATGTGGTTTTTTAAACCATGACAATTACTATTAGTAACATAATAACATCATTATTGCTAAAATATATATATTTTTTAGTCTGAGTCTCACTCCATGACCCAGGCTGGAGTGCAATGGCACACTCACGGCCACCCCAGCGTTGACCCACTGGGCTCCAGCAATCCTTCTGCCTCAGCCTTCCAAGTAGTCCGAATTACAAGCACACGCTACCACACCCGGCTAATTTTTTGATTTATTGTAGAGATGAGGTCTGGCCAAGTTGCCCAGGCTGGTCTCGAACCCGTGGGCTCAGGCAACCCCTTCACCTCGGCCTCCCAAAGTGCTGGGATTACAGGCTTGAGCCACCGTGTCCGGCCACTAGAATATATTTTAAAAGAAGTTTTTCTGTTTGTCGATATATTTCTCTGAAGCAGAGCACATAGGTAGCCCTCAGGATGGAAAATATAAAGTAGTTAAATTTGCAAATATAGAGCCACTGTGCCAGGGGATATTTCTCTGAAGCAGAGAAATTAGAGAGACATATTTTGTCTCCCAACTGGGAAAAAAGTACCAGTTAAGAAGTATATTTAGCCAGGCTCAGCGGCTCAGCCTGTAATCCCGCGCCTTGGGAGACTGAGATGAGTGGATTGCTGAGCCCGCAGGTTCGAGAACTGCCTGGGCAACTTGGTGAGACCCCCCCCCCATCTCTACAATAAATCAAAAAAATTAGCTGGGTGTGGTAGCGCGCGCCTGAAGTTCCAGCTACTCGGAAGGCCGAGGCGGAAGGATCGCCGGAGCCCAGCAGGTCGAGGCTGCGGTGGCCGGGAGCGGCCACTGCACTCCAGTCTGGGCGACAGAGTGAGACTCCAACTCAAAAAAAAAAAGAGAAGTATATTTAAGGCCAGGCACAGTGGCTCATGCCTGTAATCCCAATACTTTGGGAGAGTGAGGCAGGAGTATTGCTTGAGCCCTGGAGTTCGAGACCAGTGTGGGCAACATAGTGAGACTTTGTCTCTACAAAGAAAAAAAAATCAAAAAATTAATCAGGTACGATGGTGCGCACCTGTCATCCCAGATACTCAGAGGGCTGAAGCAGAAGAACCACCTAAGCCCAGGAGGTTGAGGTTGTGGTGAACCATGACTGTGTCATTGTACTCCAGCCTGGGAACAGAGTGAGACCCCCAACTCAAGAAATATATTTATTTATTTATTTATTTATTTATAAGGAGCCCTGCATGGTAACTAGAAAGCAAAACTGAGATTTAAATATTGAGCCAAGCATAAGGTTCTGTTTATGCACGGTTGGACATTGATCTGAATATCCTAACCCAAAAGTTGATGGTTTCAAGATCTCCAGATTTTCTGGATAGGACAATTTCATGTAGAAATGGGGCCCAAGATGGCCGGGTGCAGTGACTCAAGCCTGCAATCCCAACACTTTGGGAAACCGAGGTGAGAGGATTGCCTAAGCTCAGGGGTTTGAGACCAGCCTGGGCAACTTAGTGAGACCTCGTCTCTACAATAAATCAAAAAATAAGCCGGCCATGATGGCGCACACCTATAATTCCAGCTACTTGGTAGGCTGAGGCAGAAGGATCCCCTGAGCCTAACAGGTCGAGGCTGTGGTGGCCGTAAGCGTGCCACTGCACTCCAGCCTGGGCAACTCAAAAAAAAACAGAAAGAAAAGAAATGGGGCCCAAGAGATGCTACATCTATCCTGTTAAGTATGATTTGCTTATGAAGAATACTTCTTGGGTTCTTTTCCAGTTTACAAAAGTGGTTCATTCTATTCACCTCTTAATGTAAGCCGTCCATGCTGCAGGCCACCAACAGTAACTAAACGGACAGCACCAATGTCATCATTGTCAACAACCTGAAAGTGCTCCCAGGTGATGGCCCGAGATTGCCCCTCCAGGAGACTCAGACCTACAAAAGAAAGTAGAAAAGTGTGTTAGAAAGTTCTAGGACACGCCAACACACTTGCTTAAAGAAAAGACTGATGAGTTACTACTCATGATATTATCTGAAATTTCTATGTCGAAAGCTTTTCAGGAAATGGAAACATAGTTTTTATTTTTTAGTCTTTTTTTATTTTTAGTACTATTAGCTCCAATATTACAACTGGTTCCTTGTGATATGTCCTTTAGAAGCATGATAGTTTCAGCAAATACATACTAAAGAAAAGAATAAATGTTATATTCATAGTAGTCTCTAGTTTTAAAAAGTCCACAAGGACAATGTCTGTGGAAAACAGTGTGGTAATTCCTAAAAAATCAAAAAATCAACCCTTTGTACAACCCAGCAATCCCCCTTCTGGGAATATATCCGGAGAAACTCAGATCACACTATGAAAAAATACTTGCACATGCATGTTTATTGCAGCATGATTCACAATAGCAAAAGCATAGAACCAACCGTGTTACCTATAAAAAGTGAACTGGATTTAAAAATGTGGTACATATATGCAATGGAATATTATGCAGCCATAAAGAAGAACAAAATTATGAACTTCACAGCAACTTGGATGGACTTAAAGTCTATAATACTGAGTGATCTATCACAGAAATAAAGAACTGAGTACCACAGGTTCTCACTCATAAGCAGACCTTGAACAATTATCATAATACTACAAGAAAGGAATTGGCAGTAGCAGGAAACTGCCAGGAAATGGGGGGGCACACTTCATCAATAAGCGTACCTGAACTCAAACCAGGTGAAGTGGGGACCAAAGTGAGGCCCAAACTTTACCTGTACAGTGACCATTTGTATACCTAACCCTGAATTGTACCCCCATCTTTAAAATAATTTTTTTTGTTTTGTTTTGTTTACTTTGAAAGTTTAATAGCTAGACTGATTTATTGCCAGAACATCTTCATGAGAAGAAATGTTTAAGAAAGTTATTGAGGGAGAAATATGATATCAAACAAAAGCTTGGATCTACATAAACAAAGAGTTCCAGAAATGGTGAACATAAAGATAAATATAAAATACTTTTTCTAAAATAAAAAAAAATTTTTTTAATGTCCACAGGGAATTTTTCAAAGGTTACATTCAGACCTTTTAAGTCGCCAAAAGAGTCAGAAGGGCTTTTACATGTATTGTAATTTATGAACACCTGGGGATCCCTCAGGTTAGAGGTGGTGAAATTCACAAATACGAAACCACTGTGTCAGGGGTGTTTAATGGTATCAGACATGAAGCACCTGACACTTTCCAATGAGGGTTGTATTTTAGTGTAGATTCTACTAAGGGAGGGACTTGTGTAACTAAAGGAATTAAAATAAAACCTTCTCCTTGGACCGGCATGCTGGAGGAAATCTGTGGAGAAAGATTTGCTTACTGGTCAAAACAAGAAGACTATAGATTCTAGACTAAATGCTCAGGCTGGCGATGAGAACGGTAGAGTCATCAAACATTCCCGTCCCTGAAAGAGCAGAGAGCCAACAGACGGCAAAGGGTCTTGAAAGGGAGCAGAGCTTTTAAAAATATTTTATTTTATCTTATTATAGATATGGGGAGGCACCAGCCAGGATTAGTTCGTTACACAAGCAGGCTGTGTGCCAGTGAAGTTTGGACCTCCAACGGGTCTCCTGGTTTAAGACCAAGGACCCTTTGAGAAGAGCAGAACTTCTTCAAGAAGCAAGCTGACCAAGTTTAAAGACAGGCTGCTGATAGGCCTCGTTTATGCTTCCTCTCAAATCTGCCAGCTTTACCTGCCTCCCTGGGCCTTGGTCACGCTCCCACTTGCTGGCTGGGGCAGCTCCATGAGGGTCCCACAATCTCCAAAATCGTACAGCTCTCCTGCCACCATTTTGCCTCATCTCCTGACGTGGCCGGTGGTGACAGGACCTCCCTCCTGACTGTGGTCCGGCCCTGCACTGTGGGACCCAGGGAGCTGGTGCAGTGGCTACAAAGAGAGTCCAGGTAACATAACCTGGATGCGTGGGGACTTAACATTCAGTGAGGCACACTCTGACCCTTTAGAGCAGTCATAGATTGCTCACTCTTTCCCCAACCCAACCTCCAACTCTTCTCAGACAGTGGTTCCACCTGCTCCCTGGAGACATCAGAGCTAGGAAGCCATCTGCTTTTATCTTTTTGAAAAGCTGGGACCAGCTGGGCTCGGTGGCTCAGCCTGTAATCCCGCGCCTTTGGGAGGCTGAGGTGAGTGGATTGCCTGAGCCCGCGGGTTCGAGACCTGCCTGGGCAGCGAGACCTCATCTCTACAATAAATTAAAAAATCAGCCGGGCGTGGTAGTGCATGCCTGTAATTCTGGCTACTCGGAAGGCTGAGGCGCCGGAGCCCAGTAGGCGAGGCTGTGGTGGCCGGAAGCGGCCACTGCACTCCAGTCTGGGCGACAGAGTGAGACTCCAACTCAAAAAAAAAAAAAAAAAAGCTAGGAGCAGCTCCGTCATACCACCTTTATATCTACCGCTCTCTTTACTCTTGCTTTCAGTGTAGGGTTAGTACATATGACATGCCTTGGGGTTTGTTTTCTAAGGAAATTGGCTAAGACACACAATATGTGAAAGAAAAAAAGAGAGAGAAAGGAAGGAAAGAATGTAGGAAGGGAGGGAAGGAAGAAAGAAAGAAAGGGGAAAATGAGAAAGGAGGAAGGAAGGAGAAGTACATATAAAGAATCTCTAGCTGGTACTAAGGGTTTTGAAGCCAGGAGTGCACAAGACAATACAGGACAGGGCAGGATGGGGCGCAGCAGAGAGGCAACCAAGAAGACTAGCAATATATACATAGAAAAATATTAACATTTGTTTTATCTTCATGGTGAGATAATGAATGATTTTAATTTGATTTAATGTGTTCTCCAAATTTTCAAAATAGCACAGATAAGGTTCATAAGAAGTGAATACTTATTTTAGAAAGGATTTTGATGTCCAAAGCAGCCAAAATCAGATTTGGGGCTCCCTGAACAAACCTAGGTGTTATAGAACACATAGATTATTCCATCTCTACACTCAAGCAATACTCTATGCAATATGTGATTATTGTTAAACTTTAGGTTACCAATTCCTTCTTTTCTTTCATTATCCCTTTAACAGAGGCATAGTGAAACAGAGAGCCAGAAATCAAGGCTGCTCGACCAATGTTCTCCATCGCAACTGAAATTCACATACATACAAACACTAACACGTGTGTACAAACACACACATACATACACATCAGGCAACTCATTGAAGACGACACCTGAGGATTTAAATCAGACACAGATATTTTCTCCTTAATACCTGCTACCACTGCTTATAAATGTTTTTAATGCTATTGATGAGATCAGTGAGGAAGGAAAAATCTTCATTTACATTCCACATTTACATCTGCTCTAAATGTACACATCAGATTATGAGTTCACTCAGAATTAGAAGGCAGTACAAAGCCTTTGTTTTTTTTAAAGCAGCTGAAGCTCTTCTTTATGTATTTTGGTTTTTATGAAGTCCTAAGTAAAGATAATATTACAAAGGCTACGCCTTTCTCCAATCCCTGTGAACAATTGGAGTTGGGGAACTTCTCTCTCTCGACCCAACAACAGCTCTTGACCACAGAAAGTCACTTTTTGCTTCATTCAGTTGAAAAGTGTCCTTTCGGATTATCTCCTACAGCAGAAAGAACTTGGCATCAGGACATAGAAATCCTGGATTTAAATTTCTCAGTCTGCCACTAGGAATAAGCAAAACTAAACAACTATCAGTTGCCTTTAATCTGTCTGGGTTTCAAGTGCCTCATGTGTGAAATGGGAATAAAACTACCTTTCTTTCCTGACCCATCTACTTTCTTGTATTCCTTCCAGAGCCATGTTGTTTGATGCCTTAAATCAAGCTTTACCTGTATTCCAAGACACTCGAGGGGCGTTTGTATCTGCTGTTCTGATGGAGATGTGGACGGTGATAGGTGCACTTTTTGCAAAGAAGAAGTCGTACACCTCCAGCTCCACCTGCAAACAAACAGATGCATAGGACTCACTTGCTGGCAAGCTATCGTTTAAAGTAGCATTGATTCTGAAGTGTACCCACAGACAGAGGCAGGCATGAATTCAAGTTTCTGCCACTCCTGGATCTCATCTTTGACAATCTGATTTGACTTTTTCTGGCTCTAGATCTTGTTCCTTCATTTATCTGTTTATTTATGATTAATTAATTAATTTTTTTTATTTTTGAGTTGGAGTCTCACTCCTTCATCCAGACTGGAGTGCAGTGGCAAGCACACTCACGGCCACCCCAGCATCGACCTACTGGGCTCTGACAATCCTTCCACCTCAGGTTTCCCAGTAGCCCGGACTACAGGTGTGCTAACACACCTGGCTATTTTTTTCATTTATTGTAGAGACGAGGTCTCGCCAAGTTGCCTGGGCTGGTCTCGAACCTGTGGGCTCAGGTAATCCACTTGCCTCAACCTCCCAAAGTGCTGGGATTACAGGCTGAGCCACCACACCCAGCCTATCTGTATTTTTAAATTTTCATCTCCATAAAAGAATTTAATTTGAAATTAGCAAATATGCTGGAGAAGCCTCTCGGAGTTTGCTCACAGGCTATCTCAGTCCAACAGTAGGCACCTCAAATCTCTCTCAAGGACGGAGGATCTCCAGCGCTGGTTCTCAACAGTGGGTGATCTTGTCCCCTAGGGGACAAGACATTTTTGATTTCACAAATGGGTGTGTGGGAGTACGCTACTGGCATCCAATAGGTAGAAGCCGGGAATACTAGCATCCTACGACACACGGGACAGCCCCACAACAAAGAATTATCTGTCCAAAATGTCCATTAGGAAACCCCGATCTAGAGGCACCTATCCCACTTGACATTTTTTTATTTTTTATTTTTTTGAGTCAGAGTCTCACTTTGTCTCCCAGGCTGGAGTGCAGTGGCATGCTAATAGCCACCACAGTTGACCTGCTGGGTTCAGATGATCCTTCCGCTTCAGCCTTCCAAGTAGCTGGAACTACAGGCATGTACCACCACGCCCGGCTAATTTCTTGATTTATTGTAGAGATGAGGTCTTGCCGTGCTGCTCAGACTGGTCTCAAAACCCTGGGCTCAGGAATCCTCTCACCTCCACCTCCCAAAGTGCTGGGATTACAGGTTTGAGCCACCATGCCCAGATAGACATATTTTTAAATACCTAAATTTTATTTGCTCTCATAAAATCCATACTAATAAGTAGGGGCTATGTGTTAACTTTTGCACACTCCTATGTGTTCCGTGTGTACTGCACCCGACAGAGAAGAATGAGATATAACACAGAAAAGCAAGGCAGACGACCTACTTTTGAAAAACGTGTAGCCCATTGGAGAGGTTAAGAGAAATAATCAGATAGTAATACATCAGCAAATGCTGAATAAATAACAAGAGAAACCAACTCAAGGCTGCCAAAGTAACAGAGTCAAAATTAAACACTACATGGGCAAGTGACATCTTTTTTTTGGAAACATACACACACTGATAATTAGGTCAATACGTATTAGGTGGGGCCCTTGGCCCCGGGCTTCCACCTACTCAACCTAAAATTCTCATAAACTCCCCTGAGAAAACTGAGAGCTACCGTCTGATAAAAAACAAAAACAAAAACAAGAAAACACATTTGCACAGGTTCAGCTTTAAGATTCCAGATACGATTTATACGATGCCAGAAAATACACGCAGGAAGCAGACAGAAAAGTTCTCTACTTGTGAGCTCGGACGTATAATGAGAACTCCATCACAGGGAAGGGTTGGGTGGGGAGGGAAGAAAGAAAAAAACAGCTGCCACATGGTATGAGGAAAAGAAGAAAATAAAAGCAAGGCAAAGCACAACATTTATAGTCTTTTGTCTGCTCCTGAGGCTAAATGCTGAAAATGCCAAAATTGCACGGAGGACAATTTGGTAACCCCAGGAACACTCATTTTCCCTAATAAACCTGAACTCAAGTCTGTATCAATCTGCTCGTTTAAAATTTCCATCCTGTTTGAATCAACTTGCTGGTAGGTCTTTGGGTATATGAAGCGTTATTATGTGTAAGACTGTAACCAGCTGCTCTTGATTCTCACTGAACACAAAACCAGAGGGAAAAGGCCAAACCTGCAGCAAAAGTGATATAGATTGGATAAAAGGAGGACTTTCCTGATGGAAAGTGCTTAATAGGAAAATTATTGTCATCCCAGCACTTTGGGAGGATGAGGTGAGGGGATTGCTGAGCCCATGGGTTCAAAAACAGACTGGGCAACTTGGCAAGACCTCGTCTCTACAATAAATCCAAAAAAATTAGCTGGGCGTGGTGGCGCACGCCTGTAGTTCCAGCTACATGGAAGGCTGAGGCAGAAGAATTGCCGGAGCCCAGTGGGTCAAGGAGGTGGTGGCCGTGAGGGTGCCACTGCACTCCAACCTGGGAGATGGAGTGAGACTCCAACTCAAAAAAAAAAAAAATTCAGTTATCAAATGAGACCATGGAATCTGCCACCCTGTGTCAGTGTCATTCACTAAAATCAAGGACCCTCATAAAAAACTCTCCTCCCCAAAATAAAATAATTTATTAATAAAAGAACTGTTAACAAAACTCATCTGGAATGTCAATGGTCTACGTAGTACAGGGAAGCTATGGAGCGCTACCAGAGGTCTCAAATTGGTGCCAAATGTGATCCTCAGAAATATTTTGTAGCTAGTACAATGTGTTTAAAATTGTTTAATTGTGTTTTATATAAGAATTGAAACATTTTTACAAAAAAAAAAAAAACACAGGCTTCCAACTTCTCTTGACAAATGAGAGCTATGGCAACACCAGGCGCATGTGTATTCTCCATGGGGCAGTGATCAGCCCAAGCTGAGTGGTAGCTGCTTCCTGAGACGTGACCTCCCCTGAGCATTTCATCTGTATCCTGATTCACAGTGACTGACTCTCTTCCGAGACAATGAACGTCTTACAAATACACCTGAGGGCTCAGCAAGGGGCTTGGTCAATGACACTGTGAATACCAACCAGGTTGGAAGCGTCGTCACTCTTTCTCCTCACCTCATAATGTCTCCTCTCCGAATGGCTGCTGTTGGGTGGCTGGTAGGCAATCTGCATGTCACTGAGATCCCGCCAGGTGAAAGAGGAGATGGGTCTCGTGTGATCCAACAGGTGGGTCATGTAGCCCTGAAGCGGGGTTTTCGTCACGTTGAACACCAGCAAGGGTTTGGGGGTCTCATCTTCCTCACAGTCCAAAACTGATGTGGTCAAGGAGGTCAGGATGAACTGATCTGCTTCCAGGGTAAACATGGCCATGAATGCAGCCCTTGGAATCTGATTCGGAATGCCAGCTCTGATATAGACGGGCAACCACGCGCTCTCTGACTTTTGACAGAGAAAGACAATAGAAAGGAGGAAATAATATGAATGAAGCGACATCACATAGCATTAACAGCATGATATTTGATAAGACCACAGCCTAGAGGATGCATCCAGCAGTGATCTGAAACCTGGCTGCACATTACAATCACCCGGGGAAGCTTTGACACACACTGATAACTAGGGTCCATCTCCAGAGGTTCTCATATAATTGTTCCAAACAGGGTCCAAAAAAGCAGCATTTGGGGAGCCCCTGGTGACTCTCATATGCTGCCAGGGTGAAGAAAGGAACACCAATGTTGGTGTCAGAAGGAACTGTGCTCACTATTCTGCCTCCAGCACTAGTAAAATGTATGACTCTAGACAAACTACTTAACTCCCGAGTCTCATTTTTCTTCCATCTGTACATGGAAATACTAGACTCTCAAATATTAAGTGAGGACTAGACGAAATAGTCAAAGTAAGGCACTTGGCAGTGTCTGGCTCACACCCACAGCCTCCTTCAGCCCCCTACTCACCTCCCGTCATGTGGTTTTGAAGGGGGCAGGGGAAAGATGAAGGCAAAATATAAGTTGGTTCTCATACCACCGAAGGATGGTTGCTCGGTTGTCTGGTTAGTTAAGACCCCAAGTCTCCAAGCGAGGGACTGCAATTGACCACTCAGGCTAGGAATGCATCCTCCCAAAATGAGAGAGATATGAGTAAGAGATCCTCCCTGAAAACCACGAAATTACACCATGGGATTAGAAGTCTCAGCAAGTGCTATGGGCAGGAAGAATCCTCACAGGAGTAGACGCTGCCCGTCACAGGACTTGAAATATCCCATTGTTGAGAGAACCCAGCTCAGTTGTCAAAAATCATGTGAGGCCACACTGTCAAACACTGGTTTTTGGACTAGGAGTTGTGATCTGTGTATAACTGAATGCTAAAAGTGGAATTCTAGGCTCAGTCTCCAGCTGAAGATCCAATAAAAGAAATATCAGATTTCAAAGTGGATATAAGACAGATATACTATAATCTGTGAAATTTACAAAGCAAATTGTCTGGACCCAGCTTCAGACTCTAAGACCCTCTCACTCACTATAAGAGTATTAAAAGATTGAAAGAGGTAAGAGAGCAGGTGATCTGGAGAGAGGAGTGCTGTGCTGTGCTGTGCCACGCTGTTTCACTTCCCAACCATCTACGCCACATATCCCCATGGAACAGGAAAAGCAAGGCAATGCTCCTTCCCTTGTCGCGGGTGTCAGGAGAATTTCCTTGAGATCAGCCTTAAAATGTGTTTCTTGCAGGTGGAGCACACAGAGGGGCTCATACCTAAGGAAGCCAAGTAGCCAGAAGCAGAATAAGAATAGCTATGCTGGAATCAGACTGTGCTAGAATCCATCTGTCCTTGTTTATGGCAGCAAGGAACATATGAAAACTCCCGGATATGGGTCAAGTGGGACAGAGAACTGGTCTCGGGGTCTTCCTGGACACTGACTTTTAGGGAGAATTCTTGAGGAGAACAGAGGAGTCAAAAATGGAGCAACAACAAGCTGGAGATGGAAATTTTATCCTAAGGGCTGCAGGAGAAATTGCTAGTGACTACTCAGACTAGAAGTACATCCTCCCAAGACGAGAGCTACACGTGACAGACCTCCATGATGGGCTCCTCAGGGAAACCATGAAATTGCTCCTGAGACAAAGAAGCAGCTTGAAACATCTGCCAGGCTCAGAGAGCATGAAATCATACTTCATCAGTGCCTGATCAAATAAGATCTGTCTCCAACACTCGCCAAAACCATCCCTGTCACCGGCCTCAACGCTCAGAAACTAGCCAGCAAAGCTCAGAAGAAGTGAGAAGCGCAAGAGAAAAACAGAGAAGAAACAACCCCTTCCTTTCCCACTGCATGACTGATGAAGGCAAATGAACAATCCAGTAAGATATTACAGAGTTTACGGTATCTGCTCTTCATGTGACATGAGGGAAAAAATTATTTGAAAACTCAAAAATGGGTAAATCATGATTTTAAAAGACTGGGGATAAACGCTGAGACTAACACAGTCTAGAATCAAGTCTAAGTAAATATTCTTTTAAACATGTTAATAAAATGAACACAAATGTCAAAGGAGCTTATTTGAAAGAAAAGACAGATGATGTTAGAAATAACAAGGCATAAAAATCGTATTCTAGAACTGCAATTGCAAATTATGTAAACAAAGCAATTGCCAGGAGAAAGATCAATTAGATCAATTCTCATCATACATAGAAAGGAACCAAGAGACCCCATTTTATATTTCGACTTTCAATATTACAGATATAGATTTAGAAATATTTTTAAATTTAGTATATTTAGAAGTATAAATTAGAATTTATATTTTCTTATTCAAGATACAGTCTGAAATTCAATAAAAACATTCGACCACATGTACTTTACAAGAAAGGTACAATAAAATTATACAAAAATAGTAAAAGTAAAAAGATGACACAAATTTATCATGTAAGAGAAAAAGCAGAGTGACCACATTAATTTCAAAGATAAATCAAAGGCAGGAAGCACTGAAAAGAACAATATGGGCAGTTGATATTGATAAAATATGTAAGACAAGGATTCATATAAACAATATTATATTTAATATTGTTCTGGCCAAACCAGTGAGAAGTAGAACAGAAATAAGAGGAATAATTACAGAAAAAAAAGGGACAACGTCATTATCATTAGTGAAAGATATAACTATGGTCTTTACAAGTCCAAAGAATTGAAAATTTCTTAAAATAGTTGTGAATTCAGAAAAGAAACCAGATAAAAAAAATTATGCCCCAAAAATAGCTTTTCTATTTATCATCAATAACCAATGAGAAGATAGAATGAGGGGAAAGTATCTTATTTACAATAGTTTCACAAAAACAAACTGCCTAGGACTGGATTTAATAACTGTGCTCAACTTACATGAAGGAAACTATAAATTTTATAGAAACATATAAAAGAACAATTGCCCAGATGAAGTGAGAGACCTCATTTCTGGATAAGAAGCCTCAATATGGTAAATGTGCTATTATTCTAATTCCTTCCCAAGTAAATTATTGTTTTAATCTAATACTGATGAAAATCTTTAGAAGCTTTTCAAAACAAGCATAAATGATTATATATCTGGAACCAATACTAGGTGAGAATGGCTATGAACATTTTGAAGAGTATGGAATGAAGAAGAACTTGTCTGTAAAACACTAAAGCATATTATAGACCTGATATATTTAGAACAATGTGGTACTGGCACAAAAATAAATAGGTAAATTAAAGGAACAAAAGCACTACCCTGGAAATGGGACATGGTATATCTTTCTATACCGTAGAAGAATAATCTAAAATCAATGGGAAACAAGTAGTTGTTCCATAGATAGTATAGTGTTGAAAATTTGGGCTATTTGGACAAAACTGTTCTTTGTATTTCACCAGATAATAAAATGTGTTTCAGGTGGTGGATCAAAAAGGCAAATGTAAGAAAGAAGACCTTTAGAAATCTAGAAGAAATTACAGGTGAATGGTCATTTAATCATTTGATGAGAATGGACTGTACAACCAAAAAAATAATAAAAGAACAAGATTCAAAACTACTTCACATGTAGAAAATTCAATTCCATGAAACAAAACCAACTCTGATACATGTGTTCCCTCAGTCTTTGTGTGTGTGTGTGTATGTGCATATAAAAAGAGTAGCAATACTAGTTTTATTTCTTTTTACTTCCTTTCTGTGTTTTTTTAAGATATTCTTTTCAGTGAACCTATTCCTTTTCTATTCATAAACAATTCTGTTTTATGACTTGCCAAATGAACTATGGATAGGTCAACTCTAAATAAAGCAAGAAGGTAATCTAATGGAGTAAACTCCCCAATAAAACAGATTTTAACATATACACAAATATTCACAGTAGCAATAACATGGATCCCATGCTGCCCATCACAAGTAGACTGGATTTTTAAAATATGGTACATATACACAATGGATTATTACGCAGCCATAAAGAAGGACAAAATTATGAACTTTGAAGCAACTTGGATGGACTTAGAGGCTATAATATTCAGTGATTTATCACAGAAACAAAGAACTGAGTACCACATATTCTTACTCATAATCAGACCCTGAGCAATTATAATATTATAAGAAAGGGATTGGCACTAGTGGCAAATTGCCGGGTGGGGGATGGATCTTCATCAATAAGTGTACCTGATCTCAAACCAGGTGAAGTGGGGAGCAAAGTGAGGCCCAAACTTTACCTGTTCAATGACCATTTGTGCACCTAAGACTGAATTGTACCCCACATAAAGATGTGGGGTATACACATCTTTAAATATGTATACACATACAAATAAAGTTCTGACTCAATATAGTGAAGAAGAGGTAAGAAAAATCAGAAAGAAAAGTGACTCTAATTTTTCCAATGAACATAAGAAATCACTAAAAGTGAAAGGAGGTTTGTGTCAAAACAGAAAACATCTACTAGTAGTCAGTAGAACTAGAGTTTAAGTCCTGGCCCAGCCACAAAACAGGCCCAGCCACAAAACAGGCATGTGTGCACAAGGTATGTCATTTCTCTGGGCTACCACTATAAAATTAGAGGCTTGGCTAAACCCAAACCGGCTCTGCAAACCTGACTGATCATCAGCTTTTTACTGATGAGTTTTTAAACCAGCAAAATGTGTACGGTGCTTATTATGTGCCAAGTTTTGTGCCAAATGCTTGAGAAATATTTTCTCACTTAACCCTTTTAATTACTCCAAGAAGTAGTATCCCCATTTTAAGTTCAAGAAAATGAAATATAAAGCTCAAAGTCACATAGCTAGTTAAGCAGACGTCTTAACCCAGCTATCCAAACCCAGTGTTCATGCTCTTAGCTATTTATTAGACTCAGAAATTTGTCCTTTAAAACCTCCCAAGCTGGACACAGAGGGTACACCTGCAGTTCCAATTAACACAGGAGACTGAGGCTGGAGGATTGCCTGAACCCAGGAGTTTGAGGGTGCAGTGAGCTATGATCGTCACTGCATTCTAGTCTGGGCAACAGCGAGTCCCGTTCTCTATTAAAAAAATTAAAATAAGATAAATGTATCAATTAATTTAATAAAATGAAAGTTCTCCAAGTAACTTGCTATTAATTTGACCAGTCTACCTCAAAGTTTTTTCCAGATCTCAATTCTAAAATCCTATGATTTTGTTTTATCATTTCCTTATCACTCCTTGTCTTATCAATCCCTTGAGGTAATAATGGGCCCCTTAGAAAAAACCCTAGTGAGAAGTCAGAATGTGAAAGATGAAAGTATTTCCAAATATCATCTCGGATCATCTTATATCAGTACAAAGACTGAGGTACACAGATGCCCCAGTTTCCCAAATAAACAAATTACACAGTATATGAATCCGTAGCCTCATGTGTGAAATATTCCATATAAATTGAGTCCACCTCCTGCCATTATTCCAATGAAAAGAGATTCAGAGGAGGAATTAAAAGAGAATGGAAGATGGAGTTTGCCTTTGGGAGGCTGCCTCCTTGATGACCCAGCCATGCCTCCCCAAATCAGGAAGAACGAAAAATCTGTGACTATCATAAAAGTAGAACGGAAGAAGTTCTCCCCACTCCTGGTTTCCTGGGGCCTTGTGAAGTACACGCCCTGCTTCCAAGTAGAAGAGAAGGAACATCCAAGAGAAGGTGTCACAAAAAGTCCATCGACAAGCCAAGCGGAAGAGTACTGGAGGAAAAGAAGGAAGAAGGTCAGTAAGTAACTAGCCCTGGTTCTTCCCAAGTGGCCTTAGTGATGGTAGAGCTAGAAGCGAACCAGAGAAGAGGAATTATATGCTGGTATTACATACAAAAGCTACTGTTTGAAGCACTTACTGGCAGAACAAACATGCCTGCTGTTCCAATGAGTCACTAGCGGTTTCATCCACAATAGCACAGGAACCCTCCCTTCGTGGGAGCCACCACGATCACCCCCACGGAACTGGCTCTCCTACTATGAATCGGCTGGGGACACCCACACATCACCGCAAACTCTACCTTGTACAGGATTTTGCTCCTACTGTCTGTGAGGTCCAGTTGGACGGAGATATAATCAGTGTTGGGTGAAGGTGGGTCCATATGTTGGTATCGAAGTCCCATCAGCAGGAACTCCTCACAGTTCACTTTGAGACTTCCTATTTTCTTCAGTCCCTGGGTACAGCTTCCACCTGGACACTTCAATTCTGTTCCCAGTTCTAGAACGTACAGCATTGGATTCAGATCGTCACTTGAACATCATAATTGGAAAAGCTGAAAACCAGTCCTCCCAATAGCTGCTACTATTCACCAGCTTTTCACTTCAAATCTGCTCATAATCCCATAATGCTTCATAAATATATCAACCCCTCTTATACTACGGTCATTGCTAATACTAACAACAGCTAACGACTCATGAGTACCTACTGTGAGCCGCTGGGTAAAGCACTCTGTGTGTGTCATCTCCCTCATCCTGATACAACCCTAGGGGGCAGCTGTTATCTTTCCCATACTTATTCCCTTTCTCTGCCTTAAGAATACTTATGTACCTTCCAGTCATTCACCGTAGGTTGTCATCATTCTGAAAACCTGTAATTTCATTTACTGAAAAACAGTCTAGAGTCGGTCTTTGCAGCATCATACAATCTCTACTAGACTGCTTCACTCACTGAAATCCTCTCCCCAAGTGCTTATCACACACTCAAATCCTGAATATCCTTCCAGGTCCAGTTAGTTCTTCTTTACATTAGAAAATAAAGTTTCCTTAAAAAGTAAATGGGGAGAGGGGAGAATCACCTCCCCAAGGTAGGGAAGGGGGCCAAAGCCAGGAAACATGGTGACAGCCATAGTTCAAAGAGCACATGGCCACACCAGAGTCTAGCAAGGCAATGACCCCAGTGAGTCTTTTTACTACACTTTCCCTTTCTTTGACCACCTGAACCAAACTGCTGTCTCTCACTGAAAACCATAACTGTTTCTCCAACAGTTTTGGGGTCTCTGCCCAACTGTATCTTTCATTTTCTGTGGTATATGATGCTCATAGCCACTTATTTTTTGAGTCACATTTCCCTGATGTACAAAACAGATATTCTACTTCTTAACCAGGTGGCTGTGAAGACGAAATGAGATGATTTCTGTACAAGCATGTCTTTATCTTACTTCTGTCCAAGTTCATGGTATTATTACACCTCTGGGTCTATGGTCAACCCTTATATTTCTTGGTTTTCCATAGCTCCCAGAACACGACAGGAGGTGCCCAAGACATGTTGATTGAACAAGGAGAAAGGACATTTATCCATCAACTCTTCCTGATGTGAACCATTGCTACTATTCACCAGCTTTTCACTTCAAATCTGCTCATAATCCAATAAGGCTTCATAAATATATCAACTCCTCTTATTACTATGGCCATTGCTAATACTAACAACAGCTAACAATTCACGAGTACCTAGTCAAGGACTCTGTGTGTGTCATCTCCCTCATCCTGACACAACCCTAGGGGGCAGCTGTTATCTTTCCCATTTTAGAGAAGTTTAGATGGGTTAAAGACTAATTACACAGAAAATAAAGAGCAGAAGCAGTTTCCAAAGCCAGATCTTTCTTTTATTTTTCCTTTTTGTTTTTTTTGAGTCAGAGTCTCACTCTGTCACCCAGGCTGGAGCGCAGTGGCACGGCCACCCCAGCCTCAACCTGCTGGGCTCTGACAATCCTTCCGCCTCAGTCTTCCAGGTAGCTGGAACTACAGGCGTGTGCCACCATGCCTGGCTAATTTTTTGATTTATTGTAGAGACAAGGTCTTGCCAAGTTTCTTGGGCTAGCTTCGAACCCCTAGGCTCAATCAAAATTCTCACCTCCGCCTCCCAAAGTGCTGGGATTCCAGGCGTGAGCCACCACACCCGGTCCCAAAACCAAGTCTTTCTGATTCCAAAGTACATGCCCTTCACCACTAAGCAACATTATTCAACCAACTAAAAACCATATTAGTTCAACAGCGCTCTTTGTCATGCTGGAAGACGACCACGTATGGATATTTTTGTCAGTCTTAGTAGCACCCAGATAAGCATCAAAAGATATCATACGGGACTCAGAGAAAAAACTGTGTGGCTGATCTCCACGAGGTCCTTCTGGCCGAGGCTCCACCAGAACCATCTGGCCATGGGCTGGCAGCCGAGTTCTTATAGGGTCCAGCCTGACCGTACATTCCAGGCTGGCCACCCTTTCATAATCGAATCTGAGCAGGTTCTTATCAATCGCTTGGGACAGGCCATAGAATTCAGACACCTCCAACTCATTGTTACTCATACGGATGATGTTACAGTCTGGTTCCAGGAGAAAGACCCGCAGGATAAAGGTTTCTGTGAAGGTATCTGTTTCAGTAAATCTGTGGAGAACACAGCAAAGGCTACATTAATTGGTGCTCACAGCCTTCTGATGCCTGTGCACACGGCTTGAAGTTTACAGATCAGTCTTCACAAAATTTGTACCTCAGATGGAGTCTGGATTTTGTTTCATGCCCTACTCCCAGCCTCTCTGTTCTCTTCCCTTCTTCTCTTTACTCAGTGTCAATGCCTTCTCCTGCCACTTCTCCCTTCAGCCATCTTTCTTCGAACACCTGCTCTCAAACTCATCATCCATACTGATATTTAATGACTGCTGGGACTTCGGAGTCTCACTTCCAGCACATGTGTAATTTAAGAGTGTCAATCCTGTATAATTTATGAATTGCATTTTAATTCAGGAGAGAAGGAGTGGAAGTTTCTTTATTTTTTTAAATACCAGGACGCAGTAAGAATGGCCATCATCAATAAAACAAGCAACAACAGATGCTGGTGAGGATATGGAGAAAAGGGAACGCTTCTACACTGCTGGTGGGAATGCAAATTAGTTCAACCTCTATGGAAAACAGAGTGGTGATATCTAAAAGAACTTGAAATTGACCTCCCATATGACCCAGCAATCCCCTTACTAGAGTATACCCGGAGGAACTCAAAGCATTCTACAGAAAAGATACCTGTGCACACATGCTTATTGCAGTATTATTCACAATAACAAAAACATTGAACCAGCCATGCTGCCCATTGAAACTGGACTGGATTTTTTTTTTAAATGTGGTACATATACACGATGGAATATTATGCAGCTATAAAGAAGGACAAACATATGGACTTCACAGCAACTTGGATGGATTTAGAGTCTATCATACTCAGTGATTTGGCACAGAAACAAAGAACAGAGTACCACATGTTTTCACTCATAAGCAGACCCTGAACATTTAACATAATATTGTAAGAAAGGAATTGGCAGTAACAGGATTCCACTGGGGTAGGGGGAACACAACATCAATAAGGATATCTGATCTCAAACCAGGCAAAATGGAGACCAAAGGGAGGCTCAAACTTTACCTGTCTGATGTCCACTTACATACTTAATCCTGAATTGTATCTCACATCTTTAAAATAATATAAATACATGCATACATACATACATGGTCTTGCTCTGTCATTCAGGCTGAAGTGCACTGGCACCCCAACCTCAAACTCCCGGGCTCAAGCAATCCTTCTTCCTCACCTTCCCAAGTAGCTGGGACTACAGGCACACGCCACTATGCCTAGGTTTTTGTTTCTGTTTTTGTAGACACGGTCTCAAACTCCTGACTACAAGCAATCCTCATGCCATGGCCTCCCAAAATGATGGGATTCCAGGCATGAGCCACCATGCCCGGCCAGGGTGAAGGGTTTCTGAAGCAACTCAGCCTATTTGCTTTTCAGAAACACTACTCTATAGGTGGTGCCCAGCTCAGTGCTTGGCATGTAAAGGCCATTTAGCAATTGTACTTCCATTCCTTCCATCCCTTTAGCAACCCCAATCTCAGGGTGTCTGTAGAGACTAATAGAAATGAGCTGTCATTCTTTTTGAGGCAAAAAGCTTAAAGACTGATGAGTGTATCAATAGTGTAACTTCTGGTTGATGTGCTCTTATTGCAGCCCAGGCATTACAAGAAATCCCTTACAGCGGTATATCATTCAATCCTTATAAAAAAACCTGTGGGAGTCATTGCTAATCCCATTTCACAAACGAGAAAACAGAGGCATAGAGAGGTTGAGCAGCTTGCCAAAATGCTGGAGAAGCAGTAAGAGGGCAGTAAACATGCCCCCAATCATCTGCTTTCAATTCCTTCAAATATATTATTGGAAATGTTCTCAAGGCCAACAAGAGCAACAGTGGCTTCTCTAACCTTGCCCTTCATGGTGCGCTTCAAGGTGTGCTTCCAACCTCCCCACCCCTAGAAGCTTAAGGAAGGAGTGGGAGCAGCCAGAAAGCAGCAAATGTTCTAGCTCTTCCAGGCCAGCTCTTTGAGCAATCCCTTCCCACCCGCCAAGGTCTTGGAAAGATCCAGGTAGCCTTGAAATACTGATTTCACAGCTTCCTATAGAGCCCTTGGGTACCACCTCATTTTCCGAGCACAGTATTTTGTTCGTGCCTCTCTTTGGGGACTTGTTCTGCATCTTAGTGATCTGCCCATCTTTTGTGTTAGACTGTGAGCACCAAGAGAATCCACATATTCTCAACTTTGCATTTCTTATGCCCAGCATAGAGCTTGACCCGTGGCAAGTGATCGTTAAGTGAGTATAGAATTACTTCCGATTCCAGAGTCTTCTACAGAAGTGGTCTGCACTAGTCTAGCGTAAGGAAGATTCACACCAACATATTTTAAACAAACATTCTTAAGAGCAAAAAAAAAGAAAAGAAAAAAAGTAAAAACTATATAAAGGCCTACTTCACCTACACTGAGTTCTCAGTTGCTTCTACGAAGTCAGCAATACCATCATAACCATCACCATGGGCTTAAGTTTAAAATTAATTTTTTTTGAGTCCGAGTCTCATTCCATCACCCAGGCTAGAGCACAGTGGCACACCCACAGCCACCCCAGCATCAACCTGCTGGGCTCCGGCGATCCTTCCACCTCAGCCTTCCAAGTAGCTGAAACTACAGGCACGCGCTACCACGCCCAGCTAATTTTTTATTTATTGTGGAGACAAGGTCTTGTCAAGTTGCCCTGGCTGGTCTTGAACCCGTGAGCTCAGGCAATCTTCTCTCATTGGCCTCCCAAAGTGCTGGGATGACAGACTGAGCCACCAAGCCCGGCCTAAAATTAATTTTTGTTAAGTTATATACTAGGGAGGACCCCCCCCAAAAAAGAATTATTTTTTGGAGGGGCCCCCTCATAATTCAGGCTTTCCCCACTACATAAGAGTTCTAGGAACCCATCAGCATCAGTATACCAGCTAGTGTTGTTGGGAGAGGCTGTGTTCAGCTTCAGTGAATGTTTTTTTTCCTTTTTGGAGATTCTTGCAAGGCATTTGTCCATTTCATGCTGGGTGGTTTATGAGAACACTTGCCCATACTGCATTGAGGGTTCAGCAGTTTTTGATCAAAAAACAGCATGAGTCCATGCCCTACCCTCCCTATTCACCCCATCTCACTCTGAGCAACATTTTTTGTTTCCCCGAATGAAAAAAGTCCTCAAAGGGAAATGTTTTGCCGATGTGGAAGGGGTGAAAAAAAAATAGCAGAAGCACTAAAAAGCATCAAAATGGATGAGTTCAAAAACTGTTTTGAGCGGTGAAAAAAGTGTCTCAATAAGTGTATGGCATCAAAGAGTATTTTGAAGGTGACTGAAGTTTAAACATGTAAGAATAAATACACAATTTTTTAATAAACAAATTCTGGGGTTTTTTGGTTCCCCCTTGCATAATAAAATTCATCTTTTTAAAGTATACAACTCAGTGGCTTTTAGTGTATTCACAAGGTTGTACAGCCACCATGACCATCTAATTCCATATGCATTAGTAAGTGAGTCACTCCCCAGTCATTCTTCCCCTAGCCTCTGGCAACCACTAATCTACTCCCTGTTTTTGTGGGTTTTCCAGTTCTGAACATTTCATATAAACAGAACCATATAATACGTGATCTTTTGTGCTTCGCTTCTTCCACTTAGCGCAATGTTTTCAAGGTTCATCCATGTTATAGCACCTTTCAGTGCTTCATTCCTTTTTATGACTGAATAATATTCCATTGTATCGATATACCACATTTTGTTTACCCATTCAACAGTTGAATTGATTCAACTTTTTGGTTATTATGAACAATGCTGCAATGGACATTCATGTACAAGCTCTTGTGTAAACAAGTTTTTATTTCTCCTGTATTTATACCTAGGAGTAGAGTTGCCGGCTCATACGGTTATTCTATGGTTAACTTTATAATTAGATTTTAAAATATTTTTATTGCTTAATATGTTTAAAAATGAAAGGTATTGCCCTTATAACCAAGCAGCTGGTAATCAAAAGGAAAATTTTATTTAGTTTTGGAGCATTTTTTTTTTCTAATTCTCACGAAGCATTTGTAGTTTGTAATTTCCACTTCCTATCATAAGTGCTGGATTGGAACACCAGAGATACCTATATAAGAACGCCAACAAGAAACAAGATAGGGCTAATCATTTGCCACAGAAAAGTTCCAAGGTAAATGACACAAATGGAAACGATTGGAAGTTGGCTACAATTCCTGCCTCACCCACTCAGGTCTCCAGATTCTATTGTTTACTTTCTTGTTTGGAATCTGTTAACTCCCTTCATAATAACACCAATCCACAGAAAAAGCCCTTAAAAGAATGGCTACCTGGCAATCAATGAGCAACGCTTACCTGTAAAGTCTAAGCTTCACAGTGTCTTCATCCAGAATCGGGCAACCATTGTGAACATACTTTACTTCATTGGGAAGGAAATGGCAGTCAAAGACCTAGTTCACATGAAGAAACGGATAAATATCTATGAGAAAACTGGTATAAGATTTAATTTTTAAGACAAGAGAGCACTGCCTGAAGAAATTATGGTCTGTCGGTGATAAGAGTGTGCATATTTGTGTGTGTGCATGTTTTAACCATCACCATTTTTACTCTCCTCCCAGACCCCCTCACCATCCTGCTTACACAGCTGTGTCTTGTTTTGAGAATATCCAAAGCAGATCAAGTGAATAAATTAAGGGATGATTGCTTCTCTAAATAATTACCTTTTTACGGGCTAGAGTGCATTTAAAGCATGGTTCCATTTTTCAAAATTGTATTTACCCCCTTCAGGGGTTCATAGTAGCTGAGTTAGAGAGTTCCTCCTGAGTATCTGCATGAAAAAGCGTGCATGATCCCACCCATAAACACACTGTACTCGGTCTGTCCATCTTTGTTCTCCTTTTATTTCTTTCTTTTCCAAATAGCATTTTTATATTCAAAGACGAAGTCACTGGTATAAGGACACTGTTGTAGTTATTCAGAGGCAAGCATGGTCCACAGTTGTTTCTTATATTTTTGCAAAAGACTGCTTTTATTAGTTATGTAATAGCAGAAATGACTGATGAGACAAAGAAATTAAAGGCAATTTCCTCTATTCAAATAAAATCGTCATTCACTGTCTCATCTCACTCAGAATTATTAAGGAACTCGCTAACTGTTGTATTTTAAAATCCTGGTTTTTTAAAAAAGAGTTATCTTTCCCACCCACATCAAGACCCTCTTTCTGCCCAGTCAAACTTGGTAGAGTTTTATGAAATACCCTTGAAATATTTACACACCCTCACGATTGCATTCATGGTATTTAGTCTGTACCATTTTACAGCCTCAAACATTGTCAGACAGCATAATCCACTCTGAGAAGATTTTATCACTAATACAAATGATTTTCTTTTCCCACAGATATCATTGGTTCCTCTTTTAAGTTGACAACCAGGAAGGAAATAAAGCAAAGACCTCCCCCATATCATTGACAAATAGTTCTGGTAATAAAGAGACAATCTGCTTTGTTAAAAGAAACATCTGTTTTATGTTTCATAATATGTTTTCCTTTTATAAAAGGCGACAACCATAATTGTCCATAAATTTACTAACTAAAACAAAGGAGAACTAAATCCTTTTCTAATTACTGTCTAGCTTTGTTTTTTTCCACTTCAACTGCTTTTCAATTACAATTTATAATTAAATTGTCACACATTCCTAACTCATTACTCACTTTAATGACAGTAAACTGGTTCAAACTAGAGATACTTTCCTACCGAGGCACTCCCTATTCAAAAAGGCAACCTCAGCACTAAACTGGGGTGCTGATCTAACCAGGAAGTTTCCTGCTTTGGGCCAGGTGTGAGAAGTGCTATGTGTGAGCGAGTCTTGTCCTAAGACGTGAGGAAAACATATTGCCACCAACCTCGTCTAATTGATTATATCAAGAGGGTTATCTAAACAGAAGGTAGTGGTGTGCACCGATTGAAATCCCTTTCCAAAAATCCAATAGGAAAATGAACCTGTTGGATTTCAAACTTCAGTAATGAAATAAAAACACTAATTGAACAGATGTTAAACAAAACATTTTCTGCGCAAATCACATGAAACTGTTCATTACACAGCAGGGTGTTGTTAATACAGTCGTCTCACTAGAATTGAGTTCACATAAGCTTGGCTTTCAGCTTATTATTAAGCTCTATTAAAGAATCATGTTTAGGGTGTGTGTGTGTAGGTGTGTGTGTGTGTATGCACGTGTGCGGGTACATGTGCTTGGCTATGCTTAATTTCTAAAACTCCGTAAGGCATAAATCCCTAGGAGAGGGCTGGACCAGGTGAAAAACCAGGCACAAATTCAAGAAGAAAAAAACAGATGTTATGGAGGCATCTTGTTTTTATTGAAATTATCAAAATCAAAAACAAGAATGATCACTTGGCAGTTGAGAAAACAGAGTTTTCCCACTCTGTAGATTTCTATGTGGCACAAATTCTAATATTTGGCAAAAGAGTGATGAAACTCCACATTTTAATGGACTCCTTTACCACAGAATAAATTTTGGAAGATATAAATCACATATCTACTTTAGAGGCTATAAATCAGTTTGAGGGGTCACATTTGCCTCTGGAAATACATACACTCAACATTCAGGACTCGATTCTTTTTGTTGTGGTTGTTGTTTAACAAGCAACAGCACCCTAGGGCCTCAGTATATTTGAAGGTGTTTCACAGCAGTCAAGTGTTTCCTAGATCAGTCAGATGTCTTGTTTTTTCTGTTCCATATTGTCTTTCCAGTAACCGGATTTTGCCTTAAAATCAGAGAGCTTGAGATTCAGATGACTTGGAGGTCTATTCCAAGCCTTGAGCCTTGTGATCAAATATGTTTTTTACCTAGTTTTGGTCTCTTGGATCCCTTTCTGCTCCCCAGTGCCTCAGAGCAGGACAAGCAACCAGGACCATCAAAACATCACTTAAAATATATAATGGAAACAATTTCATGTCTCTCAGAAAGAGTGCCTATATGTGAAGGAGTCATAGGTTAGAGGTAGGAGAACTCTCAGAGGCTGGCTCAGGTTCCAACAGATCCTCTCAAATCTGGTAATCAGCAGGGCTTTTGTTTTGCTCAGTGGGTTGTGCGTGCTTGGAGTCCGAACTGGAAGACCGCTTAGACAGCTTGCCCCTGTGGGCTACCAGTGAGAATTTTGTTTCTCTTCTTTCCAGCAAAATACCCACTTTTAAATAAATATAAACTATTTTTTAAAGTATATCGATTGGAAGGGGTGCCAAATGACCAGTTGTCATAAGGCACCTGTATATACCAGCACAGCCCTGGGTTCTTGATTTATCAAGAACTCCGCTCCTCTGGGATCAGGGGTCCTATCTTGCTGCCCCTTGAAACTCTAAGGAACTTGCATTTTGCTGTTGACACCAGTCCCTGTATCAATAGTTCACTGAGCTTATTGATACCGCCCTATGCGTCCTACTTAACACGCGCTACCCCAGGTCTCTCCTTTCTCCCTGACTCATAAGTGCCAGTCAAAACATATTCGGAGTGTGGGTGATGTCGGGAGAAAGTGAGAAGTTGCCACTACCAAACTCTTAGGAATATATCATCTTGAGACCTGGGACTGTTTTTGTATTCTAGCATTTCTAGATGCCCATCTGAAGCTCTTTGACTAACAAAGGAAAATCTCACAAGAAGCTGAAGGATGTTTGGTGACTAACATATCAGAAATACTTCAAAATGAGACTCTCCCATAGACTTCTGATGTGTTTCGAAATTGGTCTATAACTTTGTGAAGGAAATAGAATGTCTAGAGATAATAATTTGAGCTAGCACTACCTAAGTCTCCGTATTCCATCTCCACAACACCTAGCACTACTGTCAAATAACCTCATGGAATATGTTTCTTTAGCCAAAAATGAAGAGGACATAATGTTCATAGTTTGGCAAATGAGAATGGTCCATTTTTCCAGAAGCAGCAACAGCGTTGAATCTTCTCAAGTGTTTGTAACAAGAGCAATGTTAAATCATAGTGGAAACAAGTAACAAAGCCAGAAGCAATGTTTGATCATGTGTAGGTGTAAACTTCTACTTTAAGCAAAAACAGTGTATAAAAATGCAGACTTTTTAAATCCAGTGAATTAGAAGGTAAATCTTCACTTTGCAAAAGGACTTGACCATAGAAATGCCCTGAAATAAAAAAGTCTCAGGGTTTTTTTGATTAAAGGGGAAAAAATGATGCAGATATTTTCAAAGAACAATGAATAAAGTGAAGTGTCTTTTTTTGTTGCTTTTTTGTTTTGTCTTGTTTTGTTTTGTTTTGTTTTGAGTTGGAGTCTCACTCTGTCGCCCGGACTGGAATTCAGTAGCTACTCCCGGCCACCGCAGCCTCGACCTGCTGGGCTCCGGCGATCCTTCCGCCTCAGCCTTCCAAGTAGGTGGAACTACAGGCGCACGCTACCATGTCCGGCTCATTTTTGACTTATTGTAGAGATGAGGTCTCGCCTAATTGCCCAGGCAGGTCTCGAACCCGCGGGCTCAGGCAATCCACTCATCTCAGCCTCCCAAAGGCGTGGGATTACAGGCTGAGCCACCGAGCCCGGCTGTGAAGTGTCTTTACATCTCTTTTCTACTTGCTTTATGTTCAGGTGGTGTTAATAGATAAAATGTCTTCATGTTTTACCTTTGGTATTCTGAGGTCACGAATGTGCCCTAAAAATGTCTTGAAACCTTGATCTCTTATCCAAAGACTTCCTGACTGGCAATGGATGTGATAATTTGGGGCAGCAGTAATCCCATAAAGACTGCTCATATCACACCATACGAGTGATTGCCCATTTTCCAACCCTAGGGAGGATACCTATGTTTCTCTCTCTCTCTCTCTCTCTCTCTCTCTCTGTGTGTCTCTGTGTGTGTGTGTGTGTGTGTGTGTGTGTGTGTGTGTGTGTGTGTGCTTTTCTGAGACAAGAGAGGTACCTAAAACAAGAGACATAATTCTCTTACATTATGCTTTTTCCGGGAGAACTAGCTATTCTATAATTTCAAGCAGCTTGTAAGATACACCTGAATTCTCTTCAATAAAAGAGGAGAAATGGAAAAGACTTGCTGAAACAGTGCATTATTAAGAACAACCGCAAGCATCCATATTAGTTAGAACCCGACTTCCTCCACAGGTGTTATCATAATTGAAATTCAATCCCGTCAAGTGGCAGGCTTGTAATTTGAAGTCAGTCAAGATTGCTCAAAAAAAGGCTTCACCTCCCATGGAAAACAGGGCAATGGTGCCTGCTAATTGCAACTCCGCCATTTCCACCTCCAACACCTTGCAACACCCATCCCCGGGAACTCGAGGGGAGACCTTGACATCCCCGTTCCCTCTCTCTTTGTCCCTCCTGCACACGTTCACACACTCACATCCACACACACTCCTGAACAGAAAAGCCCGGCTGTGACCTACCTGTGGAGTGAGTTTCCCGACCCTCTGGGTGACGGGCTCATTCATCACAACTTCCACCTTGCAAGCATCTTTCTCTCTGGGGATGGCAAACTTCAGGTCATCCCCCACCAGGAAGGCGGCCTGGCCCTTCCTCACTCTCAACCCACGGTTCACGCTGATGAAGGTGGGACCGGCCCGGCCCAGGAGCAGGAGCAGAAGCAGCACCAGCAGGGCGTTGGGCCCTCCCCAGCTCAGAGAGGTCATGCCGACCGGGGCAGCTGGCTTCCGAGCACGGGCGAGATCCCTCCAACAAAGAAGGGCTTCTTGCTTCCTCCTGGAGTGTCAACTCATAGTCCAAGGGGCAGGGCGAGGGGTCCCGACGATGTCCCCTGGATCTTAACGTGCCCCTTTCATTTCAAACGCAGACAAGGAGGCCTTTCAGGCAATGCCCGGGCTTTTAATAAAACTCGCTGATCGCTCCTGACAACGCCGGCAAGATTAATGTGCCTCCCAAGTGCTTTTCTAATCCTGCAAATGGGACAAGGGGTTGGAGGAAAGCGAGAGAGAGAGAGAGAGAGAGAGAGAGAGAGAGAGAGAGAGAGAGAGACACCAAAAGGTTTGTGTGGCTATTCAAAAGATCGCCACTGACAAAGGCATCTTTCAACCAGCCTATGGGTTCAGCTGAATTAAGAGCAAATAAACTAACTTGACCCCCAGGCCCATCTGAAAGGCAGTGCAGTCACTTCGTTGCCCTGCTTGTAACTCCTGCTTCCGGACTTGATATCCCTGGATTGGGATGTCCATTGTGTGGTCCAACAGGAGACAGCCGGCCTTGTTGCCCAAGTGAGGTTTTTTGTCCCCCCCAGGTCAGAGACACTTGTCTAACTCTTTGCTGCTGTTTCCACATTTGTTGAATGCAGGCTATAATTTTCACCAGAAAACTGATGGGATGATTTGCACTCTGTTCAAAGACATCATTAATTCTAACTCAATACTCCTCAACTAAGAAAGAAGCTCAACTATGTGTCACGTGGGTCACAGTTCTGGTTTTTGTGGGCAGGGAAGACAGCAAAGAAACATTTGAATGGAAATGAGAGAAAATGCATTTTTTTCCTAAGTAACATTCAAGTTTTTGTTTATGTGTAAAAGAAACTATGAATCGAGTGGCGTGGCTTTGTGCACACAGCTAGTGACATGGTGCATATAACATATTTACATTCTCTACAATGCTAATTACACCGTCACGTACTCAATTTACACAAATGGAGTCTCTACCTCTGCTTTAACCACTTAGAATTGCATGGTTATTTCTGTGTCCCATAAGAACTGAAAATATTTTATTCAAAGTAAAGTCCTAAGTTTTGAAATATATCCTTAAATGCAGAGATAGTTTGATGAATAAATGGTGGTTTGGTATGCACAAAGGAAGGCCTTCCATGTCAATAATTTCAAGAAATTTCTGAACATGTTAATAATTTCAATAAATCTCTGTACATAATCTACAAAATAAATTTGTCAAAAGGTTGCATCCACGCACAATGCGTGAAGGGAAGGCCAATCCCTTGTCATTGTTTGGAAGCTTTCACTTTTGAGGCAGCACTTGACATGTGTCGCCTGACACCCAAGGGGGTGTGGGGTGTACACTTTACAGATCAACCTGTTTCTTATGGTGTCGATCTTGAAATAAAACTGTTCACACACTCCTACTGACTGTGTTGCCCACACTCAGGCTGAATTAGATTGGTTTATTTGGGCAAGAATGCAAACCTAGTTGCTAAACTTTCACAACAAAATAAAATCTTTTTTCCATTCCCATTTGGCATCTGAGATCACTTAAAACGCAGCTCATTCAGGGAAGGGAGAAATGACGGGAAAGGTGAGTGTCTTCAAAAACTGGAAGATAAAAGAGAAAGCTTGGCTTTCTGAGATTTAAACTAGTTAAATCAACATACAAAGGTGGCAAGGACTCCACATTCCTGCAGTCCTTGAATCTCACTGGTCTCCTTCCAGTGAGAGCATCTTCCTAGACTCCCTGACTTTGTAATGCTGAGGTCCCTAAGGTCCAGTCCTAGGACCTGTTTTGTACCAAGTCTCATTCCCTAGTGATCTAACTCCTTGGCTTTATATGCTGATGATTATATGTTAATGAGTGTCAAACTTCATATCTCAGCCTGGACCTTCACCTTTAACTCTCGATTAGTATATGCAACTGTCTACTTGGCATCTCCATGCGGGTATATAATCGACGTCCCATGCTTTCTGCAACTAAAACTGAATGCTTGATCTTCCTTCCCTCCGTCTTCCCTATCTTAGCTAATAAAAACCTACAACTTTTCTGTTGTTCCTTTCTTTGTCTCACATTCCAAATTCCAACAGAAGAAAAATCTTGTTGGTTCTTTGTGGCACACAGACCTTAGGGTGACCCCCAACGATTCCAGCCTCCTAGTATCCAGAAGTTGCTCCTCCTTGAGTGTCAGCCGAACCTGTAACACTCCCAACCAACAGAATAAGACAAAGGTGGTAAGTGTCACGCCCACAATTACATTTCCTTGTATAGACGACTCTCTGAACAGACTGGGGCTAGAGGCTCTCCTGTGGAACTCCAAGAAGCAAGTCTCTGTGAGCTCTACTGCCACAAGGAAATGAATTCTTTCAACACCTTAAATGAGCTTGGAAGTGGATTCCTCCTAAGTCAAGCCTTAGGAAGTCCAGTTACCACTTGATTGCTCCCCAGTGGCAACTTGAAGTACAGAACCCACCTAAACCGTGATCGGACCCCATACCAATGGAACCTGTGAGATAATACCTTTGTGCTGTTTTAAGCCACAAAGTTTGTAGTGATTTGCTGCACAGAAGTACAAAATGAACACACTCGTCCTTCTAAACATATCCAGAATCCAGCAGCTTCTCACTGCTTCATTGTTATCACCCAAGCCACCATCAACTCTCTTTTGGATGATGGCATCTTATTTGATCTTTCTGTTTCTTCTCTTGCCCCCTTTTTAGGCATTTCTCAGTGTAACAGCCAAGATGTCTATTAAATGCTACTTACATCATGTCACATCCCAGCTCAAAACTTCCAATGGCATCTCGTTTTAAAGTAAAGCAGAAGCCCTGGTGAGGACCTACAAGGCGTTAAGTGATCTGTTTCTCCCTTACCTCTCTCCACTCCTTAAATTGTCTTATACTGACTACAGTTTAACCAGGAATGTTAACGTATCTAAATAAAAGAAGGTCATCATAGGAGGCACCATCCACCGTGGATCACACCATGATGTCATGTGAATTCAGTTACTGAGAGTAAAATGCAGATCATCTCGGGACATGTGGTCCAGGTTCATTTCCTGTACCTGAAACACCTGACTCTGGAACATGCCACACTCTCGATGATCAGCCAACTAATCTTCCCCAGCCAAACACCAAAAGAAGTCTGAGGTAAAAACCCAAATATATCACCCTTTGTCTCATCATTCCCATCCAACACTGAGAATCTTTCCAACAGAGATCAAAGCAGCCTTCCACAAGGATACATGAACACAGAGGCCAATCGCAACGCTGCTCGTAGTGGAACTGCATGCAAAGCAAATACCCATCAACTAGGAAATGGTTCAAGAGCACAGGTATGTTTACACCATGGAATATGATGACCCCTTCAAAGTTTGAACCAGAGATGTATCACTCAACTTGGAGGGATCTCTACAAAGCATTGTGGAATTAGAACAATTAGAATGGAGAAAAACATGTATGTTGTGTTTCCATTTGGTCAAATATAAAAGCTATATCTGTGCATATGCATGTATGTGTATGGAGATTGATGTTGTATATTATTCTGAGAGTATGGAGAAAAATATGGACAGGTAAGCATGAGGTCATTAACAGGGCTTGTCTGAAAGGGGCAGTGTAGTGTGGATAGAAAAGGGCAAGGGTCGGGCTTGGTGGCTCAGCCTGTCATCCCGCGCCTTGGGAGGCTGAGGTGAGCAGCTTGCCTGAGTCCATGGGTTCGAGACCCGCCTGGGCATCTTGGCGAGACCTCATCTCTACAATAAATCAAAAATGAGCCGGGCGTGGTAGCACGCGCCTGTAGTCCAGCTACTTGGAAGGCTGAGGCAGAAGGATCGCCGGAGCCCAGCAGGTCGAAGCTGCGGTGGCCGGGAGCGGCCACTGCGCTCCAGTCTGGGCGACGGAGTGAGACTCCAACTCAAAAAGAAAAAAAAAGGGGAAAGGGAGGGCATTATAGTCTGAATGTTTATGTCCTCCCCAAATGCATATGTTGAAGCCATATGTGATGGGTTTCAACATATGTGATGGCATTCGGAGATAGGGCTTTGGGGATGTAATTAGGTTTACATGAGGTCATGAGGGTGGACTCCTCATGATGAGATGCTTATAAGAGGATGAGGAGGCCAGAGCATGCGTTTTCTCTCTCTCCTCTCTCTCTCCCTCCCTCTCTCTCTCTCTCTCTCTCTCTCTCTCTCTCTCTCTCTCTCTCTCACACACACACACACACACACACACACACACACAGACCATGTGAGATTACAGCAAGAAGGTGTCCCTCTGCAAACCAGGAAGAGGAACAGCACCTTAATCGTGGACTCGCCAGCCTTCAGAACTGTGAAGAGTAAAGTTCTGCTCTTTTTTTTTTTTTGAGTTGGAGTCTCACTCTGTCACCCAGACTGGAGTGCAGTGGCATGTTCCCAGCCACCGCAGCCTCAACAGACTGGGCTCCAGCGATCCTTCCACCTCAGCCTTCCAAGTAGCTGGAATTACAGGCACACATTACCACACCCAACTAATTTTTGATTTATTGTAGAGATGAGGTCTCGCCAAGTTGCCCAGGCAGGTCT